ACCTAACGCGCTCTTTTCCACGCAACAATAACAACGCCCATTAATGCGTTAATTCCATCAAAAAAGCGCGCCGAGGTCAGCGTGGTAGGCGCGACCCATCGGTGTGACCAAATTCCAGTTTGGCGCCCGCGTTCGCCGCCTGGAATCCGCGAAGTGTGGCGCCGAAGAGCGGGCTGGGGAGTCCTAGGGGTGAACGGCTGGTGGTGGAGCGTAGAAAAAGCTGTATTTGCGCACCACTTTGCTCCCTGCGGTTTTATTGCGGGGTGCCTGGGCAGGTATTGTGGAGATGGAAACATTCTCACGCACATACACCTAGGGGTGGACGAAGGTGTGTGTGAGAAAGAGAGAGAGAGCGAGAGAGAGAGGCAGAGAGAGAACGACAGGGTAATAGGTGCCAATTGCGTGGGAACACTTGGAACACGTTGAAGGGATTTTGTGGGTAAATTAGGTGGAGATTTGGGGCGGGTTTGGGGAGCGAAAAAAATCTGGATGCTGGTGGATGGTGGATGGGTGGGTTGGGCCAAATGGCCGCATATGCGCACGAATCGTCTAAAAAACATCTGGCGCGCTAGTGGTGTCTAGTGGAATTGACATGTTCACGAGGATGCCCTTAAATTTCCCTATTAAACCTTGGTAACTTATTATCTCTAATATAAACCCAGCGGCCGGAACCGACTTATATTTACCAAACAGGATCTAAAAACATCGAAAACACGGGCGAAAGAACATTTGTACCAATTCCATCCGTTATCATGTGTTCGTCATCTGTCTAAAGCCACTCATTATGTCAGGATAATGCATAAACAAAACCCTAATAACACTTTAAATATATTATTATTCAATATCGTTTTCACCCAATAACCCAATTTTAGATACATTTATGCGGTTATATTCGGGTATCTTTTTCTTATAGGAATCTCAGGAATTCAAGCATCACCCGAGAAACCAACCCGTTTGCTTAGCCGACACGCTCAAAGTTTATTGAAGCCCAGGAGACTGGGGGTAAAGATTGGAGGTGTGGAGCCGAGGGGGAGAAGCGGTGGTTGACGTGTGACAATCGGAGCACACACACATATAGACGATCGAGGCTTCCGAAGGCTTCCAGGCTAACGGCCCGAAAGCTCGACCCATAGAGTCTAGGTTATGCACACACACAAACACATCCTAAAGGGCCAAATGGCCCGGGGGTATTCATATGAGACTGCCTCAAGGCACACCCACACGTGCACACAAAACAGTCCGACTGGGGCGGGCTTTGTGCTACCGACAGTTTCTTGGAAGGCGGGGGAGGCAATTGGCACGTGCGAGTGACCCGGAATTTGGGGTAGGAAGAGGAGGAATGTCTTTTTTATAGCAGTACAGGTCGGTAAACTGGCGTAATTTTGTGAGAAAATGAAAGAAAAACGGGATTGGGGATTTTTCTTGTATGCAGGTATAGAATTTGCGATAATAATTAGCAACTGACAAGTGCGGGGACCCGGAATGTCGTGAAAGAAGAACTTTGTTTTGCATAGCAGTACAGGTAGGCAAAGTAATTGTGATTTGAGCTTAAAAAACAGGAACACCCATTTTTGCGAAATTTGTGGATCTAGGTTCTGAGTATATGATCATACTCGCCACATATTCATTTTTCCAAAACTAATCGTTCCCAAAAACTTTTTTTTAGATTTGTAGTTGCTTAAAGTGCTCCTATTCGGCAATTGGTGCTTTACGCTTCTCTTGACGCCTTAGTGGCTTAGCAAAATCTTCAGATTTTCAAGGAAAAACGAATTGAGGTATATTCAATCAATTATTAACACTTATAGAAGGAACAATCGAAAGACAAATACCTTAACAGTTCATTTTCAATTTCAACCAAATCTGTCAGAGGTCAAGGCATAAACCCTGCATCCAAGGGGGCTAGCAACTTCTTCGAAACCCAATGCCGTGCAACAAAATTAAAAATTCCAAGCCCGCCTCCCCGCAGCCCAAGAAGGATCCAATCCGCACAGCAAAACAGAAACGCAACCCCTTGCCCTCCCAAACTCATAAAATTCCAACAATGATAGCCGATATTATCCGAAATACAGCCTCGCAAAGCCGTTTATGCAGTGGTTGCAGACTGGAGGGGAAATGGATACCTCTTTAGTTGGGGGGGCAAAGGCTCCCGATTGGAATATGCGAGAAAATGGTCTCGAATGTGAGAGAAGTGGGTCATTCATACGCACTGATCGCTTGGTGCGAGGAGGGTAGATAGCCATCAGGCCTTTCGCCTCCCCCCTTCCACCCAAATGAGGGCTTCTCACCCTCCGGGGGCGCAATATGCAGGGCAAAGATATACAGAGGCACAGGAGACAGACATAGGCCGCCGTATTCCGTTTCTGTTCCACTAATATCCTTGGCTTTCTCCGGGGTTGGTGCGAGGGGAAGATCTGGCTATTCGCTATCCCAATTTGTCCTTATTACGGGGATTTGGGGGGTTGGAAGGGGTGCGGGGAAGCTTGGAAGAAACTTAGGTTATAGCTCGAATTATGCTAATTTGCATGCAACTTTCCGCAGCTTGCCCGGAAAGCATCAGGATAAGGGAAAAATCGGAAAAATTCACGGAATTTACGACGTTTTGATTTCAGTTTGCTCGCAATTATCTCAAACCGCCTGTATACCGTCGAAAACCAACGGTTTTCAGTATTGAAGTTAAGCTTCTTTTTAATTTCAGCTATTCGTCTTAGTAGAAAACAGTCATTACTCGCCGGAAGTGAGAGGCGCTTATCCATACCGGTAGGACAGGTAATTTCCACATTTTTTGTCGTTGGCATTCCGGCAAAAATTATGCAAAACAAAGCGACCCTGCTTACGAGCTTAAATTTGATATTTAATGGTCTTTAATCCTTAAAAAAAACAAGAAATTAACATTTACAAGTCCAAATGCACCTAAAAGCAGACACATAATGATCACGAGAAACCGCTAGACGTCCAGAGTCCAGAAGAAACATTTTGTGGACGATGGGAGGAGACAGCAGGAGACCCCCTCCTCTTCCCGATGGGTTTCGCACTTCGTAATCGCCAGATTAGAACACAAGTCAACAGCCGTTCCGCCCACCATCCCATTCCTACAGCACACAACACATCAACGAACGTTTCCGCAACATGTCGTGCAAATTCCGATCTTTGAAGGTTCCACGGTGATTAAATATCTTTATTAAATCTGTATATTACACTAGAACAGGCAACAAATATGGTCTACCAATATTCTTCAATAACGTCTCTTTTTCATGAGGATTCCGCAATGCGGCTTCCGAGAATTTACGCTGATAGGCAGCTATTATAACATGGCAAAGTGTCGATTGACCAGCTAAAGCAATCAATATCACCAAATCCTGCACAGCCATACAGGCCAAACCGAGTATACAGAGTATCGATGCGGAAAATATGGTGAACCCCGCACATCCTATTAAAATATGGCGGAAGACGGGCTGTGGGGAATGGGCCAACAAGAATTGCCTAATCGACCGAATGTTTGGCTTGGCGAATAGTAAGCATACCAAAAACACGAGTACCAGTACCGCAAAATAGTGGATAAAGTTTGAGATCATACTCCAGTAAAGGAAATTCATCGGAGTAGTCTTGGTGGTGGGGCAGGCAAAGACAAACCAAAGAAATTTGTAGATAATAAAGGATATCACAATGGTAAAATTTGAAAAGACTAGAAATAGCAAGATCGATATTAGTGCGCCAAGTGACGAGAACTCGCCTAAAAGTTGTGACCTAATTTCGGAGTGTTTTGAAGAGCTATTCTCTCTTCTTAAGGCCCGTATTTTTAGGAGGGTTTTAAGAAAATGCTTCATAAAATAGAAATTTATATAAAAGAAGAGAATAGAGGCCGCAAAGCCGCCATGAAAGAGATGCGGTAGCAGAAGATACCTAGCGATTAGTAAGGTGTAAAAGTCGAAATGTCGTAGATATGTGATTTCGACTAGGTCTTCGGTAGTCGCTTGGTCGATTGCGAATAGGTATTGTGGGTAGGAGACGTTGGAGGGGAGAGGGAGTTTCGTGGCGCAATATAGTTTCCGGAGCGGTTGTTCGAGGCCGATTCCCGGTTCTGCGCCTAGCCATGGGATGATGTGAAGTGGAGCACTAAAAATAAAACAAATATTTTTGAAAAATTTAAATCCAAGGGCCCGATCAGTCTCGTTTTAATTTTTTGCACGTTTTTCATTAATCGTATGGTCCCAAAAGTCTCTATAAAGAGCTAATTTTGCTAGATTTCGTCAACGGCATCCGATACTTTCATAAATTTGCGCGTATCAGCATGCCGTTATGGCATAATTCCGTTATATTCACAAAATAAGGGCCAAAAACGGCTTTAAAAGAACGTCCTTTTATTATAAATATTATAGATGTATCCAGCTTTAAAGATATGTTTATTTAGATTCTCGAAAAACTTACAGTAATTGAATGATGGACAATGTAAATAATGCCAGTGTACAGCAATATCGCAAAATATCGTAGTGAATTGGCTCCCGTTTCGATGAATTTGGAACTTTATGTTCTTCATCCATGCTGCTTTAGTATCGGCAGTATGGGACTAGGGGCCCTACTGCTCTGCTGTGGTTGATGTCCCCGGGGTACCACTTCCGGAATCGATGCGCTCTAGCATCAGCCCCCTAATTCGCCTCTTGACAATCCACAAAAAGACTTCGAATCTCCTTATCCAACAACACCATCATACCATGATGTTCTTTTTGATACCCTTGCCACTGTACTAATTTGCTATAAACTCCCAAAAATCCGTAAAAAATCAAAAAGTTTATTAAATGACTTCTTGTGACTACAAATAAATTAAGCTAACACAGATTCGAGGAAATTGGGGAAAAACAAAAGATACTCGTAACATTTGCTCGGCAAATGGGTGACAGAGAGAGGAAAGAGCACAAGTGATAGAATAAATTATTAAGCGAAATCGACAATGTGGGGAAAACGGAATGAAGGCCAGGCATAGATTATAAAATGTAATGGAATTATGTCCGGACCTGGAAGCGGCCAGCTTTAGTGATGTATTTGACGCCTTTGAAGGGTTTATATTTTTCGCCGTACATATCGAGGCGGTTGACCTGAAGATGTGGATATGTTAATTTCCATATTTTTCTCAAGTTAATCAAATATTTTGCAATTAATTTGATAACACGTACTTTTAGACCAGAAACAGTTAGCTGGTTAATCTTAAATTTCACTGTAATTGGTGGCGATTCACAAACGGCCGTGCCAGAAACAGAGACCTAAATAGAAATTTATGTTTTCTAGGAATAAATCTTACCGATCCCTTGAGAGTTGGTGGTTTCCCGAGCTCAATTTTTCCAATGGTCCACTGGAGCAGCTTGCTCGTCGGATCGAAGGCATACTTTCCATGTGATGGCATTAGATTGCAATTCATAACGGCCTTTGGCATCGCCATTTCGACCACCACGTCTTCTAACTAAAAACAGATTTAATTAATATTTTGTGACGTTCTTATACCATTTTTCCCATACTCTGTTTCGGTCCAACAGTCAATTCGAGTCTGCCTCCGCCACCTTTTAATAGGATTGAATGGCGTACGTAGACCGGGATGGCAACCATGCTAAAATTATTGGTTTATACAGTACTTTGATAATGCTGATGTTATTTCTATAGTTATCAACCTACTTTTGAGCAGCAATGTGATACGAAAGAAGTCGAAAATTTCCATCTGGCGGGACAAAGGAAAGCACTCGTTCATTCTAAAGCCCGGCTATTTCGATAACTAAATTTTCTAACCAACCTCCCATCTCTTGAATCGAACACAAGGATGGAATGAGACGTCATCTAAGAGCCGTGGATTCACTAGTGTCATTGTTAGATCTGGCATCCCGGAAAGCTTGCAGCAACAATCAATCTAAAAATACCTAATTTGCGACTTTTTTGATAAACTTACATATCCCTGAATTTCCGCAAATACAGTAGCACCTTGTTTGTCGATAATTGCATCAATTTCTTCGATAACGTCAAAGTAAGATTCGTTATTTGTATATTTTACGCCTGAAATTAATGGCTATTTACCAACGATTACAAACGCCGACCTTGTCTCCTCCAAGGAATATTTGATAATTGCCCAGTTGGTAGTACTTCAGAGACATTCGTGCGCCCAGTAACCTAAAAAATATATATAGTTTTTACGGCCCACGTTATGCTAATTTACCTGGTTTGCAATATTCCGCAAAAAATTTGGAGGTTTTATCAAGTCTTGTAGAATATTCAGCTCGGTGACGAGGGGATAGCCATTATCCAGCATTTCGTCGAGAAGCTGTAATTATTTATTTTATATTACTGATGGTTTTTTTAGGTTACCTCAAAAACAATAACGATGTTTTCCTTGATGGCGCTATCTGAGCATTCGTCAAAATATTGAGTGAAGGTTTGGACGACGCGATGGAGGAATTCGAGGACAATCAAAGGAGGAGCTGGCATAGTTTGTATTAGATGGATTTTTTATGATAATCACTATCAAAAATAAATCTTCTCAACCTACTTTCAGTTGTAGTGACCGCGAGGAGATATACTTGATTGTGATAAACTGAGATCAGATAGTGATGGGGGGTTGATATAATTGGCGGTACATCTTCTGGTGATGATACCTTAAAATAACATTAAAATTAGCCTTTAACATCGAAAACTCACCTTTCTTTGCGCATCAAAGAAATAATCACATATCGAGCGATGTATTACCGATTTCCAATGTTTTTCCAAAATAACATCCCTTAAATGGAATATTAATAAATACTATTACGCTTTACCCCGATGTATTGACTATAAATAAGCTATTGAGCATCGAATATTTGTCTAGGCGATTGAGGACGGGAGAATGAGGAAGAAAATATTTGGAAGGAGCGGTCCTTGGGTCAGTCTGCCCCTATCTCCCCTTCTGGGCCGGCCAGCACAAACTACGCCGCGCTCCGATATTTCGCCCCCGGGTGCCGTTTAGCAGACCCATGCATGTATCAGTGTGAACCGGGGGCAGCTGCCAGATGTAAATATTCCTTGCCCATCTGCATATCATATATTTATTTCAAAAACTTTATCAACAAGTAAAAAAATCTCATGAATCTGAAGTGTACTCATTGACAATACCCAAAAAAACCTAAAAATACTAGTTGAGCTACTTCATCAAAGTATTAATGGCAAGGGTAAAAATGGCACTTTCGGCGATAAAAGATTCGTGGGTAGCATTTAATCAGCTTCTTCGTCAGAGGATTCATGGATCGACGGGCGACGAGAAGCGGCGGCAGATGGAACCTAGAATTTAATAGATTTGATAACGAGGTTTGAATGCCTTCTCGGGATTCTCAGACATGATATCCTCCAAATTCGGGTATTTACGTTCGAGGGCTTGGTGACGAGCATTTCTAGAAAAGTTCAGGAGGTTGAAATTTCACTAACTGATAGAAAATGGCCAATCGTTTCCAATCGAGGATTTCGGAGACTCGCTCGCAGTTGTTCCTAAAACAAAATAAAATTAAAGTAAAGATGTATCAAGCCTCATAATAATCCTTTGACGACGGGATTGGCCGCAGAAATCATAGAGCAGGTTGGCCAATTGTTGGATGGAGTCCTAGATGTATTTTTGGCTTAAAAAATTGATTTCTTACCCCAACGGATGTGAATCTGCGATCGACAATGTAAAGTCCTTTTTCTTCATGATCTTTGAGATGTTCCTAAGTTACTGTTAGGTTCAATAAACCCAACTATAACCTCAATGAAACATCCAAAGCCGGACAGATTTGTTGTGACTGATGGGATTCCCATTACCGTACATTCGGCAGGGGTATATCCCCAGGGTTCATAATAAGACGGGAAAACACCTAAACTCCAAAAATGATACATTTTTTTTAAACTACCCAGATGGCATCCGCGAACGAAATCTTCATAATCCAGACCAATCAATGGAGAGACAGAGGAAAGGAATTCTAAAACAATCTTCCAACGATTATTAAAGTTCTTAAAAAAAGAGTAATAAAAATTACTTTACCTGGATGGAATACCACCTTCACGCGATCGTGGCGTTGATTGAGCAAATTACAACGCCTCAACGTCTCTAGGACCTAAGCAACGTTGTAAAAAAACACTATAAAAACGCACCTGATCACTCGGATTCAACATATTATGCGTGCAAATTGGCGGCAACTCGAACTTTTGGGTGGCAACGATGCAGCGTTTGAGCTAAAACACTATTAATTTCGTCTTGAGATTACCATAATCCGTTCATTCGGCAACAGGAAGTCATCGTGCTGTTCGGGCATCTTTCCGCGGAGACAGTCTTCAAAAAGTCGAGCAGCCATCGATTCTTTGATTTTGTCAATGGTCTCGCGAAGCTGCTTGGTTACAGCCTGCCCTTTCAGCGATTCGACGTTGAAGCTGTTGGAGGGAGCTTTAAAGGATATCATATTAGATTAAATGGCTATAAAACCTGGGTAAATAAGGAACGCGACAACAGTGACTCCCTCAAACCTCGGGTCGGTGGTGGATTGGAGATAATAGTTAAGGCGGGCCAGGGATTCAATGAATAGATCTCCGCCCTTGTTTGTGAATTCGTATCTATTTCATTTGATTTAATGGATTATAATTTCCTACCTTCCAGCCGTGAAGAAATACAACGTTTTTTCCAAATCGAAGTCTAAATGCCCATGGAAGTGCCCGCGAATAAAATTATTAATCTTCTCTTTGGCAATGGCGTGGAGGTTCTATCACTTTTATATATTTTTTTTAATTTTCACACCTGGAATTCGTGCAGAGCAGCGAATTTGATAACGTTGAGTCCATTAGGGGTGATGATATCGGGTTTGCGCTAAAATCCAATATTTTCTTAGAATTCAAAGTACTATTCACATACCTTGAGGAGGTATTCCGCTTCTAGACCCGTAATATCGGATACGGTAGTGAAAATATCAGCATTAGCAGCAGCTCCCCGTTCAATGCAATATTGATGATAAATCTGTGTTAGAAATAACGTATTTAGCAATTAATTTGCGTACCTTCCGTTTTCCAGCTTCTCCATCAACATCAATATTTTCCAAGTTATTGTAGAGATCCCAACCACCCGCGCATAAATGGCGACCAAGCAATGTGGCGTGGGTTGTGTATACGGTAGCCAAATCGGTTTGCCACATTTTAGACATAATGAGACCAACTCCTGAATTTAAAGTTATTTTCGAAAGAATTAACCGACCAGCTTGCCACTCGTGGAAATGAGCAACTACTAAAGGTTGATAGTTCTGGACGGAATCTCGGAAATGCTTAAGGAAGATGGCGACCATGAAGCCGAGGATAACTGCATCGTTTGACTCGATATCTTCGTGGGGGATGCCGATATGTGACCTAGGCCGAGTTTTAATTTGGAGGTTTGATATACCTTTCATATAATTCTTGTTTCCAGTCGTTCATCTTTGACGCTCCACTTCCCAGATCAAAAAGGATAACTTTTGGATATCCATCAATAAGCCATCGTCCATAGGTGCACTACGGAATATGGAATTTTCCATCATAAACTCTTACGTTAAAGCCGTCTTGTCTCATTCTCTTCATCGCCGATCGGATCGTTCGGTTCTCTGGATCAAGGGGTTCGACCTAACAAATTAAACGGATTTTGGATGATTGGTACCTCAAGTCTCCAGCGATCATGCTTCTGAGGGCCAAGCAGACAATACTGGTCTCCGAGCTCTTCCACGCTGACCGGCGCTTTTGAGCGGATGACGGTATAGATTCCTCCCACTTTGTTGGCCACCTCCCAGGCACATTCAAACACAAAACGACCCTCCCGGCGAGCCGTTCGGCCGCCATCCATTTCGATCATTTCTTCTCTGAAAAAAGGCGATGATTTACCTTCAATGTCCCTTTAATTTTGTATAAATCCTGCTTCCGTTCTGTTTATTCGTTCAAAAACACTTTTTTCCATTTTCAATCCTGGTTAGCTTTTCTTTTTCCTACTCACTACTTGACCACACCCATAAACTTACTTATCCAATTCAATTCCCGCCATGGCGCGCACTAGCTTGCCCGTAGACAAATTGCGCGGCATGCCCGTCGGCGCCATTTTCTAGAAAAGACAAGCTTTGAAATGTAATCGGTGCTTGCACGAAGCGAATCAATATTAGGGGGCAGTTCGTAAACACATGGCAGCTGCATCTGGGGGTGTTGATAGTGCAAATTGAGTGGATCGGCAAATAGAGAGCGTCCGCTGGGGTTTGGGTGTTGTCAAAAATCATAATAGGCATGATTAATAAATTAGCACGGTTTTTATGAATTTAGAAAATTTAAAAGCAGTGTTCGGATTCAAGTTCGGCTTTAGTTTTGTCGCTAAAGCGTAAAAGTGGGCAAAAACGATCAATAAACCCTTCAAATAGCCTACCAAACATCTAATTGATATTCTATTAGATTTACATCGTTTCCAAGTGGCTAGGCAAAACATAAGATCAGTGTCAAGGTTTTTATGCGTCTAAGTAAACTTAAAAAAGAGGGTTCGGGTAGAACCAGCGCAATAGCAAATGAGAGAAGACAAAAAATTGCTCATCGGTAAACTACTAAAAAATTATTATATCGTGATCTTATTTTTTATACGTTTTTTGCAAAAACTCAAGATGAGCAAGTTTGTGCTAGGCATATCCGGCTTCGGATAAAGATATTCGTGTTCTAATCAATGAGGAGTTAAGAAGTTATAGGATTTTGATAGGGCAACGAGTTGGAAACAAACAACCACCGCCGCAGCCAAGGGTACACATGATAGAAAAACAGAAAAACAGCGACGGGGGCCCTGTTCGACTCGCCGTTGGGGGGCAGGCCGGGCCAGACTGGCCAGAGGCGCCTGCTGAGAGAAGCCGATGGGTTGAGATGGACCAGAACAAGCCTCAAGAAAAGAAGCTTCAAGGATTTTCGGGTTGATAGAGAGGAATAGAGAGGGAAAAGGAGCAATTGCATGTTTGCCACTGCCTCCCAGCCAGCCTCTCCCCCTCCCAAACAAATAAATAAATTCCGGCGGTTATCTGTGGGGCACGAACCGTTTTCGGAGGGGGAGAAACAGTGCGAGATAGACGATATTGAGACAAGCGTTTTTCGGGGATGATACGATCAGGGAAACAGGCGTGTGAAAAAGAGCTTGGATTCGTTTGGTGGTTGCGAAGGAAATGGGAGAGGTTTGGTTGTTGTTGTTGGATCAAAAAATTAGCCGAAACCTGGGAAAACGTGATTTTCATCAATATATAAAAATACATGTCTTAGATGGTTGCATCTGGTATGTAAATAAATTGCGAGTAAGATCATCGTCAAGAAGATCAGCTCTGAACCATAAAAAATGAATGACTTGGTTGACGCGCTTTTGTTACTCCCTCTACTATTTTTTGCTAGCATTTAGCAGCATTTAAAATATAGGTACCATAGACATATTTTTCTTGCCATTATTAATAACATTAATGTATGGTGAACTGCTTACTCAACCAATTACGGCCTCACAACAGACGCAGACTGACCCAATAACCCGTGATAGCAATCGGTATGCCATACGAATCACCTGAACGTCTAGAACATACTTAATATGGGAATAGCACACTTTATTTTTGTAATTTTCATATATCACGATGGGTGCTAGCGTCTATTTTAGTATTTCCAGCGTGTTCCCTCAGGAACGAGCTTTCGTGAGCTTTCTCTAGTCTTTCTACCCCCATTATTATAGTTTGTAGTTATATTGTGCTCAATCATATAGTTAAACTCAGCTTTCTCTAGTTTCTAGTTAAATTCTCTGCGCATCCCACCCACCACTCACCTTTTCCAGTCCATAACGGGAAACGTGCCCATAATCCGAAAACAATCTAGGCACCTCTAGGTTGACAGTTCTCTCTCCAACTATCATGCTCCTTTTTCGGGGTCACCCACCGACCCTTTCCAGCTACTTTTCTCCCCCAAAACTGCAACCAACAAGATATCGATGAGACCCCGCCCCCTTCTATATAGATTTCTGCATGATTTACAGCAATCGAAAGATTTTTTGATAGCTATGATTTATGATCAACCCCTATGACGTTCCATTTTGCTTCGACTTTTGCCCGCCCCTAGGCTAGCTATAAAAGCTTTCCAGATCATCAGAACACGATTCGGAGCGGCAGAACCTTAGCCACGACTCCCTCAATTTTTTATGCATTACCCCACAATGGGTCGCTGTCTAAAGAGTAGCCACTCATGCTGATTAACAGATGCTAGAAAGCTTTTAATGTTTTTTTTGAAAACGACCTTAATTTTTTGCCATCCGTTCCGATTTTCAAATCTTAATGAAACCAATAATTTCAGGATGAAATCGTTTGTCAGCGTACCTACCGGCTCGGATTTCCCCTTGGAAAATCTGCCGTATGGAGTCTTCTCGGTCGGAAATGGACAGGTATGCAATCGAAATTAAAAAGATACAGGTTCTAGACTCGACCGTAAATGCTTTAGTCTCTTTACGCTATTAATTACCCATTATTATTATTATTACCCATTATTTTTCCGCGTACCATCGGCGTGGCCATCGGAGAATCCGTCCTAAACCTCCGCGAAGTTGCGCACCTTTTTGAAGATTTACCCACGTATGGCCCCCAGATCGCCAAGGCTTTTCGACAGGTTATTAACAACTTATTTTAACAATTTTGCGTGTTAGGACGCCCTCAACGAATTCATGGGTCTACCACGGCCTGCCTGGCTAACCGCTAGGGCCCAACTCCAAAAGCTGCTCTCTGACGATTCCACGACCCTAAAGGTAAGCTCAAGAAAAAATAACTGTAGCATTTTCAGGAGAACGTGGAACTCCGGAATAAGGCCCTGGTCAAACAATCGGATGTGAAGATGCATCTTCCTGCCCGAATTGGCGATTACACCGACTTCTACTCCTCCATTCAACACGCTACAAATGTCGGGATTATGTTCCGCGGAAAGGAGAATGCTTTGATGCCAAACTGGTATGTTCATTTACAAGAAAGAATTCAATTTCTGCTAGGAAATGGCTGCCAGTTGGATACCATGGCCGTGCTTCTTCTGTTGTCGTGTCCGGTACGCCATTGAAACGTCCGCTTGGACAGACAAAAGCTGATGACGGTAATAAAAGACCTTAAAATTCAAAATAGATGTTTTTTAGTCTCTGAACCTTCATTTGGTGCCTCAAAGTTGGTCGACTTCGAGCTGGAAATGGCGTTCTTTGTCGGGGGTCCGGAAACCGAACTCGGCGAGCATATCGATATCAGCAAGGCGCAAGAGCATATCTTCGGAATGGTGCTGATGAATGATTGGAGCGGTAAACAACATAAAAGATGCAATAGTATATTCGAAATTTTAGCTCGTGATATCCAAAAATGGGAATACGTCCCACTCGGACCCTTCCTAGCAAAGTCTTTCGGAACGACGATTTCTCCCTGGATCGTAACAATGGAAGCTTTGAAGCCCTTTATGATTGAGAATCCAAAACAGGTACAAGTTTTTTGAAAACTTTATGATGAATATACTGTTTAGGACCCAGCTCCCCTCGCCTACCTGGCTCATGAAGATCCTTACACGTTGGATATCGACCTGAAGGTTACCATTCGACGTAAATATCTCTAAACAACCTATTCTAACCTTCCTTTAAGCGGAAGGAGATGCCAATCAGCATACCGTATGCCACTCGAACTTCAAGAACCTTTACTGGACCCTGAAACAACAATTGGCTCACCACACCGTCAATGGGTGTAATATGCGCCCCGGCGATCTTTTGGGATCGGGAACTATTTCCGGACCGGTATTGCCTATTTAAGTTTATTACAAGTAAATTTTTTCAGGAGGAGACATCATATGGTTCTATGCTGGAATTGTCTTGGAGGGGTTCAAAGACTGTTCCGGTTGGAGATACTACACGAAAATTCATTCAGGATGGGGATGAGGTGGGTAGTGATAATAGTATGATGTTTCAGGATTCAAAAATTAATAGATCTGTCAAATTGTTTAGGTCAACATCCTCGGTTGCTGCGAAAAAGGCGGCGTTCGAATCGGTTTCGGTGACTGCAAAGGAAAACTCCTCCCAGCCCGCAAGCTGTAAACCTTCAGACTTTTTTAGGCCCAGTTGTTTTTGTTTTCCTCTTTCTTTCTCCCTATTGTGCTGCTGCTTGTCACGTCTTTTGGGTTGTGTGGGATAAAGTCGCTTGCCTCCAAAACCTTTATCCGTAATCGCACTGCGTAATGGACAACGGAAATTGCAACAAATTAGAGCGGAACATTTAAGAGCTGACTTTTTTGGACCGAGGACGGCAAACTCTCTGGCTAGATGGATTGACATTTCAAAGAGCGACATCATTTACGGGGAATGGGGGGAAGTACTAAAGACTGGGGTGGAAAGAATAAATAACGAATCCTCGCGTGAATAACCCCAATAAAGGGCCAGTTCAAGGGCAGGCACGGCTTGTGATCACAATGCTTTCTCAGAAAAGTGATGAAGAAGTGCTAATAAATCAAAAATTCAAAAGAAATTCGAATATTCGGCTAGCACACCTCGTTTGTATGTAAAAGCTCAGACCGTATCATCGTATCTAGCGGGCGGAAAAATGGGCAAAGCCTTCGAAAAATGTTAGAAAGACGGATCTAGGACCCGTCGTTGGAAGGCCAAATAATTATGCGATGCCCATTAATTAAAAGAAACCCTTTGGGAGATCCACTTGATTTTGCGGAGATCCCTATTGCTAGAATCGATATACCAGAGATAGAAAGGGGGCCTGATTTTGGGTCGGGGGATGAACATTTCTGATAGCAAAGTGCATGGCATTTGCCCGGGAGGAACGCTAATGATGGGGAGGGAGGAGCACAACACAAAACTGTTAATAAAAGGCCGAGCACACGGACGCCAGCGACATTTGGCAAATCAAATGGATATTCTAAGAAAGAGTGAAGAGAGATCGGGGGTAAAAGAGGACTAAATCGCAAGGCAGAGATGAAATTTTGACAGGCCGGTCCGGTTCCGGTGCAAATGAAAAGTGCGCTACCGGTCAACCAAAAGCGGAAAGAGCCTTGGATAAGCGATCAAAAATTGGAAACTAACCCGATATCACAAAATTACAGTGTCACAGCGTGTGGTGGGGGTACGTCGCAGAGTGATGGCCAATCAACAGAAAATGTACTGCACATGGGGGGATGAATTACTGCTTCCAGTATCATATGCACATAGGTATCAAACAGATGAGCTTACAACAAAATAAGCTCGCTGTTCAGGTATATGCAACCGGGACTGGAGAACAATTTGAAAACCTAAATTTTGGAGCCTACCGGTCGTATCAGGAGACATATCCGTCTTCTTAATAATAAAGAGGGATTGGGGGAATGGGGAGTCCCGTTAAGAGGTGTCCGATGGAACGATGAAGTCGACAAGGATAAAATGTTTAGGGAGGCGGGTGGATTTTTTGGGGAAAAATGAAATTGTGAAAAGAATCATTAATGATCAGGGTAGGTGTGTGGTACGACGTAGTCGGTTAAAGTAAGAGAAGATCCTAAAGTTCTTAGGTAAAGGGCATTGAAAAATGTCAATAAAAAAACATAAATTAAAGACGGTCGTAAGCTGGTCGGTTTTGTAGTTCGGTCTCAGTTCGATACAGGAGCAGCAGCAGCTACTGGAGGACGAGGTTGCCATTCTTGGCCATTGCCGGAGAATGAGTTGTTTGGCTAAAATAAAAATTATTTTATAAGTTTTACAAGTTATTTATAAAAGCTATTGATAGACTAGATAGCACCAACCATCATTCCTCCGCGCATATTTCCATTGAACGATCCCCTAGCACCGCGATTTGGCGGCATCCCACCCCGGAAATTGCCACGCCCATACATCACGCCATTGCCACCGTTTCCACCTGAAAAAATCCGATTTTTATTGTCCAGGTACGAGACGATACCATAAAACATCTGTTGCGGCAGTGGCGGCATGCACATGGGGTTGAAGGTCGGCTGCATCATTAGAGGTGGCGGGTTGGTGAATGCGCCTCCAGGTGGTCCCATTGGCCCACGTGGCATCATCCCGAATTTCATTTGGAACGGCTGGTTGGGTGGCTGCGGGAAACGGTTTCCACCATTCTAAACAACGAAAGTTTAGAGCGAAAACAAATATTCTACCATCATTCCGAAGTTGCCGCGAGTTCCTCCGCGACCTCCACGCATGAATTTGTTGTTGCGCTGGCTTGGTGGCTGAGCGGCCACTGGGGGAAGCCAGTCGGGAACCGACTGGTTCGATTCGTTCAGAACGGCCATCAGCTCACGAGCAAGAGCTTTGTTCTAAATAGATATCGAAATGAATTCATTCCATATATCTCGAAATACCTTTTCAGCAAAGAAGGACGTAGCTTGTCCTTGGTTACCGCAGCGACCAGTGCGCCCAATACGGTGCACATATTCGTCGACGTCGTTGGGCATATCGTAATTGATGACGTGCTTGACATTAGGGATGTCCAATCCACGGGCAGCCACCTAGAATTTTTTGTCTGAATACGAAGGCTCTCCACTCACAGCTGTCGCAACAAGAATCGGGTTGCTTCCGTTCTTGAACATCTCCAAATTGCGCTCACGATCGGGCTGCTTGAGGTCACCATGGATGGCAACGGCGCTGTAATTTCAAGTTATAGAATTTCCACTTTAACCTACCGATGACCTGCACCCTGAAGTTGGAAAGATAGGTCGTTGGCAGCACGGCGAGTCTCGACGAACACCAGAATCAGTGCTCCGCGGTCTTCATTATCGAGGAGATTGCGCAAATGGCCCCTCTTCTCATGTTCATCAACCCAAAGAATGGTCTGCTCGATGTTCTCGGAAGTCGAGCCGATTCGGCCCACAGCCATGTGGATGAAGTTTGGCTTCAGGAAATCCTCGGCCAGCTTCTTGATCTCGTTCGGGAAGGTGGCGCTGAACATGGCTGTCTGGCGAGCCATTTTGTCGGGAAGGCCGAGAGAGACGATTTTGCGAATCTAAATTATCAATTGTTGTTATATATAGTTGGTTTTTTAGACATCAGAGGATATAAATACGATTAGACCAATCGATTACCTGGGGTTCAAATCCCATGTCAAGCATACGATCGGCCTCGTCCAGGACCAGAAATTGGCAACGCTCCAGAGAGACGTACTGTTGATTCACAACATCGATCAGCCGTCCCGGCGTGGCAATGATAATGTGGCAACCGTACTAAAATGATAAGTTGTATTATTTATGTGTTATTCACAACTCTCAATCTTTAATAACCTACACGGCACTTGTTCAGCTGCTCCCTGTAGTTTTCGCGGCCTCCGTAGAACATGGCGGTCAGCACATTTGTGCGGAAGCTAAACACACGTTTAAAATTCAATATGCGTCAAATACCAGAATTTTTGAGCTTCTTTGTGAATCTGCATCGCCAACTCGCGAGTGGGGGATAGGATGAGGGCGTAAGGGAATTGCTTGCTGCGACGGATATGTGGGTTCATTTCCTAAAAAATGATATCTACAGAGCCTTGAAAGCGTTACTTACCTCATATGGAGTGAGGCCAGCTGTGACGATATTGTTGATGATAGGCAACAGAAAAGCGGCGGTCTTTCCGGAGCCGGTTTGGGCGCAAGCCATCAGATCGCGTCCAGCAAGCAGCGATGGGATTGCATTTTTCTAAATAAACATTTGGGATCGGTAGATCTAACAAACCTGGACGGGGGTCGGCTTCACGTAGCCACTCATGTCGACATTGACTTGAACCAGCTCGCTGAAGTTGGCCTCACGGAATGTATCGATTGGTGGAAGCACTTGGTCTCCACGGACGTGCACCGGAATATTCTCGTAGTTCTCGAAATTAATAGTCGGCTGCTGGGGCTGCATCTGAAAAAACGCATTTATTTTAATTTCAGATATATCTCATACCATTTGGTAGAGCGCCGGATCAGAATGGGATGGTGGCATGTTTCCGGCGGGTACCTCATATGGCGGTGGGTTGGTGAGGACCGGCTTCTGAGATAGATTTGAATAGAATGGTTTGTTCTTACCGAAGTATCCCCGTATTGGATGTTTTCTTGGGGGATGCCGTTCTGAGGGACGAAGCTGTGCATCGGGGGCCCCTGGCTGTAGCCGTTGATGTTCATCTGCTGGATGCCATTCATGACAGCGTTGTACATTGGGTTGCCATATTCGTTTCCACGAAGGGCCAGTTGGGGGTCCGACTAAATTTTTGTATTTCAAACCTAGTCCTCACGTGGCGTTTTGCAGATGCTAATTAGGAAGTCATATGTAAAAAGGCGTATTCAAATGTTTTTTGAATTAGTTCTTATAACCCACCGCATTGCCAGGGATCATCCCGCGCTGATGTTGATAACCAATAATCGGATATGCAGGCTGCATCTGACCAGGTTGGAAGTCGGGCGAGGACGGGCCAAAGTTTTGCTGCGCACCGTTTCCGTTCTGTGGCAGCTAAAAAGCCGGCTATTTTCATTTTGTTGCAAGGGGATTACCTGGAACATGCCGATTTGTCCGTCCATGACACCATTCATGGCTGGATACCCGTTGTGAATGGGCGGTGGTGGGCCAGATTGGGGGCCATTCCACTCGCCAACGTGTCTGAACACCATTTTTTTGTATTGTTATTTAGCGGTCATCTTGGTTTATTCATTATATAAATTAGAAAATCTGAAATTGCTAAATCATGGCTATGATTCGCTTCACTTTCTGAGCCACGCCTTGGTTGCCCCTTGGTTTGAAACTAGGTCCGATTTTATCAGATCCAAACAAGACTGCCCATTCCCAAACTCACTGTGGATTGTAGTAGCCCTGAATGCTCATCCTGTTGTAGATAAGAAGCGAAGAACTGAGGAGACCGAAAGACGACCGACCAGCGTTTTCTTACCCAAGCAGTGAGGCGGGCTGAAAGGTGATGAAATTTACATCCATACATCAGTAATTTGAAAGTCATCTAGGGAAGACCATCGTCATGTGCTTTTCATGGCATAGATCGAGCAAAAAAGGATAAAATTTGGTTTGATACTAAAAGCGGGAGGGCGAGCGAAGAGGGTGGATACTCCAATCACTTTCTTTCTCTCATTCTCCATGGACTTACGATCGTCCGCGGGAAGGGGGTTACGGTCACTGAGGCGCCAGATAAGAGGGGAGACCCTGGCCCCTGGTTGTGAAAGGCAAGGGTTGGGCTCAGATATAAGTTTATGTAAAGAGAAGAATTTTATGAGTCTGTGCTAAAGATGTTATGCATAATAGAACTACCAGCAATTAGCGGACAAAATTTATTTTGAGTAAAGAATATGAAACGGCTTTTGCACCCTTTCTTAAAGTTTTCCATGGTAATTAACTTTTTTTTTGAGACTTAATGTATTTATACGCAAATTAATCGTAAATTGAGCGTAATCAAAATTTCAGGCAAGGTGAATTAATAATGAGAAAAAAATAATGTTTGGTCAAATAACGCCCTTTGCTATATCATGAAAATTTGTTTCTAATGCCCACATTGGCGTGAGCGAGCAGATGTGAAGACGTCGATTCGACGAGTCGGGTCAATCGACATTTTTTGAATGCATCTGTCATTGGTGTTTTCCTGAAATAACAAATCCTTGTTATCCCCGAATGATTCGAGCCAGGTAAAAGTGATGAAGTCCTGACCTTTAAAAGGCGACTTAAACTTTTGTCGCAAAAAGCAGCGTGGCTTTGTTGACGGCATATTTATCTGAAATATATCCTTAGGAATAACAATTATTTAAATAATGCAAAAATATGATTTACCCGGCGGCTGCTTTTAACAGTAACTTCAAAGTCCCGAGCTCAAGCCTAAGCGTAAGCCTTTTTAGGTCCAAGATGTCGCGTACATTCACCAACCCTTGAACTCTTCTTCAACTCACCATGAGAAGAATGTATGGCCATTTGACGTACACAATAAACACTTGGCGAAATCCTCATTTCTACAACCATGCCTTTCTCAACCCGACAGTTTCGCATGGTACCTCAGCAGCGAATATTTTAATTCGATTTGTGGAGCGTGAAAATACAAAGGGCAAATGCACATCTGTGATCTGAGAGGATGGGTGAGCGGCTGGCTCAGCCTCCTCGCCACCCCTCTCCAGCCCGGGCTCTACTTGTTTTTGAGGCACCAGACTCGTGGGGGGCAAAGGGCCAAAGGACAGTTTAGGTTGCTGACCTTTAGCAGTTCTACCAACGGTCATCATTTTTCGACGGTCGCCTCCCTTGCATTGTTGCGGTGTATCGACAAAGAATTCCAAATTTCTGGAACTGAAAATGTTCGATTTTGTTTGGTTGTGTGTGTGTGACTGGCCGAGCACATGTTCCCCTCCTCCGATCGGCCGCTTCTCGTGGTTGCCCTTTCTGTCGTTATATGGCTTTGCTCTTTCGGGGCTCTGGAATGGGTAGACAGGGCCAGCGGGTGGGGGAGAAAGATTAATGGCAACACCATTTGTTAAATGGTGCCCAGGCCCTTCGCGCCGTGGACTTTAAAACCCATTAGAAGCGGCAACGCTCCGCCCTCGGTCTCGACAACTCACATTTGATGGGTGTATTTGCAAGAGCTGAGGAGGACGACGTTAGTCACTAGAAATATTTTTTTTGCCACTTTTCAAGATTACAGGGATTTCTAAAAATACCACTTGACATTGGTACGCGCCTCAGATCCATAGCTCTCAAAAAGACCCGGGGTACCCGGAACACTTGAAAATCCAAATTGTTGTTAGCAAGAGTCCGATACCTCTCCTCAATTTTTGAGCCGATTGGTTTCAAGGCGGCCAAATGACCAATGGGCTTTTTTGGGACACCCTCTTTTTTGTGAAAAACATAGATACCCTCCTACCTTCCCCCGGTTAGAAGATGAGTCACCAAGGTTGGGACAAGATCATTCGACCCCGGTGGCCAGACCAAGAGCCTTCCGTCACTCGGTCTCCCCCCATCTTGGCCTCGTCAAAATGATGGCCGTGCAGTGATTTGGCCGGAACCCCGCAAATAACAGAACCTCAGCCCAGATCATCCTTGCAAAAAGCCTCATCCCTAACACAATTTTCCAGCCGTGTTAAATTTTATTATTTCCAGGCTTGCTTAAACTTTGTGCTCATTTTTAATTCAGCAGCTGGGCACGAGGGGGGCATTGTTTAGGAATTCACGAGTCATCTGGAGGGAATGATCTGTCTTGGGGTGGGGCAAAGCTGCTGTTGCTCTTGCCTTTGATATAAAATAAGGCAGGTTATTAAAACGGCAACTTTTGTTTTTTGTTGTTTTTAAAATATAAAATTCATTTGAGTTTATGTAAAATCCTGGGTCTTTCAATAAATCTGATTTTTAATTCCATACGATCTATACGATCTAATTCTAAATAAAAATCCCGTCGATGATAATATCGTGGAAGATATGATAAAATCGTATAGATCGATGACTTTTAAAATCTAAGCTTTACTTCCAGGTCCCTTTAATTGAAATTATATGTTTTTCTCCCTCCTCTCAACCATCATAAACGAAACCCAAATGTTGCCAATCTAAAATTTCCCCACATCAACCCCATTGTTTATTTTCAAACACCCGAAAGCTGTTGGCGCCTCTCGACGGCTTTATACACATTGTTTCTCATCGTATGAGCTCATCCATTATCTTGTGTTGTTGATTGTTTCAAGGGGCCAAGAGTGCATTTAGTAGCCTCGGTAACGGCCGGACGGTTAATATGTCTGGGCTACCACGATTACCAGCCACCGTACGACCGGCGATGTTTCACATGGAGTTGGAGGGTGTTGAGCACAAGCAGAAGGAGCTGTATGGTGCTGGTAAGTTTTTCAGCTTGATTTCTATATTTTAGACCTTTCCGTGTGTATTTTAGCTGTGCAAACGGTAGGTTGTAGCTCCGAACACATTCCCACATAACCCATATCGGAATTGTCCAAATTAGCATTTCCCATAGATGCCCCTCTACACACCCGAAAACCTCTTCTTTCGTAATTTTCGTTCAACAAAATGCTTAATTTATTAGCTGTCCTGCATAACCTCTTTCGCCCCCGGTAAAACGACCCAAGATTTATGGGAAATTGGGCCACGGCGGCCGCTGCTGTTCTCGATTTGAGCTAGTTAGGGGCTGGCTTGTTATTTTGTGCTATTTTCAAGGAAGAGAAATTGCCAAAAATTTGTGCTATCCTTGAAATTTACCGTTATTTATGTATTTGGTTGGGTTTATAGCAAGATCGAGTTGTTCCATCTTGACATACTTTGATCAGTTTTTCTAAAGGTCAAAGGACACAGCCCCCTCTAACCTGAAGCTTGATGGGACCGAGAAATCAATTGGTCCCGTCGATTTGTAGGGGTTGTTGGGCGATTTGGGACGGCTTGTTCTGGTTGATAAGTGACTGCCCCTCCTTGCCCTTCACTCGAAAACCCTAGGGGGGTCGGGTGTCTACAGAATTTGTGTTTCGCTTCCTCAGAACGTTCTTTGAATGCGTAAAGTATTGCAAAATAACCTTAAGCCTGTAATTTATTTTTAACTTTATTTCATGCTATATCTAACGTGTTTTTTTTTAAATCAGCCGCCCCCTATTATAAGCCCCCTATAATGAATTGTAAAATGTGAATAGAAATTGTGATTATGCATTCTCCCGGTACTATTAAGAGTTTTAGGCAGCTTAAAGCGGCAAAAACCGATAGAGTCAATCAAAATATGTTAATTATATTTGTTATTTTCGGGATCTACTCGATTCAACAACATACGCCCTTAGTTTCGACTCATTAAGAAAGTGGATTCCTTGGCTCGGTTTGGGGGGAAAATGCGATATCCATTTCATGCATCATTCCTCCCCTATTCCACCCATTTAAGTACAATTTACATGGGGCATAAATACGATCGTCGTGTCACGTGGGGTTGGCCCGCAAAACGGATGGTTGGGCTGTAATTCTGGAATGGATGTTTGGGGAGGACGTTTCAGGACATGCGAGGGTATCTCATTAGAGTGCGGGGTTCACCAAGGCCCACCAAAAGGGCCCAGAAGGGATAGAAGGGATGGGATGGCGGATGTCGATATTGGACCTCTATCATCGCCATTCATGCCTTTCGAACGGGGCTGACTTTTTGGGGGTTGCTAAATTGGGTTTGATGGTAGCTTGGGGTGCGTCACGAATTGAATTTATAAACAAAGCACGAGTGGTTGGGCAGTTCCTAATTTCACGGTTTTCACGTTTCAACTAGGAAAGGTTAACCGGCTACTTTCTTGATTTTTCCTTTACCTTCCACACGAATAGCTGAAGATTTCGAATTTTCTAAACTTACTTTGATTAATAAAATTGCTGATTACCTTCAAAATACGATAAAACTATGGTTTTATGGTGATTTACCTTGAATTAATCGTTTAAAAATAACTTTCTGCTAAAACGTTGAATTTTTATGTGAAGCTATCCTAATTTTAGTTCTTTTTATAATTTGAGAGGCGTAATTCCACTTTTTAGCTCTATTTTCAAATACAAAATCCTTTCTTTTTAGTAGTTGTTCTCGAAATACAGACATATTCCCATGCTGCCCGCGTTCCATAACATTTAGCGGAATTCGAAAACTCTGCTGATGAACATTCGAACTATGCAAGGTTCAATGGTCGCTTCGGCGGGGCTGGTTGATAAATTTGGGGCACGTGTTCCCCAATCAAACGGCCAGGGCCCGCAGTGGCCAACCCGGGGGATCACAATGTACCTAACGCTCCCCTGAACCCACCGCTGTTAGTTCTAAAAAAGGTGGCGATGCCGAACTGGCCACATTCTAATGTGCTTAATTTTTTTTGGTCTGCTGAAAATTACCTTTCATAATTTTCAGGGATGCTCATCAATCGGCAAGCCCGTTTTATTGGGCGGCTACTGGCCAGATCGGCGATATTATTTACGGTAATTGGGTTTTTGGACCAAATTTATTATATTATAGAGCATATCCCTTCTAATTATGCTGGGAGCATGTGGATTGCTTTATATATTACCGTAAGGGTTTTTAGGATACTTTTTATTAATCGTATTTTATAGAAAAGAAGCAAACCTTAGTTTCGACTCCGGCTACACAACCCCGGATGCCCCTAGTATAACTGAAATGCGTGCCTACGTCGACTTCTTCGGCGACCTGGTACGTCTTGGTGCTGGCTAGGGGGCAAAAGCACGCTGATATGGGTATTTGCCCTCAGCGGCTAAGCCCCTGATCGTGCCGACTAGAGGGGGAAAAGCTTTGTTAATAACCTCGCTTTTCAGGGGAAACCATGGTATATGGCGCTATTTGCCGAGCCCAAGAATGGCAGTATGGTGGAAAGCAAGGAATTCGGGGAATTTCAAGATTTTTACCAGTGAGTGAAAAAGGGTTTCTATAAGAGCATTTTTTTACCATTAAAATAACCTAGTCTGCGCTTTTTATTGCTGCTTATTGGAGCGTAGCGTAATCACCTTTTTTCCTCTATTTAAAACATTAATTTAGTGTCAAATAGGGTCATAAAATTCTTAAATATACGTTTTATGGCTATTAACTGCAGCGTTCTCTTTCGTATGTGATTTTCTTTAGCACCACACTGCGTGATATCTAGCATGCAAATTTGAGCCTTTAATTTCAACGTAACGCGTTTGACGACTGTTTTTTATGCGTAGCCTAGCGTACTTGAGACTGGTTTTTCGTACGAGCCATTTACCTTAAATTCTATCAAAAATATGAAAAGCTAACTTTCATTCCACCTTTTTACAACTGTTTACCGATGCCTAGTGTAGTCATCTGATCAAAACTATGCAAACAGAAGCCTAAAACACATCATTTTCCCTCCCATAACAATGTCTGGCGTGAGAATTCCTACCCACTGAACCAGTAGACAGCCAATAACTATTCTATACGCCTGTTTTTTTGTGCCTTACCACCGAATCGGCCACCGGTCAACGACCCGTAAATCGGTGGGAGGGGTGATAACCGCTTGACGGCTCCTCATATCTGCCGGCGGCTCCGTGTTAGAATTGACGGGTCAGGGAGAGGGCAAAAATAATGGCCCTTGGGATACAAAATACGAAAAATGTTGAAATATAAAGATTAATGTAAATCGGGAAATCCCAAAATTCATTACATCAAATTTCAGCCACCTCAAAACGGATCTAACCGTCCGAGAAGAAAATGGCACCCGACTAAACTATATGCAATTCTGCCAACCCACCTGCGATATCAATGATTTGCTGTTTAAGACATATGTATTTAGCTAAAATTTAAAAGGATTTTATTTTTTAGCAATATTCCTTATTTGGCGTCAGCTGGCCGGTGACAACCATTTTATGGATGTATGAAGCGAATATTGGAAAGCATTTCTTCCTGCGAAAAATGAAGGGTAATAGATGGAGCTCCACGAGGCTATGCAAATCCTAGGGGAAGACATCATGGACGCGCAATTGGAAGGCCTGTATTTTGCTGCTTTCGCTAATTCGACCCAAACTGAATTGGAGCTTCAACGTTTTGAAAAACTTGTGGAAGAGTAATTTAAAAAAAGTTGAATGGTTATTAGCGCTTCAGAGCCGTTGCAATACATAATGCCGATCCGACCAAGCTCACAAAAATTACTCAACATGCTGCTACAATTGTTGAGGCCGGAATTCGGAGGAGTATGGAGACGGCGGTCAGATACTTGCTGAGCGGTTCGTAGCAATTTAAGCCAGCTTTACTCTACTCTTTAGGTTGTGCTCTCTTTATTATTCTTGTCTTACTCTCCTTAATCCAAACCGCCAAAATCAACGGCCAGTTTTCCGCAAAAGTACTGATGATGCTCCCACCAGCCGTGCTTTTGCCGGTTTTCTCGATGACGACTGGTCAGCTCTAGCAACCTCCCAATTAACCTAGCCAAATTTTAGCGGCCGCCACCCATATTTTATTGGGAAATCATTTTAACACGCTCTTTTTGTTATCTCCTATTGTCGGGCTAGGATACGGTAAGTTTTGTAAAAACTATTTTTATGTCTTTGCTTAGGTATCGACGGTATTCTGTTGTTGCAAAATATGTGGCAGCGGTTACAACAAAAGCGAATTTATGATGAAAGTGAATATCAGCTGAAGGATGTAAGCTATAGAAAAACGGCACACGTTAGAAAGTTATTTTTAGGTTTTGATGGAAACTCTTCCTTCTATGGTAATTTCGGCTCTAACGGCAGCTATTCTCTTGCTCGGCGGCCAATTGCCAATTGCAGAATATGCTCACTTTTCATTTTTCCTTGGGTTAATCGTGTTTTGGACACTGTTCTACCAAGTAAGCTAGCTCAGTGGAACATACACTAAGTATATTTCCAGCTCTTATTCTACGTCCCTGTAATGATTACCGTCTTGCCTTCCCAAAAACACGAATCACTAAAAACCATTGGCCGGAGTGACACAGCGAAATCACTTGGTAATTCGGTTATTTTTTCTGTAACAATATTCAGACGGTTGTGCACCTTTACTTGGACATCCAGGCTTTGTCACGATGGGTTTGGTACTTATATTGCTACTCGGAATCGCAATCCCAGCATTCCTCGGAGTACAAAAGGTAGAAAATCAATTTGCAAGTCTGAGAATATTTTTATAGATTCATGGCAACCTCGACTATAGACATCTATTGATGAAGAGCGAGAAGGCAAATCGTGGAATTGAAATCATGAGCGATATTGTAAGCTTTTTTTTTGTGATGAAAATTTATGTATGGCTTTCAGGTCTGGCCCGACTTCTTGCAAGTAATGTTCTACATTCAAAACCCTCCGGATTTTGGGGATGAGAGTCAATATGCACAATTTATGGTAATTTAAGAAACATTTTATTGATATAATTATCTTTGTAGTCGATGGTAGATGAGATTCAAAAACTCGATGGGGTGATGACAATGAGGGAGAATATGATGTTCGTCAAAGATTTCAGAAAGTTTGCGGAGACACCGGAGAATGCTACCTGTATTTTTGACTTCTGCATACTCTAAAAACCTAGTTTAGCCCTTGATATGAGCCAATTCAAGAAGTTTATCACTGATGAGATGTACCAGGCTTGGAATTCGGGCGTGCAGTATCGTATGGATTACGAGTATGCAGTTGTGTATATTTTTGAACCCTGAATTAAGCCCTGTGACGAATACTACCAAACCTGTCATAACAAATATGTTGTACTTGGTAGCATTTAATGGCACTAGTTCGATTGCGGACAAAAGTTCTTTGATGGCTAGATGTCGAGGGGTAAATTGAGCAGGTTTTACAACAAAACATTTCCATTCAGCTCTCCGCGAAATTCCCTCAATTCCAAGTGGTACCTTTTGATACTGAGGTTGGCATGGCTGATGTGATTCAACAAGCACCAGGCGCTACACTTATGTACGTGCTTACGAAAAATCGGAACTCTTCCTTTTCCTTGACAGCAAAAACAAAATTGTGCTTTTTAGCCTCCCTACCATCGCTTTCCTGAGTCTGCTCCTGTGGTTCGCGATTCTCGCAGGAAACTTGAGCACAAGCCTGGTTGCTGTCCTCTCATCAGCTTTTATTTATTTTGGTAAGTAAGATTAAAAAATTATAACGCTTTTTCAGGATCTTACGGTCTTTGCTCGCTTGGTGGGATGGCTGTAAACCCTTTCACCGTCGGAACTTTGTTCGCTCTTGCTGCCCTGTCCGTCAAAACCGGTAGTAGCCGTCCGCCTAATTTATCATATTTTTCAGTTGTGCCCTTCGCCTATTTCTTCCAAATCTCGTCAACAATGTACAAGGACGAGAAGGTGCAAAAGATGCGGGATGCCATGTCGAAGGCTTTTTATCCTACTTTACAGGTGATTAAAACTAGTTGCAAGCTTTTAGATGTTGATGATGTTAATAATCTACAATTTTAGTCTGTGCTCTGTTCGAGTGCATTCCTGCTCCCCCTATTGCTCATCCCAATAGAGCTCTTCTTCTGGATCGGAACATTAAATGCTGTTCACATGACGCTTAGTCTTTTACTTTCTGGGTTCATCATCCCTGTTATTCTGTCGCTACTCCCTTCCTCACTCCTCAATAATTTCTGCGGCCTATGCCAATCCGTATAAATCTATTGCTTCCACTTCTACACCCATTTTCATTCATTTGTACATATCACTTCGGCTCCGAAATTACAATTTCGACCAATCCGATCGATTCAAACCCGTTTTTCAGTCGTGCCTTCCTTTTTCTAGTTCCTTGGCTATCAATTTCATTTAATACCGGCCTTAATTGAACACCAAATACGGGCTCCACTGTTATGTTACTGTAGTTATGGCGCATTCTAAAATCTCAGTTTATCCTTTGTTGCTCATCCACTTTACAATCAGCAATATCGGCCATCAGGGAATGCGTTTATTTTGCTCTACATGTTGTTTGTGCATTTTTTCGAATCCATAAATCTGTTCGTCAAAATTTTTATGGCCTCCGCTTCAACACGAAAATTACATTTTAACGACCCGAATCTCCGGAATAGAAAAACAAAGACAAGTAAAAGAGGAATTCAGAAGATTTTAACAAAAACCCATGGTCTCAAGATGCTGCAGTTTGTACTGGCAATACGGCGGAACGGTGGGGGCAAATTAGAATGGCTGATTTGAGTGACGAGTGGAGATCGGTAAACAATGTGTAAATTAAAATAAGCAAAGGGAAAATAGAGGAAAACTAAGTAAGGAACGATGAGAAACGAAATAGATGATGTCATGACGAGATATTGATTACTCCTCTTCGCTTTCTTGCTGCTCCTGTTCTTCCATAAATTCCACAACTTGTCGGACAGCGTTACTGATCCGACTAAGAGTGCGGTTGTTGTATGCACCATTTCCGGGTACGAATTCATTCTAAAACTTTTTACATTACTCACTACCAATCAATCGATCAAATTTAATAAATGTGATGAATATGAGATGCACTAAAAAATGAATGACTAATTAAAAAGCTTCATAAATGTTGACTTTTTATGAAAGATCCTACCTTATATAATTTTGGCGCGTATGTGTGTGTGTGTGTGTGGATGTCACTTTCGAGGCCCGATTTGAGGGCCTTCCCGTGCATAAAATGCTCTAATTCTCCGTCACCCGGGGCAATCGAACCTTCTGTTTCCGATGGCATTCTCAGAATCTCGATAAAATACAAGTTTACAAAGTTAAAGCCGGTTTTATTCATTTTTGGGGGTCCCTGAGGGCTAATTTGCATAATGCGAAAAATACAAATTTCCTCATTCATGCCAGTTGCACTCGCCCGTGTGGTCGGCAGAGGGGAGGGGTCCGAAGGGCCCGAGTGATCGGAAAGTCAAATTTATCATGCAAAAACCGCAATCCAGCGCCCAAGGCCCGCAAAGCGGGTTTTGGGCCCTGGTTGCTAAATAATTTAGATTTACCTCATCTTCATCCGGTGTAATCCTACGGCAGAACGATGAAAATAATACTTGATGATCCGGCAGCGCAAAAATTTCAAACTCCTAAAAATCGATATTTCGCAAAAATCGATTTTTCCATGCCTTTCTCATATATTCCTGGTAGTAGGCGTTAATCAATTTCACCGTCTTATGCTTCTCAGCCGGCTCACATTTGTGTAACACAACTTTTTCCTTCAAAATTTCATTGTACATTCCATTTTTAAACTCCTTACATGGCACATGTTGTGGCAAGATACAAACGTGCAGATCCCGTTTTGACGCTCAAACTCCCGCAATCCCTCCCGCGATAGCTTTCTGCAAGAGCACTATTAATTTGGCACTCAAAAAAACTACCGCTGCTCCAAAAATTTCCGCTCCGCAGGTGATATCCGCTGTTGCACTACCCGATCGCAGACAGTCGAGCATTCCTTATGCACGATTTCTTTTGTCTTGCTGTAAAAAAGATGGAGGTTCGCGTGATAATTGCAAAGGGACGTTCGTAAAGTGCAAATATTACCTCAAGCAGTTGATCGAATTCTTGAACTCTTGGTAGTGCAACTCGCAGATGTGGCGTTCGGGTGTCCACTCGAGCTTGCGATGTCCGCATTCATTCTAAAGCGAATAACTCCAAAGTGAGGAATAATTTAGAAACCTTGTAACAACTTGATTTCTGGGTGGTAATTCCGCAAAAGCTTGTCAGTTCTTTGCGCGATGAAATGACGGTCAAATCGAGGGGTACATCAAAAAAGTTGAGATCGAAGGGCTTTCCATGGAGCACCTAGCAAAATTAAAAAAAATTGACAAAGATATATTACTTGAAAATCGTCTTTCCACTGCGCGTCGCACTGCGTTTCGCAGCTGGCTTCTGTTGCTTTAGATTCATCTGAATTCCGAGCAACTTCGCGACGCTGATGTCTTCGGGGATGGGTGTCGATGCAATTTGCGAGCAAAACTATACCAATTCAATAGTTACCAAGTAATGACTTACTCAAAACAAGCAGTTTCTTCATTTTCGAAAATATCTGCGAGGTATCCGGGTTTTTACGCCGAATTCCGGTCGTAACAAGTCTTGTCTTCGAGGAGTGTCGAAACGCGGCGACGGGTGTGTCCTGATAAGCTGATGACTTGTAGAAGACATTGGCAAAATGTTGCGTAATTTGATGGGGAATATAATCGTACTTTCGAAATAGGCTTTGAAGGTTGTATTGCAAGAATAGGAATTGAAAACTACAGTAGGAGATGAGGAAAACCACTAGAAACTGAACCAAAGCCCGTTCAAAAGCGGAACTTTCAGAACAGCCAGACGGCGCTACCGAAATTCTGGAAATTGAGAAAAATAGCTAAATGGTTTGCTGAACTTATATTGCAAGTAAAATATAGTGAAGAGCTACAGTAAACAATCCTAAACAAGGCCGAGGCCGTATTGCAAAAATGGGAGCCAGAAACTACAGTAAGCAACGAGGAAATTTAGAAAAAATAGGCACAATCGGCTCAAGAGCGGAACTATCAAAACAGTCACCACGGCGCTATCGAAATTCTGGAAATTCTGAAAAAAAAACCCATTTGCCCAGGGGTGGGGTCGACGGGGCCCCAAGAATAAGCGGTTCAAATTCCAGGCGCGCCACGGCAATTCATTTGATCGGTGCCGCCTTTTATGAGACGATACGGTGGGTATTGTGTCAAAGTACAAACAGTCGCCACGGTTTTTCAAACGAGGAACCGACCAAGGGGGGGTGTTCGCGGCTATTTTTGTTGAGTGCGACTCGGTTGGGATTGCGACGATCAAATCGAAAACACGTGGGGGAGGATGGATGAAAGGGGGTGAGGGGCTCAACATTCGCTCACAGAGTATCCGCCACTAAACTTTAGCCAAGATTTGGGAGGAGAGGTGGCTAGGAAATATGTTGCAAGTGGCGGCGAAAGTTAAAAATAAGTCGAATGGGGATGCTATTTGCAAATGAGGGTGTTATAACTCATCAAGGGGCGTCTGATATCAGGACGGAAGCCGTGGGCAGCCCCCATGGTGACTCACAAAGACGCTAGACTTTTGTAAGGAAATCTCGTAAGACTTCTGGAAAAATTTGCTTCTCGTGCAGTTTTTAAAAAGATTTTGGTCCACCCTATTGGTGCCGATCTCCTGTAGCGAGCCGTTTTTCTCGAACTCACAACAGGGATGTGCCGAGAATAGATTTGTAGGCGTAAAAGGGGACGTGGTGCACGGGTCGGTGTTTTCGCTGAGCAGTTAAAAATAGGGGTTTGATTGGTATAGAAATTTGGAAGAGAGCAACTTTCAGAATTCGGTAGTGGTTGCTGGGGGGCGTACCGCACTCCTGGAAAAGGGTTGTGATGTTGAAACGTCAAAATGAAACTGCCAAAAGCTTCTGGTGAGGCACGATTGTCATTAATGCGCTTAAAAAGTAGTGCAAACGCCCCAGCTTTTTTTCAGGTAGATTTTTCAGATTTCAGATAGAATTTTCCACCTTGAATTTCAAAGAAGATGTGATGCAACTCAAAACACAGCTTCCAAAATAAGTGCATCACCAAAATTCCAACTCGCCAACCCGCTTATCGCCGCCAAAATTCCATAGTTTTTAGTCATTTTAGGCCAGAAAAGCCGGCGGCCCTTGAAGAAATATGCAGGTGGATGGTGCAGCTGTGTGAGTGTCCGTCGAGCGATGTTTTAGTGCCCCAGCGACCCGATAGAGATCATCGAACCGTTTCGATCCGGAGAGGCTCAATCTACATCGCTCGAAATAAACCCTCTGATGCTTGATAGCCGGGCTGGGGGGTGTAAAGCAACTTCATGGGAAATGTACTTCGAGCAGGTGGTGTTCGTGAAAATCTGGGACTAATTGGAATATTCCCACTAAGTTTGCAGGTGGTTTTGAGGTGGGATTTGCAGTGTTGTAGCGTAGTAGTCTTCCGGCAAATTTATTATACATCCGGATTACAGAAAAAAATTTTTAAGTACTTCAGAAAAGTAAAAATTAAAGCAAAAAAAACACTTTTTTGATGATCACATACATTTCGCTGAGGACAATTATTAACAAAGAAGAGGTCAAATCGTTCCGGACGATCTATTATCACATTCGGAATACGGAAAATGCTATCGAGAGGTTAAATCTAAGGATCACACGCATTTCCGAATATTAATCAAACATATATTGCAGATAAATATCATCTTCTTGTATCCGGACCGAAGGAAAACCGAGAAACCTTGGCAAATTTTTTAGGGTGGATAGTGAATGCTCCATCGTTTTTCCGGGTGTAGCTGGAAATAAGGAACATACTGATCAGAAAAAATATTACGGTACCTGTAATTATTTGCACTAAGGAATTGCAGAAAATTGTTCTTGGTCACGCTGGATCCAGTGCTTGCTCCATATCCGGTCACAACTTCCAAATCCGTCTTTATTGCTAAATCAAAAAATGGTAGAGATAAGGTTTGGAGTACCTTTAAGTTGCAGCAGCTCCTTCATCAGGGCAAGTGCACCGCGATTTGACATGTAGTGGAGGTCAATACTTTTTAAGTTGTTTTCGGCAAGATAATAACTAAAGTTTCTTATGTCTAAAGAAGTCATAATTACCCACCGTCTTTTAAGCTGATTTGCCTTTTCCACCAGGGCTTCCCATTCCCTTCTACGCTGGTCAGCCCGTCGCATATAATTCTCCGCGCCTGGCCCGCTCATACTGTAATTTTTTTCGGAATTACGAGTAAGAAGCTTGGAAGCTACCTGGCGGCGGCTTGTATGCAGTCGTTCTGGTTTTTCTGCAAGCCCTCAATGCTTTTCCAGATATCCTTCACCTCTTTTTCTAGCGCTTCCGCCTAGACATATGGTTAAGCACAGAGTTATCGACTTGCCGGAGATAACCTTCGTTGAACGCTACAGCCTACTGGCTGGGACCTCAACTTCAGAAACGCTTGAAGTTGTTTTTCACCGCTAAACTGACAATGGCATGATGGTTGGAGAGAATCTGACTAACCTGGTCAAATAAATTCTTGCCATTAATTTAGCATTGACGTCCGAATTCTCTTGTGTGATGAGTTCTAGTTGACGTTTTTCATATTCGCTCAATTCCGCCTAAATTTCGTCAATAATTTTTCCTATCTTACAATGATTTTCTCTTGGGGAGGTATCGTTTTATCCGCATTGTTGGTGGCAGCGAAATTGATCAGGTGCAAGATCCAACCAGGTACCGGGTAGTTAAAGCCCTTGTTTGGACATCCTTGATCTATACTAGTAAATGCTAATTTTATACACGGCTATCATACCAAAAAGGTGTTTCAGGTAGTCTTGGAAGAGCTCGTCATTGGGGAGCTGGTGCTTTTCCTCAGTAAGTTCTTCCAGCTTGATAGGCGCATCATCGCGATCTAAACTGTTAGTTTACGAGCAAAGGTGGATGTATTACCCAACAACATTGCGAGGTATTGGACATCGGGCTTAACAACCTTATAGTTGTTCCAAGCCCTATATAAAAAATACAATAAGTCCTTCGAAATCGCTCCAAAGACAAGGTTGCCCTGAGTACATCCACCTAAACATTATCTCAAAAATGCGGTTACATCATCCACTCACCATTGTATTGAATCAAAAATGCACGTAATCGTTGTGAAATTACGTTGATAGAAAGCATCGTCTTTGATAAATCTATGGCCCGGGCTTAAAACCGCAGATACACGCATAGAACGAGAGCTACCTTTTTTGGGAGAATTTTTAGGTGCAGCTTGGGCTTCAGTTTTTGCCTTTGGCTTGTTGTTAAGTCGTCCTCGTGAGGTGATGGTCATCTCCTTGAGGGTATCAGAAAGTTATTCGCAAATATCTGAATGGGATCCTGCAAAAATGCAATGCGGGTGCCAGAATGTCTAGAGGAGGGCCCTTTCGAGAAGATAAAAATGAATCAGAATGAATCAGAGCCTCTGTGACAAAGCCTCAAATTTCGCTTATTTTATGTAAAACATATTGATCTTTTAGGCACCCCGCAGCGAGGGAGAGTTGCAGTTGAAGCCCGAGGGAAACCCAGCGGGGCGGCATTTCCCCAGATCTTCATCAATATTGGCTCACGCAACTAATGGTTGCGCCCTTTTTGGCACTTTTCCCGATAAGATCGACCGTCAAAAGAAAGGGAACGCGAGCCAATGTTCGTGGTAAGCGCTTAACTAGGTGTAACAAGAAGCGGCTTTTAAAGCCCAAAATTTCCCAAAAATGTTGTATCGTCCAGGCTAAAATTCAAAAAACGCGGGGTGAATTTTCGGTTGCAACAAAATTCGAATTTCGTCATTTTTCCGATCGCTTATTTCAAATGCGCAGGATACGAAAGTCATCTAAAGAAAGTTTGATGCTTAAGAATCCCCCGTTTAGCCAGCTGACGCCTTAAAAATTTATCTTAATTCGTTAATCCGGCAACAAGCGTACGCTAATTTGCTTATGGGATTTTTGTATGTGCAGTATGCAAATAGTAGCTCAGAGACCTGCTAGAAGGGAGTTGTTTATCGCATAGAAATTTGTTAGCTATGTAAATCACACGCGGGAAAATGAGAAAATATACAAAAATGCATAAAAATTTGATACAAAAAACACAACTCAAATGCCACCAGTTAGCGAGATTCGGAATGTTTCGAGGCAGCGGATATTTACACCGAAATTAATAATTCATAATATGGCGAATTAGAAGAAGAAAATGTAGATAAATATAAATCAAGAAATCGATATATAGAAAATTAAACCCATTTAGGAAAAATAATATTCATAAAAAGTTTTAGAATTGTAATCAAAGACAAACTAATAATGGGCTATCAGGAGGACATCTATGAAAATATGTCAATGTACAAAATCATATGGAAAAATTTACGGTATTAGTAAAAAACTTATTATTGCGCTCCTTAATTTCTTATTTTGCCGTGATGATGAAGGAGCCCTTGTTGTCCATTTGATAACTAAAAAAAGTAAAATCAGTAAAAACCCCATGAATTAAATTTAAGTTAAAAATTGCAAAAATTCAAATTCAACTTACATATAATTATTGGTGAACAAATACTGCTTGACGGCGTCCCGGATCAAAGACGAGCCGGTGGTCTTGCCATATCCGGTGACGAATTCGATCCGGGTGCCCGGGCTGGCCTGCGCGTTCCGCGCCTTCACGCTTCCTAAAAAAATTGAAATCATTTTCTTCTCATAGAGTTTAATTTTAATGCAATTTCTCCCTTTAATACCTGTCAAAATTTTACACAAAATCGAAAAATGCGCAACGCGGTTTGGTTTACGCGCTTACTAGTGGCCCAGGGTTTTATGCAGTTTAAATGGCTAATTACTTCTGCTAATCCCTGACCATAAACGTAAATTGTGTAAAACGTACTGTCGTACTGAGCCAGCTTTTTCTTCAGCAATCCCATCGCCCCCGCCAGCGTCATGAAGTGGGCGTCGACAAATGTTCCAGGGCCCGAGAAGAACCTGAAAATAAAAACTTAAATAAACCAAAATTGACGAAATTGCGAATTTCGCATCCAATCAAAAATTTCACTTACCGCTGGAGCATATCGTCGACCTGCTGCTCCTCGTCAATGGCCTTGCGCCTCAGGACATTTGCCTCCGTGACGTAGTGGTTGGAGGCATGGCCCTTGTGCCTGGAAATGAATAACTAGTTCAAAAATTTACTAGAATTTTCATAGTCTAGAGATTAAAAAATTAATTACCTGCTGGCCTTCTCCCGGACCTCGCGCTCCTCCCGCCGTAGATGGCCAGCCCGCGTCCAGGCGGCTCTGGCACTCGTCTGCAGCGCCTCCAGCTCCGACCGCTTCTCCGACTCGGTCGGCAGCGGCTTCCTCTCAGCCGCCGTAGTGGGCTTGGCCGGCTGCGCGTACTCGCGGAGGATGTTCTCCACGACTTCGGAGCCGCTGAAAAGAGTCCATTAACTTCAGAAACGGCGCAAGTCACCAAAGAGCCCAAACAAATTGCAGTAATACTTACTGGGCTAGGTAGAGCTCCTCAATGACGGTCGGGTCGACACCCGGGTACCGCTCCTTCAGATGTTTCAGCGTGATACGTTGGGTCATCGACATTTCGCTCTATAAATGAGAAGTATATTATTGCTATTATCTTAAGGGAATTAGGAGTCCAAAGAAGCTGAACTTACCGGCCTCGTCGGGGAGGGCGGAGGGGAGCTGCGGGACGATTGTACGGCGGCCACGTAAAGCGCCCGCAGCACCCAGCAGGGGACTTCGTTCCGGAAGCCGAGACTCGGCTGATGGGATTCTGAAAAATCAATACTTGGTTGATGTATCCATTTATTTTAAGAGGATTTTTGAAAGAAAAGCTTACGGAACAGCGTCGTCAAATAGTTTTGGAAGCCGCGGTCTTCCGGCAGCTTGACGCGCTCGTTCGCCATGTTAGCCAGGGATGGCGGGACCGTGTCGACGTCTGAAAAGAGTTCATAAAATACCATAACCTGCCTACGATAGTAAAATTAAGACCAATTCCGTAATAAAACTTACTCATGAGCATGGCCAGGTGGTCCTCCTTTGGGCGGTCGATGCGGTAGCCGTTCCACGTCATGTAGAGGAAGAAGAGCAGGTCGCTCGTCACCGGCCCAAAACTGGGCTCGGCTTCTTCCTGGGCATCTGGAAAAGATGTACTAATAGACTAATTTAGTAGCTTTTATTAGTTAGTCAAATAAAAATCTGATTGAGGGCAGCACAGGTACAAAAAAAAGTTGTATCTCGCCCTTCGCCCCCCCCCCCCACCCTATACCCTTTACACATGCTTTTAAGGCGAACTTTCAAGGATTTATAACCTTGATAAATAATATTAAAATATAAACCGAGGGAAAGTTGGGGCAGGCGATAGACATTTTGAGAGCTAAAGCGAGAGAGGGGGAGATCGAGCGAGAGAGATAGAGAGAGAGAGAGCGAGCGATAAATTTAGCAAATTTTTATAGCTGTAGACTTTAACTCCTGAGCGTGTGTTTAAACAATAAAATGTTCAGTTTATTTCTAATGATCTTGCCTGTCATTTTAACGCGGTCTCGAACTTAGGTCTAATTTCCCAAAACAGGATGAAAGCCGCAAACTACCGCCATTAAGCCATAAAAGATATGTTTAATACATACCAAATTGGGCCCACAACGCGGCACACAACGCGGCCGACATGGTGTTGACCGGCAGCTGGAGCTGCGCCAGGTCCACATATCCTAAAAAATTCATTTAAGGTTTTATATGTCTCTTTACCTTTCCTCGTGACCGCATTGTTCTTCTCGAAAACCGTGGCCCTCTTCTTCCCCCGCTGCTTGGTGTAGGTTTCGGAGACGATGGCCATGTTAATATCTTGTTCCTGAAAAAAAAATCAGAATAAATCAATACATATTAAATTTACAAGAAAGAAGTCCAAGTCCCACTCAACGATGGCATCAGCGTTGATGAAAAACTGGACTGCGGTTGGTAGGCTGAAATTTTGAATATTGATCAGGTGCTTGATAACAATAACCAGAGGGGTTTTTGGGGGCTTGCTTTTCACAATTAAGCATTAAGGAGAGGGAGCGGGGGCTCGGTAGTGAGAGCTTTTGGCGCGCTTTGACATCTGCATCCCAAAACGATGCACTAACAAGGGGCACAAGAATTGATTGGCCAAAGAGGGTGATATCTGCGATCCGATCTTTTTTTGGGAGGGGCTTTTCCTACCCGCGGTCCCTTACTAAGGCCATGTGATGCCGGGCCAGCCGGTGCCCCATACAGTTCCTCCCGATCCACCATCTAGATAACCCGAATTCTCCACCCCCACTTACTCAGTCATGTTGTAAAAATGGAGAAGCTCGTTTGGCGGAATAGAAGGGAAAACAAGTGTCATCAGCTTGAATGGCTCCATCCAGTACCTAAAATGATTTTCGGATCCGCTACCCTAGGGTATCGCTTACTCGGTTTGAGATTCGGTCGTGTCGTTGATGGTAATCCATGGTAGCCTTTTCCAGACCCAGGGTTCTTCATCAAACACGTCAATTTCAGGGTAGAATCCTACGCAGTTTAGGATGCTAAATTGGTTTTTGATTAAAGTGGTTATGAGCATACGTGGTTGTTTCGGTAGTTTGGGTGCCGACGGTGCGCACATTTTTCAGGAGTCTGGGATCGTCGAAAGGGACTGGAGGTGTCCGCGGTTCTAAATTTTTTTTTTCTAGTTTTCCTAATGCTAAATTCCAATTTTGAGCGCTGAGCTTTCTCCGAGTTCCTAATGCTTTAATAGCTATTGATTTGGAATTGAAAATAAAAGAAAGTTGAACTTATCCGACTTTGTTAGATTTTAATTAAAACTAATTATGTTCATGCAACAGTTGAATTTTAATTATGACATATTTAAGCGGGTACTGGGATTAAATTAAGCTGGATTAACTAATTCCCAGAAAAAGAAGTAGAATCTCCACAACCAACCTATTTTCCGAACATTTTCAAACCCCGGTGGGGGCCCAATAGACAATGTGTCTAGAGGCGGAGGTGTCGGGCTCTTCTCTAAAATTACGATAATTATCCCAGACTGTATGTAACCTTTTTTCGTTGTCCCCACATGGGAAAGTGAGATGAGTCCAAATCCCATTGGACCGATCTGGGGGTTATCTAGAATTCAAGGTTCTTCTTTATTAATGCTTGACGGTATCCATACCTTTCTCCTCTTGAATCCTATCCAATGTCCTAAACAACTTGGCCGTAGACGGCCCAAGGCTAGCGAGTGCCTCATGCTCCATTTCGTTCAAAAGAGGGGTTTGAAGCCTCGAAAGATTTTTATAAATTTGCCCAAAACCCTCCTTACTTGACGGTATGCCCATACGAAGCCAAAAGTCTTTCGAATGTTGGCAGCTCTTCAAATCCATTCTTCATGCTAATTATTGCGTCTTGCGAGACCCGGTGTCGATTTCGTCTTAAATATTTTTGCTATACCGTAGAAAAATCGGCATACTTTGCGCATTCCCTCAATTTCCATGCCCATTCGGTCGACGGAGTAAGGAAATAGATCTCATAGAAGTGTTGTAGGGCCTGTAAATCATTTTGAGCTTATGAAAGGAAAGCTTTAACCCACCATTGTAATGTAGGGCCTTAGGTGGTCGAGCTTAATGTTTGTGTTGTCGATCATGACGAGTTTTACGCCTTTTTCCAAAGAATGCCGTGCTAAATTGAGATCAAATTTTAATATTAATAATTTTTAAATTACCTCTCCGTTGGTTGCCGGCATGATAGTCTTGAAGACGGTTTTTATCGAAGCGATAGTTCCCTTCACGGTCGAGAAAGAAATCGTCTGTTGAGCAGGTTGCTACGGAGTCGACGGATAGTAGAGCCAAATCACTGAAATGATTTATTCACCCGGATCTTACCAAATTTGAGGGGCTCAAATTTATAAATAACCAGCGCCCAAAACCCGCTTCGCGGGCCTTGGGCGCTGGAAAGCGGCTTTTGCATAAGAAATTTTACTTTCCGATAGCTCGGGTCCTTCGGACCCCTTCCCCGGCCCACCACACGCGCGCGTGGAACTTGCAAGAATGAAGAAATTTCTATTTTTCACATTATGCAAATTACCCCCAAAAATGAGTAAAGCTGGCTTAAACTTTGTAAACTTGTATTTTATCAAAATTCTGAAAGCGCCATTGGAAACAGAAGGGTCGATTTCTCCAAGCGACGGAGAATTAGAGCATTTTATGCACGGGAAGGCCCTGAAATCGGGCCTTGAAAGTGACATCCACACACACACACAGTTACACGCCAAAATTATATAAGGTAGGATTAAAAAAGGGCCGGATTTTAGCCATTCTTACCAACGGTGCATTTTTTGCAACGATAAAATTTCTCCAACGTATAATGTCTAGCCTTTTTTGGTAGTTTCTATTTAGTTTTGGCGTTCCATAATTTTTTAAATAATATTTACTCAGCTATCCGGCGCTCACCTTAACTAATATAACATCTTTTAGGCTTTTTTTGGCAATTTTAATAGTTTTGGACATTTGTTAATTTTCAGTTAATACTTACTCAGCCAAATGCGATTTCCCCGATCCTGGGAGGCCACGGAGAATAATCATAACATTGTGCCCTTCCTTGATACAACGCCTTATGTTGGCCACATCGGTTTGGCCATCGAAACATTGCGCATGGACGCGGGGCATTCGGGATTCGGAGGTTGCGAAGTCTTTTTTGGACGGATCATAAGTAAGGCAGCAGTGTTGTCTGCCCTTCATTGATAAGATCAAGGCAGATTGGGTGCATCTATTGCATGAAACACGCCGTGTCGAGCCGGTATTTGGAGTATTGCGGGAGGACAGGTGTGGGGTGTTATATGAGAGGGAAAGGCTGTAGTCGTCGCAACGAATGCGGGAAGCGATGATCCCTGCTAAAAGGTACTTTAATTCTCGAGTATAAGAGGGTAACGACAATGGTGCAAATTCAAAAGTAAGGTAGGTAGTAAAGTTTAGAAAATAAATTGGTTTCACGATTTTTTTGCGGCGCACAAATAGTTCATGGATCATTTTGTGATTTTTTGCCAAGTCTTAAGACAATAGCTAATGGTTAATTGTTTATTTGGCTACAAAACTGTGTGGAAAGAAGTTCTAGGTATTTCCGTACGATTATTACACACATATCAGCGGCTCAATCGCGTACAAAAATTTTTATCCCAATAACGCGACGTCCGCTCAATCCATTACGTCATGTTAATCTGGTTGAAATTCTCAGAAGTAGAAGAAAATAACCGAAAATTCGGCGCGGCGGAGCTTGAAAACGAGCCAGGTGAACAAATTACTGCTCCGGAAGAAAAAGTTTTGATATGCATATTTCAGAGACCTACTTATTCGATTAGGAGAAAATTCAGAATTTTTGAGGTAGGATTCGATAGCGTAAGCATAATTCGGCACCCGCTTTTGGGGATGGGCCAAAAAAGGCAAAAAACCGGTGCGACCTACCTAGTTGAGTGTAGTGGGTGGTCTTCGTGTGTGGTGGGAAACGTCGTGTTGGTCTCCGGGTAACCGACCAAATGCCCGCTTTCACCACCCGGGCGTCGAAAAAGCTCGGGCCCAAGGGAGGAAAAAATGTGAAAAATAATCTAGTGCTCACTGAAACTAAAACTAATATATCTAAAAAATGCCACGGGTCTCTAAGCATCGTAAATAATTACAAGGTTTTGAATTTAATCAGGCCACAGGAACTTTTCGATTTCCGACCGCATAAAAAAATAAATGCTGTCATATGGCGCCCAGTAAAAAATAACTGAAAAAGCAATTTATTAGCGGGTATTTGATTAATTAAATATCAATAACAATCAAGGTTTTTGCGTCGTTTCCTCGGCGCACGGTGGTACCAAAACGCTTGGCAGTGTAACGAAAGCCATGTATTCATCTTTCACCTAAAAACGGATATAAATGAAAACTTCTTTCTTGGTAACCTCATTATAAATTGCCAAGAAATCAACATCAAATGTTCTGAGGCCATTTGGCAGCCGGATCATCACGTCATCACCATGATAATTTTCTAGCGGCTCGTCACTGTAAGAAAAACATCGCAAAATCAATCCATTTTTCTTAATTACCCCTCAAATCCAAGTACTCGAGCTCGACGTTGCCCTTCGATTTTATTCGGGAAAGTTCCAATTCCCACAAAGAAGAATGAGGCTAAAAGTCCAAATTTCATAAAATTTAGAGCGCCACTAACCGGGCTTTTCTGATTTTTCCTGGAAAACAAAGTCCGGCACCAGAATTGTATTGCAGTTCAATATCCTGACAGGCCCGGAAGTAATACGCTTATTCTTGCCCTAAACACGCTTAGAGTACTAGCCAACTAATTACCTGAATCGGGGCCACGATTTCTTCCCTCGGTGGATCGAGACCATCTAGGGAAATAAGAGGTACTGGTTCCTAAAGACGTCCTAGGTATCGGATGGGCATTGTTCAGCAAACCTTTGTGCACTGGTTGTATAGTCCGATCCATCTATAATCCGCGAGAGCAGCACCATTTGTTAGTAGAAAAGCAGCTTTTCCATTTTCAACAATAGGGATGGAGAAATGATTCAAGACTTCGAGTTTGGTTGGTTTTATCTAAATTTTAGTCCTTTCATGCAGAAGGAGGTGAAGTTCCGGTCATGAAGCACGAGATAGTCATTCATCCATTCCTAAGTCCAATTTTATGGGATGACGCGACCCATTTTTTGGACTTTTAAGGGCCCTCGATCCCATGGCTTTCGGGCCATTCGTGGCCGGATCTTAAAATTTCTCACTAACCACCTCATTTTTCATCGGCGGCCTTGCTTTAATAATCGGCTTCTTGGTAGTGGTCGTGGTCGTAGTAGTAGGTGCAGCTAAATAAAAACTTCAAAATCCTATCCTATAAGCGAGAAAAGTATGTTTGTTTTCTGTAACGACGATTTCTCGGCCGTCAGGCCGAATTTCGCGCTGATTTTTGGCATGGAGGCGGAGAAATGCATTTGCCAAACACGCATTTTTTTTTGTTTTCCGAAATTCTTTGATTTAACAATTTTACAAGCAAAATAGTAAAAATCCTTAACAAAATGGGCGACGAGCCGTGGTGTTCGGGCGATAACTTGATTCGCATTTGGAATTTCGGGCTGAAATTTGGACCAGTTATGTATTCGATAGTGGGGATCACGCGCATCTTATTATCTTTACAAATTTTTTGCAGATTCAGACTCAAAAACTTAATTTTGTAAAGTGACCAGAAGGCTTCCCTCCCGGGGCATGGGTCGGCCTTTTCTGTGCCTCCCCGCCCCCCTGTTCCCCGGAACAGAAGAGGGCTTCCCCGCCGCCTGTTCCCATCTACCCCGTGGTGTAGTGGATTTACGCCAGGCCTATCACGCCTTTAGTCGTGGGTTCGGATCCTGAGCAAATCTAACTTTTTGCTTTTTGGCAGTTTAGCAACTAACCATATTTCTAGGCTCTCGGTGTGCGAGGTTTAGGCCTGGCCCTCGCTCTAGCGCCGCAGGCCAAAGAAAAGGCCCTTGACCCAGGCTCTCGCGCCGCAGGCCCAATCCCGGAGAAAAACCAGTAACTCGCGCCGCAGGCCAAAGAAAAGGCCCTTGGTCCAGGCTCTCGCGCCGCAGGCCAAGGATCGTCCCTTGACACAGGCTCTCGCGCCGCAGGCCCAGCCATAGAGAAAAACCAGTAACTAGCGCCGCAGGCGCAAAGGTTTTAGCGGAACGCTGGCTCTAGCGCCGCAGGCCAAAGAATGGCGCCATTCAGGGACGTAGCGTAATACAGGCCCCGGGGGCCCGGCCCCCGAAATCGGCCGGGGCCCGAAAATTTCATAAGGGGGGACCCTATGATTTTTATTTTCTCAAAAATTTTGCTGCCTTGGACGCTATTTTTTCACGTTTTTACGGCTAGTTGTAGGGCTATGTAACCCTTTTTTTTCAAAAAATTTTGCCTGCGGCGCTGTTTTTTTCGGCAATGTTTTGAGTTTTTGGAAAAATTTTTTGGGGGCCCCTCTCCGAAAATTTTTTCTGGCTACGCCCCTGGCGCCATTACTCAGGTTCTTCCGCCGCAGGCTAAAAGAAGAAGGTATTCAGATTCATGATTCCTGGACGGGGTCCAGTGGAAAATGGCCGCGGAGCGGGCTTTTTCCACTGGTCTATGAATACTACCGTACCCGTCACCCTCGTCGTCATTGTGGCCACTTCCCGAGGGGCAATTGTCGTGCTCACGCCATTAGGCACTACTCGCAACTTTTAGCCTTTTCAATTATTTAGGTACCTAATTTGTTTTCCTCGACGTCGGCTGTGTCCTCTTCAAGGAATGGAACACTGCGGTCCAGCTCTTGCTCAATTCTCCTCTCCAACTCTTTGATCGTGACGGACTCGGGGCTTTTCTCTTCAACTACCAACACTTTCTGAAAGTATTTGGTTTTATGGAAGCTAACAGCCCAGAATTTTTTCGTCAAAAAATTCGACGCATCTAATCTACGTCTGGCTGCGGTTTTATGACCGGGGGACATCAATTTCGTTAAGGTGACGGCAGGGAAGATGGAGGGGAATTGCTAATTAAACAAACGGATACGTTTGTGTTTGGAGGTTTCATTACGGGTTGTCTGATATTTGTTGTGAGATCGGTCGTAGGGGGAAGGAGGGGGGGCAATAAATGGTGCTTCGTATCCTGGGAACGTTTTTTCCTGTGATGAGGCCCGTCATCTATTTTTTTTCGTTGGATTCATTCTAGTCTACCTTTGCTTCATTGTTGTTGATGTCAAGTCGATGTACAGATTTTACGTCAATGTCAACGGGCGTCTGAAATGTTTTGTAATACTATTTCAATTTTAAATAAATACCTTGCCCATCACCTCCAATTCCATACTTTCCATTTGTTTTTCCATCATCATTTCTTCAGTAGTTGTAGGTGCACTTGTCGTTGTAGTAGACGTCGTACTTGTCGAAGTCGTGCTCTCCTCCCTCCGGACCACCACTACACTCTCCCCGTTGTGGCCCATCATAGAGGAGATCTTGGCCCCAAGCCGTCTCGATTCCACTTCTTCCGAATCCTCCTCCATCGCCTAAATTGCATCATTTCGCGGGAGCTCGCCAAATATCAGCGTCAGAAAGCTGGCGGTGAGCTGCCAAATGCAGAGATTTGGAAGCCGTTTGCAGAATCTAGACTCAAAGGCAAACATGTTGCAGTTAAGGCCCTTCAAAAAAATTCGAATTACCGCATCCTCCTCCGATCCAATCATTTCCTCTTCCACCGGCATAATCATTGTAGTTGTGCTCATATGCTTCCTCCGATTTTTTCGGCGCTCAGCAAACTCCTCGGGAGTCATGATTTGAATACCTTTAAAAATATTGATAGCTCATGGAGATTACCAGGCCCTCGTTCCAAAATGACCTCAATTTCTTCTGCGGTTGGTCTGGCCGTGGCTGGCTTAGAAATCGGCTTCCTTCTCCGCGTTTCCGGCTAAATGCAAATGTGGATTCTTCATAGGGCATGCAAATCTTACTTCCAGCCTTATTCTTCCTTTCGCCACTTCTCCATGCACTAATTTCCTGACCTCCGTATTTTCCGTCGTAATCTTTCCATCATTCACCGCCCCATGCACGATTTGTTTTCTAGAAAACATAAAAAAACCTGCAACCCCTTACCGCAAAATCACCAGCGGAGCCGCCTTTGTAGTGCTGCTCTCCATCCTCACTACCCCAATACTTAATTATTAACCCTCTTAATATTACTATTTTCAATTTCTTCTCCAAGCTGCAGATCAACCTTTTCTTCCGGCTTCTTCATCTTTTTGGGTTCTAAGTCGAGATATATCCAAGATCCTAGACTCTGACCTTTTTCATCCATTTTTAGATGAGCAAAGCGAGGCCAATTCTCCATGATGTGTTGAAAAACATGTCTAAAGAAAATAGGCCTACGGGTGTGGGTAACCTTTTATGACGCGGCTTTAGGGATTTGTCTTCCCAGGCGAAATTCGGGGTCGAGAAGGGGAGTAGCACTCCATTTGTTACAATTCTGCCTTCATCTTTTCTCCTAGCCGGCCCAACCATCAAGGAAATGCCTAAAAGTTGGTAATAAGGTACTTTTGCAAAAAGCCAGTGCCAGGATAAGCCAGGTGCCAAGTTCGTCACCTGACCGTGAGAAATTCAGGGTTAAGCTGGTTTGGGTGTTTTTGCATTGGAACGCGGCTGCATAAATGGCCAGCCAAGAAGTGGTTCCGGTCGTGTTTTGGGAGTTTTAATATTTTTTTTACTTACATCCCGGGTTGATGGGTTTGTGGGAGAAGTGGGTGAGGACAATGGTGTGTTCATCTGCGGCGAAAACTTCGGCTGAGGTGTTCCACTTTTTGTAGGTAATTAGCCCAAGGGGGAGGCCATAATATTCTTCTAGAAATTTTTGAGGTATATTTTATGCTGACGCTGCGATGATGCGATGGCCATAGTACGATTCCCTTACCTTGCTGCCTAGCACTTTGCCCAGAAACTACATAGAAAATAGAAAATGAAAGGATCCAGAAAAACATCCGAAATATGTGAAAGGTGTTTGAATAGGGGGTCAGCTCATCAATGTGTTGTGGATCGAGAGGGGTGCTGATAGGACTAGTATAGTGATCCGGTCCTGGCTTCCCTCCTTCATTCCTTCCTTCCAACCCCCTTGGGGTGATATGGAGATTCGAGATAGCCTGACCGACATGCGAATCGCTTTTTTATCCCCCGACTCGGTTGAGGGGATCGCTAAAGAGCCAAACAAGGTCATAACCCTACTATTGTTCTTTATGGGGGTAGGTTGGAAAAACGAAAGTAGATTGGTGTTCAGAGAAAAGACACGGGAAATGTCATTGATTATAATAAATAATCTATATTAAATTCTACATACATGAAACATTCAAAAGTTGCGTTTGGGTGTGCCACTTTGCATACATGCCATAAGGAAGATATAGGGAGGAAGACGTTTGATGTAAGAAAATCATTCGGTATCAAATGATCTCGACACAATTGTGGTCTCATGAATTGTTAGGAGGAATACTATTGCCGATTTTAAATTTAAGTTTTTGTCTAAAAATTTGAGTGGAGTGTTTGCTGAATTTGTCGGGCGATATTAGCACCCACCGGAAGGGTTTAGATAATATCAAAGAAACCGAGGACCTATTACCAGATCTCTCAGACCGGCACAGAGTTGAAACGCGAAGCGGTTTTTGTCCCCACTTGAATTGTTCATTTTCCTGACCACCCAAATAATTTCAACATTACCCGCTGCACGACGAGAACAGATTCTTCCTTTTCACACGTCCACCAGCACCCCAAATCTCGAATTACCATATTTGGCGCGGAGCCCTAACCCGATTCTTGCTCAACGATCGTCATGGCCCAAAGAGGGAACCCCCTATGACGGGCCCCCCAAAAATCAGCGGCAGCCTCAAATTTCAACCAGATGCTCCCCCCTTCCCGCAAATACCTGCACCCCGTGCACCGGATATTCGCGAATTTCCGCTGTTGGTCTGCAACATGGGGCGGGCTTCCCCTGATTCTAGATTTGCACCAACATTTTTTCATTCGCTGGCACAGAGCCGAGCTGGGCGTTCGCAGACATGTTTAGCTAGTTGATTGTTGTATTCAGACGTGGCTGGCAGGGGGGAGTCGGCGAACTTCTTTGGAATAGCAATCCGGCCGGCCAGCGTATTACGCCACTTCCGGCCTGTCTCGTGTCTTCAAGTGCTTTGAGGATTTGGGGGTTGAGTTTTTCGAGAAGCATCCTTGTGCTGACGGTTTTTTTGGAGTTTTCTGGGGTTTCGGCGGGGAGTCAGAAATTTTTTGAAATTGTAAGAATTGTTGCAGGGGGTCATTTTGGTTGAGAACGAAACGGGAGGCCTTTAATTAGCCTAGGGATTTGGTGAAGGAGAAAAAGAAAAATTACGGATCTTTTTGAGTGGAACCAAATGTGTTCATGATGTTCGGAACGTCATTAATTTGCCAAAGTAGTTACTTAGCGATGCTTATTAACAATAGAGGCTAGACGACTACGTTGTCCCGAAGTGATTAATTTTTGGATTCTAGGCGATTGCAAGAATTCTGCAACTGCTTATTTTCAAGTTTAGTTGCTTTGTCCGACTTCTATAATTTTGGAAAAAAGGAAATTTTATAAAAATTAAAGCAGTTACTACGTGCGGTCCCGGAACCAATCCAGCAGCCTCCTAATTAGCCTACGAATTCCTTAAACCCGGAAAGACCTAGTCAAACCCTACCCGCCCTCCCCCCAGCTTCTTCCCCCACCCACCCGCTTTCTCAGCTATGGATGGTCTGAAATGTGTCTGAGAAAAGCCAGTGATGCAATAATTGGCTTGATGAATATGGGTGCGCCAGGGTTGCATTGTATTCGCGGGACCCAGCCGGCGCTGCCAAATCGGATTCGGAGCAACCAAATATAAAATACACCCCGCTGGGCCGGGGGCCAGCATATGTCTGATGATGGGCGGCTTGGGATGAGCGGTTTTACTGTGATATCGTGACAATGTTTTCATTTCTTTTCATTTTATGTTTTGTCGTTTTTTCGGAGTAATCTCCCCCCCAAGCTTAGGTACCCCGCCAGAATGCAGAAACTCCTCTTGGTAGCAGTTTTGCTTAGCGTGTTGGCGGTCAGCGTTTTCGGATTTGAGGTGGGTGATTTTTTAGGGGAAGCGCTTGGCTAGGCAGCTTGACTAGTTTGGTTTGGTGATAAGGATCCGATAAAGTGGTTTCCGGTCACACGGAGCTTTACGTAGCCATGTAAAGGCGCGTCTAAGTTTTTTAAGGGTTATGATAAATTTAATTTTTTTAGGATGGGGACGAGGTGCTCAGCCGAGTCTACCGGGCTCTCCTCCTCAAGACGAAGCGAAGCCGTAAGTTTTAAATGGTGATAGTTTAAGAAATAGTAACAAATAAGTTATTAATGGATTTTTATTGATGTTCCGAACTCTTTGCATTTATTGGATTTGTAACGGCTTCATTTAAGTTTATTGAATCACTCAAGCGAATACAGATTTTATTAGCTAGACCTAGACTTTTAAAGTATCAAAAACATCTGTTTGATCTATTTAACGCAAAATACAATCCATTTTCAGCCTCGATGGGTCTCTCCCTAGCCGAGTACATGGCCTCCCCCCAGGGTGGAGATAACTTCCACTTCATCCAATAAACGAGACACCATGTCCCTCGTGCCACTACCACCACCACACACCGCATCCCTTCCCCCCAACGTTTCGTATGTAAAACTGAATGAACACTATTTTTCCATCTTTTCAGAAAAATTCACACGCATACACACGAGTGCCCCGGCTTGCCCAGCCCCCATCCTCACCACCACTCAACTCCACCCAGCTCTTTTTGATTTGACCAGGCGGATAAACCTGTTAGGAATTTGTGTGTGTGGGAAAATGCAGTTAGAATTTGGAAATATACAAGATTGATTGGAGATATTGGAAATTTTATGTTCAAAACCTATAGATTACAAACAAAGTATCAAAAAGTACCAAATTTAAATTAAAGTTCTTTGCAGAAATTTGATAACCCGGAATAAAACAAAAAAAGGAATAAATAACGACAGCCAGATATTAAACACCAAAACATTACTTTAAAACATACACACAGCACAGTGCTTCGAAGAAACTTTCGCAAAGAGTGCTTGACGTGGCTTGGAAAAGGGACAAAAAAGGAGAAACAATAAATATAGTCTATACCAGGGTTGAAAAGCCGCTTTCGCGACTTTTCAACCCTGGCCCCTACTGACCCATGAAATTCTCCCCTTTCCATAATACGCCCTAACTGCGATGAAAAATAATGAGAAACGATCTCTCTGTCCTTATATATAGGCTACTGCAACTTCCGGCGTATGCTAATTTTTGCTAACAAAGAGGGTGGCCGAGAATTTTACAAAAACTTAAATTTAATGTCGAAAACAGCTGAATTTTTAAAATCTGATATGTGTGCAGTCATCTCCAGACAATTACGCATCTAATGACGTATCAAACAAACCTTAAAAACCTTCCCTTTCCGAGATATCCTCCGGACAGAATGACGGAAGTTGCATGCAAAGTGGCACGGACACACACACAGACACTATTTTTTTTATATACAGGGTGTCCCAATAAAAAAGGTCACGCTGGCATTTTGCTATTTCAAATCCGACCGAACTGAAATTTTGCACAGAGGTGCGGAAGGGAATTTAAAATGTTCACAGAAACTTTCAGCCCGATCAGTTCAGTAGTTTTCGAGTTATTGTAAAAATACTGTTTTTCCCACACTTTAGCTTCATTTTTTCGGCTATCTTTTTGGACTTTGCATCAATTAACATAAATTTCCGGCTCTAAATCCCTTATTCTTCTTAACATCGGCGTCGTTAGCCCTTGTTAAAAAATACTTAAATAGCCTATTTTAGACCCGAATTTTGCGAAATAAAAAAATTCCTAGGATAAAAAAGGGTCGGCGCTTCATTTTCTCCATACATTCCAGGGCTCAATTCCGGCGGAATCCAGGTGAAAAACGTAAAATAAAGTTTATTTTTGCTATAACTCGAAAACTACTGTACCGGTCGGGCTGAAAGTTTCTGTGAACATTTTGAATTCCCTTCCGCCGCTCTGTGCAAAATCTCAAGTCGATCGGATTTGAAATAGCAAAATGCCAGCGTGACCTTTTTTATTGGGACACCCTGTATAGTAGGATATCTATGGGTTTCACAAGGATTTTTTCGTAAAAAACGCTCAACACGCGTACTATGTGATCTCTACTCACTAAAGTTTCACCTTTAATTCAATCCATCTGGCCCCCGAGATCGTCCACCAGCCCGCACTTTTTTTCCCAAAACCCCTCAACTTGTTTGGGCAGCAAAGCTTCAAAAATTCCACCTATAGCGAATTCTGTTGAATTTCTGCTCTCTCCACTAACCGTCAATCCATTACTGTTTAATCAGCCACCACGCAAATTAGGAATTTTCGAACGCCACCCACACAAATGACCTGCGTTCAATTGGCTCCACACTGGGGAATCCACAAAAAAACGGGCAGAGATTCACTTATAAGCAGGCGGTCAACTGAATTTACAATGAAGGCTTCAGCGTTTTATCGGACCTTTTTTGTATACTTCAGTTGCAATGTTCGGTAGGCTAGGGTGATGAGGCTTTTGATTAGTATTCGTTATGCATTTTTAAAGCGGAAACTCGGTAGGTGATTCAGCGGCTTTGAATGTTTTGAAAGGGATGTGGGCGGGAGGGTTTTCCATTAAATCGGGGAGGTATTCGAAGGATTGATACGTACCTGGGGGTGACTAATCATTTCAATGGGCTTTATCAGTGATAAATGCAGGGTTATAAATTCGCACATTAAGGATCGTGGATTAGTCTTGTTTTCCAAAGATAAATCTCTTCCTCGGGTGTTGCGACCTTAATTCCGGAAGCAATTTGCATAATTTAAATAGTTTTACTTGAAACGCAATTCACTCTTAGGTTTTTTTTAGGAATGCGTCTCCTCATCTTGGCCTCATCCCTCCTGATCCTCGCCGTCGTTGGATTTTCACAAAATGAGCACCATGTCGTAAAACGGCAAAGCCAAAACTATATCAGAGCATGTTACTTCACAAATTGGGCAAAATATAGGTATCTTTTTGTAGTAATCGCCTACCCTATGATCATTTCAGAACCGGTCGTGGTACCTTCTCACCCGATAACTACGTCTCCGGCCTGTGCACCCATATCCTGTTCGCCTTCGGCTGGATGAATGAGGATTTTACCGTCAGGTGCGGCAATTTAAATCATTACAAAATAACGTATTTTTTAGAGCTTATGACCCATCGGACCTCCCCACCGACTGGGCTGGGGCTGGCCAATACGCGATGGTCAATCAGTTGAAGCAACGAGATTCTGGTTTAAAGACTCTGCTCTCATTTGGTGGCTATACGTTTGGGACCCGACTTTTTGAGGTGAGGCTTTAGGAAGGCTCGCAGGAATGTGATTTAGGCAATGTCAGCAAATCCGACAACGCGTGGAGTGTTCATCAACTCGGTCATCCATTTCGTTCGTCAATACAACTTTGATGGGATTGACATCGATTGGGAATATCCAGCCGGCCACTCCTCGCAGTTCACTTTATTGATGAAAGTAAAAATAAAGAAAAGATAAACGAAAATAAATTTCCCAGGAACTCCGAACGGCGATTGAAGGCGAAGCACCTCTTGCTGAAAAGCCAAAACTACTCCTGACTGCTGCCGTGGCGGCTGGGGCATCGAATATTGATGCTTATGAGGTTTCGAACATCGCTGGGTAAGCACTACTTGACTTAACCATTGAATCACGCATATTTTAGACCTTTGGACTTCATCAACCTGATGACGTATGATTTCTGGGGAGCATGGGATGGAGAGACGGGGATGAACGCTCCACTTTACAGCCGAGCCGGACTGGGAGGTGGCAAGGAAAAATGGAACGTCGTAAGTGGCATCGAGAATTGATCGATTAAATAAGCCCAATGGTCTTATAACGCTTTTTTAGGATTGGGCCGCCAACGAGTGGGCTCGCCGAGGAATGCCAAAAAATAAGATTGTCATTGGAATGGGAACGTACGGAAGGGGATGGACTCTTGCCAATGCTGCTAATATTCAACCAGGATCTACCGGAAATCAAGTGGCACCCGCCCAGCCGTACACGGCTGAGGCTGGAATTGCGGCGTACTACGAGGTATTGATTGCAAAAAAAAAAACGATTTCATGGACATATCCTAGATCTGCGAGTTCTTGGCCAAGGGAGGTACGAGATATTGGCATGCTGAGCATCAGGTGCCTTGGGTGGTTTATCAAAACCAGTGGTGGAGTTATGATGATCAGCAATCGTTTAAGGCAAAGGTAAGCCGGCTATGACGCATTTTAAATGTAATATGTTGTGTTCCAGACCGATTACATCAAAAAGAACGGCTTTGCCGGCGCGATGGTTTGGACCTTGGATCTGGATGACTTTAATGGGCAATGCCCTGGAGGCAATGGCGTCAAATTCCCATTGATTGCCATTATTGTTCAAGAACTTGGTGGAGGCTATGTGCCAGTAAGCTAACAAATACTTATTATTGATCCCAATAATTATTTAGAACTCTAACGGAACTACGATCAAGCCTGGCACCAGCCTCGGACCTCCAAAGCCAGCCAGCACCAAGGCCGCTTCAACAAATCTGCCAATAACTACCACGCCTACCGCCGCACCTGTTAATCCCACTAGCGGAGGTAACATCACTTTAAGTACAAAGATACGATATTTTTAAGCTTTTACCTGCGATGGAAAAGTAGAGGGAGGCTTCTACCAAGATCCAGCTGACTGCGGCAGCTTCTACCGATGCGTCTACAACAGCCCAGTTCATTTCCAATGCGGCCCCGGTACCTATTGGCATCAAGACCTATTGACATGCAGTTACGGGAAAACGTCGGGATGTGTTTAAATGCAAACGATAAATATTTGTTGCGTTACAGAAAAGTGAAACAGTACGTATATACGTCACATGGCACGGTCTTTAGCCTCTGCCTTGCTTCCCCACATGCCCACGCCCTTCCGGTGTCCAACATTCATTAAACAGGGCAAGGTGTCCCATGTTCCATGGTCCAGCCCACCTTTGGTTGATCCTTCCTGACAGCCGCCGGAGAAAACCGGGCATTATCAGTCCAAAAACCGGCGCCGTTCCCGATAATGAGTGGGTAGAAATATGTGCGGGCCGCGGAAAAACAATCCATTGGCAGCTGCTATATAATTTGGTGCGGATGGGAATTTCCGACTCTGTATTACCCTTATCCTTGCTTGGATATCGCCAATGACCCAACCATTGTTTTTTCTTGCGTCGATAAAATTGGATGATTAATGTTGTACTTTCAAAATTTTCTTGCCAAAATGAGTTGTTTTCCTTGCTCGACACATTTATATAATCCACTGAAGCCCTCGAAAGATATTGAAACTTTTAGGATGAGGTTACTCCTCGTCTCATTGGCTATTCTAGTGGTGACAGCACTTGGGCATACGCTAAAATCAGGTATTTACTAAATATATAAAAATATGTAGCTGTTAAGCGGAACCAAGGGAGCTAGCCGGCCAACAATACATCCGACCCTGTTATTTTACTAACTGGGCCCAATATCGGTATGTAAACTTACTAGGAAATATAATTAAATTTCTATAGCCAGGGCCGTGGAAAGTACAAGCCTGAGAATTATGCCGTTGGATTGTGCACCCATATTCTTTATGCTTTCGGCTGGATGAACGAGGATTTTACCGTCAAGTAAGAAAAAAAAGGAAAGAACAATTCATGCGTTTTTCTAGGGCCTACGATCCCTCAGATCTTCCATCTGACTGGGGCGGCCCCGGACAGTATGCCCTTGTCAACCAGCTCAAGAATATTGACTCCAATCTTAAGACCTTGCTATCGTTTGGAGGATGGTCATTTGGTACCCGGCTCTTTGAGGTATAAGGAGTTTTCCGCCACATTTTATCTTTCGTAGGGAATGTCCAACGACCCTACAAACCGGGCCACTTTCATCAACTCGGTCATCCGCTTTGTGCGAAAGTACGACTTTGATGGTATTGATATCGACTGGGAATACCCTACAGGGCATACATCACAGTATTCCGCGCTTTTGAAGGTGTGTATATTAATGCACGGTTTATGATAGATCAAATAGGAACTGCGAGCTGCTGTTCAAGCGGAAGCTCGTCTTTCCGGGAAGCCAGCTTTGTTGATGACTGCCGCCGTGGCTGCTGGTGCTTCGAATATGGACGCTTATGACGCGAAGGCTATGGCTGAGTAAGTCTGGAAAAAATAGGTGGAAAAGTAATACCTTAGCCCTCTTGACTTCATCAACCTGATGTCGTACGACTTCTGGGGAGCCTGGGATGGCGAGACGGGGATGAACTCTCCGCTTTTCACCCGTGACGGGCTTTCTGGCGGGAAGGAAAAGTGGAATGTGGTAAGTAGACCTCATCACTTTCTTAGGTGTGCGTACTTGCAGGACTGGGCCGCCAGCGAATGGGCTCGACGTGGCATGCCCAAAAATAAGATCGTTATCGGCGTCGGCACATACGGACGCGGCTGGTCTCTGGCCAACGCGGCCAATGTTCAGCCCGGATCCACCGGAAATCAAGCTGCTCCCGCGCTTCCCTTCTCTGGCCAGGCTGGAATTGGATCTTATTATGAGGTATGCAAAATCGTCCGGAAAAATAAAATAAAAATTTGCAGCTCTGCGAATTCCTCGCCAAGGGAGCCACCCGTTACTGGCATGATCAGCACCAGGTTCCATGGTTGATCTATCAGAATCAGTGGTGGAGTTATGATGATGCTCAATCTGTTAAGGCCAAGGTAATTCAACCGACATTCTTAAAAATATGCATGCATAATTCCAGACCGACTACATCAAGAAAAACGGTTTTGGTGGCGCCATGGTTTGGACCTTGGATCTGGACGATTTCAATGGGCAGTGCACGGGGGCTAACGGCCAGATTTTCCCACTTATCGGCCTGATTGCAAAGGAATTGGCTGGAATTGATATTCATGTACGATTTTATAGAAAATCTAATGTTTTTTTTGCAGGGAATCAACGGAACAATGGGACCTGTGCCTACCGTCGGACCAACCCAACCCGGACCTACTGGAGGCCCCATCCCCACCAAGGGCCCCAACCCGACCGGAGGAGGTTTGTAGTTACGTAAGTGCATTATAATACAATTTTTTTAGCCTTCACCTGCGCGGGAAAACCCGACGGCTTCTACCAAGATCCGGCCGACTGTGCGGCATTCTGGCGTTGTGTCAATGGTCAGCCCATCCACTTCCAATGCCCCGCAGGCACCTATTGGCATGAGGACGAGCTTGATTGCAATTATGGAAAACCACCGGGTTGTGTATGAATGTGATTATGATGTATTTATTGACGAATAAAATTATTCTATTTTTTGGGTGTACCACAGTATCAGGGATCGAGCGGGACAGCGTGGTGGTCACGCGTAAAGGGTTTGATAAGGGGTATTGGTTCGGTAGTGGGGGAGTCAGTGTTTGGAAATGATACCAGAATTTGGAATGACCTAGCAAAGGCAAAATAGTTTGGGGAGCAAAATTGACATCTTGGACGCGCATGAATTACATTTTGTGGCGCGATTCATGGCGATATCCGGGATTTCAATCCAATCTTGACAAACCACAATCCTTAAAGTGGCCAAATTTTCCGATAATGTCCAATAATGACGTCAGAATTCACTAATTCAAGTATCACGGTCGCCTTCCAGCTGTGTCTGACCCTTTTCTTGGAATGAAGGGAGAAAGGTGTGTACCAAATTTCACAGCCATGTTAAGGATTGTTATAGAATGCAAGCAACTCTGGCAAAAATTTCGAAGGCAAGTGCAACCCAAATTCTTAGGAAATTTCAGGCCGGGGACAACCGAAAATCTCTACTTCTCTCATCCTCCAAATTCTACTCTGACCCAGCCGTGAAGTTAGACCCCCTCGGGGGAGGCTCGTTGATTGTTAGATAAATAGCGCTCCACCCCAAACTCGAGAAGCACCGCGGGCTCTTTTTGTCTCGCAAAAGTTTTGAGAGAGAGAGAGAGCGCTACCACTTGGAGGGACGGTAGATGGTGGTGGGTGTGGATGGTGGTGGTGGTGCGGTGTTGGGTATTGGGGTTGGAGGAGCCCCGCGGAAGTGGGTGTTGTCCGGCTGGGTGGAGGACCCACACACGAAAAGTCCGGACGTGAAGCACGTGCGAGGGGGATTGCCTATTGCCTACTCGGGAACCACCACCACCACCACCGCTCTCACCAACAGGGCCAACAGCCACCCGGGTACAACGCCAATCGGGGGGAGACATCACTCAATCAACTGTCACCTATGCTCATTCGAGTAGTTTTGGAATAATGACCCGATTGACAGCTATTTTCTGTATTATTGCAACGACGGCAGCCGCGTTTTATGAATTTGAGGAAGGTGGGGTGTTTGAACTTTAAATCAGCGCTATGTATTTTGATGGAAAATACGAAAAAATTGGGGAAATGAATCTGGGCTTCAGTTTAACCTTTGGGATTTCAAAAATTTCCCAGGGCATTTATCTCTTTGTATTAAATTATACTATAATATACTTATATAATTAATATAATTATACTATAAATTATATTATTAATATTGTAAGCCATTGTATTAAACATTGTCCATCCATTGCGCACTTCTAGGTCTCCAAAAGTTCTTCAGTTTTCGCGCTCCGCAACTGAAATTTGGCTGTTTCCCCTCTTTCTTTGTCAGCCCTGGAGCTATTTGAATTTAAATAATGGCTCCATAACTTCCGTTGCTCTTCAAAATTTACTCTAGCGCTGGACGACACGGATAGGAGTTTGAAAATGATATAGCATAAACATTTAACTTTTTATTTTCCAACAAATTTGAGACCGTGATTTTTTACATTAGCTTTTACGCATCATTTTTGCACTTAAGAGTTCTGCCTTTCTAAAAATTCTTCTGTTTTGTGGAAACTGCGCTGCATTTTTGCATCTACCTCCCTTTCTTTCTCATCCCTGACCCTTTGCGCCTCGTGCGCCAAGTGAGCAAACAAAACACGAACACCTGAATGTACGCCGCTCCCCCCGCGCAAAGTCTAGACTCAACTTTCCCAAAATCTCATCTAGCAAAATTTAGATACAAAATCCCTCGACAAACGCGCCAATCGAAATGGAAAATACTTGCGACCATGCTATTTCACGAACTGGGCACAGTATAGAAAGCCGCGGGCAAAATATATGCCCGAAGACTACATCCCGGGCCTATGTACGCATATCCTATTCGCGTTCGGGTGGATGAAAGAGGATTTTACTGTCAAGTAAAACTAGACCTATATAAAATAAAATGGTTAAGAGCTTTTGACCCAGCCGATTTGCCAAATGATTGGGCTGGGCAGGGAATGTACAAACGGGTGAATGCTCTGAAGCTCAAGGATCCGGGCTTGAAGACATTGATTTCAATCGGAGGATGGAGTTTTGGGACTCGATTGTTTGAGGTGAGCCGAAAAATTTAAATTCAAACGAGTATCGTTTAGGAAATGGCTCGTACAGACGCCGGGCGCAAGACATTCATCGATTCCTCTATTCTGTTTGCCAGAAAATATGATTTCGACGGAATTGATATTGATTGGGAATATCCCAAGGGGCCAGAAGTCAAGGATCATTTCACGGCTTTGATTAATGTAAGTAGCTTTATTATATGAAAGTTGATGCTTGTTATTCAGGAGTTGCGCGCAGCTGTAGAGGCCGAGGCAACCGGATTCGGGCGTGAGAGGTTGTTGGTCACGGCGGCCGTGTCGGCGGGGATTGCTACGATTGATGACGCCTATGACATTCCGAATATTGCTAAGTTAGTCGATGGTCCTTAGTAGTGATGTTATGCAATAACAGGCAGAGTAGGATACAAATTAACTTTTTCAAATTCAAATTCAAAGTAACTTTTCTCTTTTGCGTCCTAAATAGCCTTATTTTGAGGCTGCCTTTATATGCGTAATATTAGGTTGGTCGGAAAGTAGCTAGAATGTAACTTTAGCGAATTCTTTTGCAAAACCGGCGGCCCCGCGTAACCAATATTTATATTCCCAAATGCGTCAAAGTTAGCGCTATATTCAGTAAAGAAACCAAGAATTTTCCTCCAGCCAATAGTTTTGTTTTCGGCTTTCTTTGCATGGGCCAGAAAATTTTGACCCGAGGACTTTGATAATCGGGTGTTTCTTCTCAGTTTGCCATGGGATTTTTTTATTGTTTAATGTCAGTAGATGCCCAATGATGTTGCACATACGTACACAGAAAAGCGCCGTATTCGGTACTGTGAACGCGAAGATATGGCTGTTTTACTCAAATTTTGCTAAATCAATCGTATCTATTTTGTAAGGGCGTAGTAACCCGTTTCATTACATTCGTAAATAAGGTCAGGAGATTACACTTAAAATAGTTGTAACACTATTAGGCTTTGGATTGGTTTCGAGAATATCTATGAAAAATTGTATAGATGTTACCCCTATTAAAAATTGAATGTTTTCTTTCCTTGAATTCCTTTTAGACCCTTTGACTTTGTCAACTTGATGTCCTACGATTTCTGGGGCGCCTGGGATGGTGTCGTGGGCATGAATTCCCCACTTTATTCAAGAAGTGACCTAACCCCACCTCAACGCTATTGGAATGTGGTTGGTCTTTTCTAAAAGGTCCCCTATCCTACCGATTTTCAGGATTGGGCCGCAAAACACTGGGTCGAAAAAGGGATGCCTCGCGAAAAGCTCTTGATTGGCCTTGGTACTTATGGACGTGGTTTTACACTTACGGTAAGTACAGGGAAATCTAGGGTTCTCAGATTTTAGGACGCGAACCGTGAAAAACCGATGAATACCTCTGGCAACCAGCCGGCTAAGATTACCGAGTTCGTGCAAGAAGCTGGAGTAGCTTCTTATTATGAGGTTTTCATTACAACTATTCTTAAATTTCATTTTCGTGTTAGCTCTGCGAAATGCTTATTGGTGGCGCTCAAAGGCACTGGCATGGTGAGCACCAGGTCCCCTATCTGACCAACGGGTCCCAATGGTGGTCTTACGACGACGAAGAGTCTTTCAAGAAAAAGGTCGGAAAAAAATTTCTTTGTTTAAAAATACTTTTAGCTATCCTACATCAAAAAGGAAGGATACGGGGGTGCCTTCGTATGGACTCTCGACTTTGATGACTTCAACGCCAAGTGTCCACTCAGCAATGGGCAGCCGTATCCATTAATTAATATTATTGCCAGGGAATTGGGAGGTGTGGAAGTGAAGCGGGTAAGCATCTTAGATGAAGCTATTTTTGGCTTTAAGGTCACTACTCCATTACCGACACCACCTCCTGAAACAAGTCGCGCTCCGATGGTTACAAACCCAAAGGTGCCGACACCACCAGGTGTAATTATGCCAAACCCACAAACTTTTACATTGCCAGCGGTCGGTGATCGCAAATTACCATTAATACGTGAAATGCCTTTAGTCGATGAACATCTGCAGCGCCAAGACAGATGGTTTCTACAAAAGTGATGCCTCGTGCTCACACTTCATTCTCTGCTTGGATGGTTCCGGCTATCCGATGACATGCCCGAGTGGCCTTCAATTTTCAGCTACGAAGGGCTACTGTGTTCAGCCGAAAAATTCCGGTGGGATTTGACTACATAAAATCAAAGCAAGTTTTAAGGTTGCGTCTCAACTTTTTCATCATTTACCACCCTCCCTACGCCGGAACCCTCTAGCGAAAAACCGATCGTGGTGACCAGCGAGAGTATTGTCACGGAATCTGGTTCAAGTATGGCTTTTCCTCAAACAAAATTATGATTTCTTTTAGGATTCACATGCGGAGAAAAGTTAGACGGTTTTTATTCGGACCCAAAGGATTGTGCTAGGTAACCATTTTAACGGTTTTTCTATAAATAAATAAAAATAGATTTTACCGTTGCGTTGCCGGGACGGCTTATCACTTCCACTGCTCACCCGGCACATTCTTCAACCCAAAAACCAGCGATTGTGACTCTGTGTCGAAGGAGCAGTGTCCAAAGTAAAGCCCCCAGGCCCTAATCAAATGCTTGTGATTGCGACGTACCCGCAACTCGTTCGAACACCCCTCCTTGATCTTCACAAAACCTTAATTTATTCAGTTCACCCTCCCGGATTCCGGTGTCTCTCGTCTTTCCACATATCTTCAACAGTATTGCGCGATGACCAACGAAAAATCAGAAGAATAAAATCAATGGTGCTTGGCTAGAATCAGTTTATACTCGCAGCCTCCGACAGAAGAAGCATATTAAACACATGGCACCGGAAGGACACATTTGCATACCCGTTCGCATAAATTTAACAGATGGATGGGGATTGGGATTGAGAATGGGTTTGAATTGAAGGTTTGTTGAGAACCGGAAGCGTCTCCGGCAAAGGTCAGCAGGGTTTAGGTGAATTTAGTTCCCCCAAAACTTTAAAACCCTGCTAACCATTGCTGGGTAATAATTATACATGCAAAAATATAGCAAAAATATTATAGCAAAATAGGATGAGATTAGGAAAGCATTTCAAATTAATCTTTCTATATGCTGCCCAAATATTGAGTCTCTGCCGGCATTGTCGCATAATCCATTGGATGCTTTTTGGGAGGAGCTTTCCGAAAAACCGACTCGAACATCCCATCAGCCGTCTCCCGATATTCAGACGACGATAGATAATAGACAATAAAATTGGCTGTCGCATTGAAGACCACCAATAAATTCCCAACGTCAATCATCAGATTCTGGATGAATTCGCCGAGATCACTAAAATCATATTGTTTTTCGAAAGTCAACGCCGTTTTCCATAGGTGAAGTGCGCGGCCGGGCAACATCAATTTTTGATAAGAAGTGAATTTGGTATGCGCCGTGAAACAAAGGAAGTGGGGCGATGAAGAAAAATGTTTGAACTCACATTGCCAACATGTCGAAGATGTTCACCAGTAATGAGGTGACATTGCACATTAGGAATAGCATGATAACGAGGAGGAGGACGGTGGGTGAGCCTTCTTCTTCGGCACGGACGTAGCCGGGCGCTGTAAATATAATATTATCGACATGCTAATGAAGATAAATTATATTTTTTCCTTACCAAGAATCTGGTTTGTTGACTTTTTCTTTAGCATCGAAAGGATGCCGAGCGTCAGAATGGTGAGTAGGAGGAATGGCAAAAAAGCCATCGTAGCCGCATACATGTAGCCTCTGGAATCATATAATTAAGAATGAAATGCGGAAAATGCGTTTTTCACTAGCCGTGACTATGTGAATTTATATTAAACCGACTTATAAATCGTAATATATTCCTCAGAAGTCCTTAATTCTGTCGGACACAGCTCGTACATAGAACTGTTATGTACGGGGTGGACGCATTCGATCGCTTCGAGATCATAGAACTAAAAGTTAGAATTTTCCTGAGTGTGTCAGTCCTGATACATTAGTGATTTTATGTTAATTTTTAATGCCATACCTGAATTCCGTTGTACAAAGCGATCCCAAGGACACATCCATATAACAGCCGAGGGGCCCAAACTCCCCGGATTTTGTCGGCGCAGGGTCCGCTAAAAATGGGTGTTGAAAAAAGCTAGATTTATGCATGGGTTGTATTATTTTTACACCTCGATATCTTTCTACCCCAGATGCCCTCATTTTACGCTGTTCTACGACTTTCGTCAAATATGTCAAAAACATACGCGTAGACGGAGTAATAACAATCCATCGCTGCCAAAACAGTGATATACACGGATAACATTTGGAAAAATAACCCTAAAATAGCCTTTTCGAAACATTTTCCATTTTCTTTACCGATCGGGATCAACTTTGGGAGCAAAAACACAAACAGCTGGTCGACGTAGAAGTTGTAGGCCCTGAGAGAGTCGGCACAAATTACAAGCACCCCAGCCAGACAGACCCCTAGAGCATGGGAATGTAAATTAGCGCGAATTGACGAAACACCTGTATCGCTGCAGCTTAATGCCGTTAGGTATCTGGCCGCAACATTCTTTTGCGTTCGAAAGACGAGCACATTGATAATGTTAAAAAAGACGCCAATGATCGACATGACCGGTAGAATTCCTGGAACCGAATATACAAATAGGGGTATATTTATAATACCAATTATCATAATTATATTTGCTGTCCTCGAGGGCCCCGGTTCGGCCGCCTCATGTAGACACTCACAATACCGCACATCCAGCGCTTCCGTCTCCATCTGAAAAAAGCCAAAATTTCCTCTGCCGCCCATTCTAATTTGTTCTTTTCCGGCAAGGTGCACTTTCAGTCAAGTAGCTAAATTGGCCATAGCTTCGAAAGCAATTAAACACAAGTGTCTGCCCCCGAGATGGCTGTTCAAAAATGAGAACGTCAAAATGGGCGGGAGGATGGATCACCGGTTGGGGGAAAAACAAAGGAAAGTGAAGAAAAACGACAATAATGTGAAAATTGGCAATCCGACGCCGTTTCAAATCGGAACTTTTTGGGGGTGGAGGTTTGAGGGAGTAGAGGGGAGCGCGTAATTTGAGCCCGGATGGCTAGGTTCGAGTCTTGGTGCCGGTCCCCCCCCCACACACTGATGGATGTAAAAGAGGGGGTTGAATTCGATTCCGGAGATGCCTTAATTTTTTGGCTGATGTATTTTCGAAGAAGTGCCATGGGATGGGGAAGAGCTAGCGCGGTGACTGGGAACAAAGTGCCTTTCTATCTGAGGTGCATGAACGAGGAAACAGGAGGTGAAGCGCAGGACTCTAGACACAACTCAAAAATCTTGGTAGAATCTCGGATTGCAGGGGTCGCGCCTTTTTTAGGGTAATTACGGGAGGTGAGGATCATGTCGAGCATGTTCTATGCCTTTTTGGTCCAAAAAGGGAGCGAGGTAGGGGGGACTCCTGGTTTTAGCGCAAAAAAAACGGAAGTCAATTTCTGAGAAAAAACCATTTGCAAGACGACACACTGATGGAATTTTTGGAAAAGTTGGTCGGTGTTTTGCGGTTTGCGGGGGGTAAGAGGGATGGGTCGGCCACAGAAATGAGCTTTTGAAAAGTTTAAGGGTTTGGGAGAGGCCGTGTTTTAAGGGGGATAGGTGGAGCACAAGTGGATTCTAATGTCACTAGCCTGGAGTAGCGTGGGCGGCCGAGGGCGGTCTAAATGCTGGACAAACATCAGGTTGGTCGTTGCGCCAAAAAAGGGATCTACGAGTCGGTGAAGTTGGATGCTCTGGCAAAGTGTTCTGGGCGCACCAGACAAAATGAAAAACGAAATGCCAAGAAGTCAACGGAGGCTGGCGGGTGATACTCTAGTAAGAAAGTTAGTTGGCGGAGGATGCTTCACGGAAAAACTGCGTCTGGATAAGGGCCGTTGGGGGGGGTTGGACCTGAGTTCCGGATGCCGGAAATTCCCGGGCCGCCACGGCCACGTTCCCGCTCTCCACACAATAGGCCTAATTTTGCCCGGAATTCATAAAAAGGCGAAAATTGCCTAGTGGAATTGGTCTAGGCGGTGGGTAAGAAGTGAAAGATTATTGGAGGGGTGGAGGAGGGCTTTGAAAGGGTGTTTAAGGGGGTAAGGAATGGAACCAGTTGGGGCGAATTTTTTGAATGTCCGAGCGTTTTTTAGCTCGGAACGTGATTTTTGGAGAGATTTTTAGGAAGGTTGGAAGATGTAAGGTATTTAAGAAAAACGGAAGGTAACGTTGGCTGTCTCTCCTCAACATTTTAAAACAAACAACGATGATTTGGCCGGTCTGGTTCAATAGTAGGTCGTAGTTGCTAGATAGCTCGATTTTATAGCCCGCTCGCAGTTAAGGGTTCTTACTAAAGTAATAAACTTTAATTGAGTCTAATTGGATCGCGAAGACATGGCAGTTGCTGGGAATTAAACGTCTTTTAAAGACTGCCGAGCTAGAGGAAAGGTTCGGACAGGATATAAAATCCCGAGAGACGCGCTAGACCATCCAAAAAAACGCAACAAGAACCCAAACACTGCAGTGTGGTGTGGAAGGGGCAGATGTGTGTTTGGGTCTCGGTATCCGCCCAAGTAGCACGAGGTAAAGGCCAACCCGCCCGAACGGGGTGCTCATGCCCAAAAAAAAAGAGTTTAAGCGATGTGCGTATGCGGGGCAGATGAGCTTAATGTGTTTAGCCGACCGCGAGCGGCTGCATGCGGCCTGCTCGAAGGCGACCTTCGTTTTTCAAAGTTGTGACATGCCTCCTTGTGGTCGTTCCCTAATGAAATTGAAGGGGCGGGGGGGAGGGGTCGGGTAGGATGGGGGAAACAGGAAAGGCGGGGAATATGGAGCCATTGTTGTCGCTTCCTGGTGAAAAAGGAATGGAGGAGCGTTCCGTTTGACTTCAGGCGGATCTTTTTCTTGTTCCTTTTAGCTGCCCATGCAACTGGTAGGGAGGGGGTCGTTGGATTCCGTTGGATGCGTTAGATTAGTCGGATTGGTTGTTGGAGCCCCCAGGGCATACTGGGCAGAGATCAGCCCTCCCCGTTATTCCAGGAACATCAAAATGTCATGGGGTTTTTTGGTGCCGTTGGCGTCTACGGGCAACATAGCGCCGAGGGGGGAGGGATTCCCTAACATTTGGTATGGTGGCCAGGAAGTTGTTTGGAGTGGTGTGGAGAGTGCGTTTTCGGAGGTCTAGGAACAGCAGCTAGATCGGACTACCGGATAAACGTTCATGGAAAATGGGTGGGGGTAGTGGTTTAGAGGTTGCCGAGAGACGGCAGCGCGATATGTGGGGTTTGGAAGATCATAAAACAAGCTTGTTAGGGTCTTGTTAAGGTCGAAAAAGCTATACGCTTTTTTCCTTAAAAAATGTTCGCTTTTTGACGGTGCTAACTTTAGATGGATTAGATGCTAGCTTTAGATGCTAACTTTAGATGGATGGAGGGGTTTGTAGGACTTTTTTGGTAAGTGGATAGCTCTGGTAAAATTGTTAAATCGGCCTCACTTTCAAAAAAACAATTTTAGGAAAATTCTACAGAATTTTTCGTAAAAATCAAGAGAATATGTCAGAGCGTTGAAGATAAATATAGAAGGTTACAAGATTGTTGAGGATGTCGAGCTTGCTAAGCTGTCTATGGCACATTAAAACCTAACAACAACTTCGAAAAATACGAACCCATACGATAACATACATGCAACACGGAACCTTAAACCAGAGAACATACCCGGAAGGTTTAATGAGCTAGTAAGTCTTAGGGTGCCCCTCCCGGAAGCATCAAAAGAGGTAGAGTACAGTAGACATAAACCTCAATTCCACACTGACGACGACAACGCCATCATCGTGTCCCCAACCCTCAGAGCCATAGCTACGCGCAACCTCCTCAATTCACCCCTCCCTAGCTGCCCGTCGTTTTGCTTCCCTGGACCGCCCCTGAATTAATCTGCCGTCAGAAAAACGCCCAACAAAAAATGAGTCTTCCCGATAGGCAGCAAAGCAATGACTGGCAAATTTGACTGCATTGAGACGTAGTAGAAATTTCGTTGAACCTATTCTGAAGCGCGACGGGGGCGGAGGTTCCTCCTTTCCCCGTCATAGCAATAAGATTTCACATAACCACCCGGCGGGTGATCCAAAGGTGAGCCGAGGGAGAGAGCTTGAGGGTATTGCTTTGAAAGGACTGAAAGACTCTTCTAAGCGGCTGAGCGCACAGCTTCCGTTTCCCCCCGCGTTGACGGCCGAGAGGGGCGCTGCGCTCTCACGGCCAAGCTTTTCGCGCGCATTTGCCATTATTCATCAATTTTCGGCCCGGCTCCAATGAAAGTTTACTCGGGAGGAGGGATCTCAAAAAAAAAGGTTGGGTTGGGAGTTAGGGGATCGACTTTGGTTGTTTGTGCCAATTAGCCTGGGTTGTTTGGGAGCTTATTGGTCGTCAAATTTGGAAAATAGTTTGCTAGGGTGGGAAAGTGCGATCTTACCCGGAAATTTTGGCTTGATTGGGGCATGAATGGCTTAGCGAATGCAGAAGGAGGGGCGGGCAGTTGCGAAGTTTTTTAGATGTTACTGTAGGTGGAGAGGTGTTCTTTAGCTTAAGCCGAGGGTTGGCAGCTGTTTTCTTTTTTTATACCACAGGGTAATAAGATCCGTATTTTACCCTTAATCACCTGCTTCTTACTCGTGATCGAATGGGGCAAGTGTTGCCTTTGCTAACGGTATCTAGTGCTGTTTTTGAGGCCAGATAGATGGCACCCCGAGGTGTGGTTGTTTGATTTTCGACCAATGTATAACCTTAGTTCAGCGATTTGATACTTTTTCAAGAATTTAAAGAAGATGCTCCGGAGCACAAGCGTCAGAAAGTGAAAAGTTATGTTTTGCGGGTAGATGAGCATGACGCTAAATGTTCTCTCGGAACCAAACGGCTCAGACGTCCATTAGCCACCCAAATAAATGATCGCATTCCACCAAGGTACACTTCTAAAAGAAATTTATTTCAAATAGCGACTAAGTTGCGAACAGAGGATGATGATGAGATCCCGGGCTAAAGGTCATTTGAGCCTTGGGTCGACTGCCGGGCGGTGTGAGCCGGCAAAATCTATTATTGCCTTTGAAGTTCTTTTGGCTCCACGGGGCTGCGGGAAAATTGCTCGGCCCGGGGCTATGCAAGGCCCCGTCGGGGTTGAAAGTTCTCTTCAGCCAAGACCAAGGTTTAATTGGAGGGGAGAAAGGGATGGAGGGGGAGGGTAAAGCAAATTATGACAGCGAGACTATTCTAACATCCAGAAAATCATCATCGCTGAAAGATAGATTAGAAACAGCAGTGTAAAATAAAGCTATATTCCCAAAATTTGAAATAATTTCGGTGATACTATCATGTTAATAAGGATGAGCACCGTATTTTCGGCTCAATGTATTTTATTAGCTGAAAACAGTGTTATATTTTTCGATCGACTAAAATATTGCAAATCGAACGCAAAACCGGGCGATTAGGCCCAATTTCATCGGTTTTTGACGCTCTAGATTGTTTGAAAATTCGGATAATGGCAGAGATCTGGGCTTTCTATTCAGCTTTCTGATTTCTAAATACAGAGTCAAGAAGTTTAATAGGAGATAGACCTTACAAAAAATACGGTACTCAAAAATCGGATTTTGAAGCCATGCTCAAGCGACAACGGCTCGATACGGGTATTTGATCTTGGTGAATGATTTTGATTGAAGAGTCTCCTTGGTCCTCCTGGTTCGCGTCGCCTCAAAGACGCGCTCATCCATGCCGAGCAGGGCATCTCGGGCCCCTGGCCACGCGTTTGGGCCCTAAAATTTATGGGGCTCTGTACGTCGTGAAGCCTTTGTGCCCGTCGAATTAACGTGGCAAAGCAGCCCCCGGGATGCTAGCAGGGCTTAATTTTGAGCCCCTCGCGGAATGCGCAAATTTTTGTTTGAAAAACAAGGATGCCAGTGGGGGAATAGTATGAATATGAGAATTAATGCGCGCATAAAAATTCGTAAAGGAACGTTCAAATAAATTTATGCAAGCAATTTTTGAATTAATGCACCTTTTCTTGTTCAACTACTGAGCAAAATTTGATTCGGTTTCTTATAAAATTTGAGCAGTTTTTTTGGATTTATAGAAAATGGATAGAAACTCACATCTAAGCGGTACTGATATGGTGCCAATCCATGGAAGAACAGCACTTTCGCCAGTTTCGGATCGCTCAACCAGCGCAAAGCAATATTCGGCCTAGCATTGATTATCCGCGCCAACTCCTCCATATAGTTCACGTAATCAACCTAAAATTCTCTGCTAAGTAAAAAAAATATAGTTCGTACTTGAATTGTGTGGCGTCGGCTACAAACAAATCGTGCTTGCATTTTCACTTGTTTCCTTTGCACATCCTTCAGCATTGCCTTTCGGTTGGGAAGGTGCACTTCGCCAGCTAACGCTCCGGTGAATACGCTATTTTTCGCTATCGCAGTTTTGTTTTTGGCTCTTACCGCGTTTGCATCTCGGAGATGGGCATGATGGAGCCGGCAGGCTGGATTAACCCGATGACTGCCAGGGTGTTCTGAAGTATAAAAAGTCAGATATTTAAATAAATATTGTCTTACATGTGTTGCCAGATCTGGTGGGAACATGTATTTGTATAGGTTGACTCTGTTTTCATGTACTGGGATCAATTCTCCACCCTCCAGGATGGGGAAGCCGAAAGAATAGCCAGTTGCGAAAACCACCTAAAATACCAATCTTAAATTGTAATATCCTTACAATATCCACTTTTTCGATAGTTCCATCCTCAAAAATCACCTCATCCTCACCAAATGCAGCAATATTTGGTTTCACCTAACATCATTAATTTCTAAAAAAAATTAATTGGTTACCGTAACCATCCCACAAGCAATTCTATTCGGCAATTCATCATTAACAGTCATATGTGCTTCCAGTGGCCTGTGTTTTGGCTGAAGGCCATATCTTCCGTGATCGCACCTATCCAGTTTTTACAGTAAAAAGCAAAATTTTTTACCGTGTATTTAACTTATTAGCCAGAACCCAATTATTCCAACTGAGCGGCAATATTTTCCGGAACCCTTGCATGCATCTGAAAACGTTTAGGGTAACGTTTGACAATCCCAAATTACCGGTTCAAGTATGCCAAATCGTACGGCTCCCCAAAGTCCCAAATTCTGTTCATCACCCAAGTGCCTGTTCGAGTAGCCAGGAAGACCTTGAACTGGAAATACAGGGGCCTAGTGTTGAAACTACTCTTTTCGAAATCTTGCTCAATTCCACGCACAAATCACCGCCGCTGTTGCCGATACCCACAATGACCACCCGTTTGTCTTCAAAGCCCTGAAACGAGGATAGTTTCTACTGTAAGAAATTACTTTTGAGTCACGATATTCGTGACTGTGGAGGATTTTTCCTTTGAATTGGGTTTGCCCTGGGAAGGGCTTTGGCCAGTATTCTTCTGTGTGGTGACCAGTGCACACCATTACTCCATCAAAGATTCCGGTTTCGGTTTTACCGCTGCTGAAAAACGTCGTGGCTATGATTTCAAGTCGTAAAAAGATATAGTAAGGCTATAACAAACATTTGATTGGTCCAAGTCACACTCCAACGCCCAGAATCCTCATAATCATCGCATCGTTTCACGCTATTCACGGCATGTTGGAACTTGATATAGCGTTGAAGGTCAAAGCTGATATTTAATAGGTTTTGATAAGTTTAAATTTTGCCTTACTGGTCAGCGTATGCTCGGAAATATTTCAACAACTCGGAGTTGTGCATGAAATTAGCACAATGGGCCGGCGGGGGGAAGTCGCTGTAGGCGGTCATCTCCTTCGAGGTATTGATTACGGTCGTTTTCATCACTGTCCCTTCTCCTGAATTTTTTTACTAAAGAAGGTTATATATAATTTACCTGGGCATGGGTCTTCCTTGTAGCGCCAAATGCCGCCAATGTCATTTGATTTTTCGAAGCAGGTCACCTAAAGATGAAAGTTATAAATGGTATAATTATAAATAAATTGATGGCTGTGATTGGTTTTTCATATTTTTTTTATTTTTCAATGGAAGGTGGTTTTAGCAGAGGGGCTTATAATGGCAAACATCTTATATTTTTTCAGCGATCAAATTAATAAAAAATGGACCGTAAAATCAGTTTCCTGTGATAAATTTCATAAGATTTTCCTTGAAATCGCCGACACTCTTAAAAATAATAAACGAAGTACTTCTAGCATTGTTTCATTTTGAATACATTTGTAGATTTTTACCCAGGGCGATAGCTTCTAATTTTTCGCCCATGAGGGGAAATTTATCATGTGGGAAAGGCCTATGATAGAGAGGGCTCTTGTATCTATTAAACGAAATGCAATAAAATAAATAAATCACCAACCTTGAACCCCTTCTCAACAGCTGACTTGATTGCCGGAAGCCCGCTGGCACCAGCACCTACCACGCACACCTTCATCGCCGCCGTGAAATGGCAGCCCCGGGCAGCTGCTGTGTAACTGTAACGTTCTAGGTACAGTAAGTTCTTGAAGCAACCCGCACCAGAACTCTTACAAAATGGAATTGTCAGAACTAAGCGCATCACGTGTGTGTGTGACCGGTGGAAAGGGTGGGAATATCGGGTGAGTGGAGGTAATTCAAGGGGGTTGACCCTTTAGGTTCGGAAACTGGTTGCGTGTAAATCAGCCCTTCAAGGGGCAAGCGGCAGTCATGGCGCGTGGTTAATGTGAAGCACCCTTGACATTGGTCAAGTTGGATTAGGTACAAGTAGCAACTATACAGGAGTTCAGAAAAATCATAAAAATCATTTCCTAAATTTTTCTTGTTTAACCTGAATAATCTGAGAATTTTTCGTAGCTACGTAGGTTCCGAAATGTACAAAAGATCACTAGGGAATTTGCATTAAAATTTACACCGGCTAAAAAGAAAAAAAAACTTGTTTTCAGAAAAATTAATGGAATTCCAAACTTGAAGCCCAGTGAGAGCTCCCAGCCAGAAAAAGAAAGAATTTTTCTGCACCGTCTGCAACAACGATATTACATCCTAAATAGCCATTTTACAGCGCTCGCCAAGGGGTTACGAAAACAATGGCCACTTCCCAATCTCGGACCCATTTTTGACAGACATTTCCTACGGATCTGGCGCCCACCGGATTCAACGAAACAGCCGCGGCAACACCTTTTCCGCCCATTTTAACACCTCGAATGGCTTTGCGGGGGATGGGAGTCAAGGGGCGATTGGGATGCATCGTTAAGTGCAACTTTAACTTGGCTTCCGGGGTGGGCGGTATGTTCTGACCAGTCGTTTTTTGGTGGGTAGGTGGCGGGGGGAGAAGGTTGCGAGCAAGCAGAACCAAGGATAGCTCGCCGATCGTGGCATGTGACGTAAAAACAGGCGTGAGTGTGGATGAGTAATTGATCAGCAGGCGAAAGGGACAATAAACCCAGTGAAAAATGTTATTTTAAAATATTTCGGCGCGCTACTATGTTGCTAAAAGAGAACTAGTAATTTTCGTTCAGTAATTTTCTCGAAAAATGCTTTTTAAACTTTTTTTGCGGTATATGAAGCTTGCAAGCTTTCAGTCCTAACGATATTGCGATCGTTATTGACAAGAAACTTTAAGCAATTTTAGCTCACTCGGTTTTTCCGCCTAAGTTTTTGATCGCAATTTATGGCTTTGCTTTTGCGTTGTTGGTATATTTCAGATTTACAGTTAACGCCGAAGTTCTATCTTCCTTTCAAATTGTCAAATACACCATATGACCTTACCGCACAATTTAAAAATTGTAAAAATGTATCGTGAAGGGTGAAGGCAGCGCCCGGAAAGAAAAATGATGTTGCGTTCGGAGTTAATTAGTGGGTTGCCTAATAAAAGGTTCCCCGCCTAGAGTTGCAAAATTCGGCCATAAAAAGTATAATTGGGGGTTCGGGTGAGGTGGCGTGGTCAGAAAAATCAAATGGCCGGGTGCTGGGGGAGACGGGTATAATCGAAGGTTTCATTCAGATTTCAGAAAATCATTTTTTGGCGTCGATACCATGCGAGCCAAAACTTTTTGTGACTATGCTACCGAAACCCCTTGCACAGCTGGCTACCGGATAAGCGGGGCTGAAGGGGGGCTATAATATGGCTTATAGAGTGAGCAGAGGATGGTGGTCATTCAGCTGTGGGATTATCCAATAGGTGTCGAGCGAGAGAAGAAAAGAGGAACCTGTTGAGGAGGAGAAGCCACTGAATATGAGGATCGAGCGGCCGGCCCGTCGAATGGTCCCGCAAACCCATTAAATAATCACAACAATTTCACCTCGGAGCATTCAGTGAACGCTAGGATTTTGTAAATGGGGAGATTTTCTGACACTTTGAACCCATTGAAACATCTCATTTTTGTGCTTTTTCTGTTTCTCTAATGGGAGAAGCACATCCGGAAATATTAAAATCTACCCTCCATGAGGCAACTCAGAAAGTCATAGTCCAGGTGATACCAGCTTATAAGAACAGTTCTCTTCCATCCCCCATGACTTTTGTGTAACATTAACCCATCTGATCCTACCCAAAAGTCCTGATAAAATGCAGAACACGTGTCTCTGCCACCGTGATGACCTTGGACCGCAAAAATTTTTATAGCCATTTTTATAGGCATCCCCTTCCCTCGGAAATCTTGACAACCACCTACAAAGTTGCCTCGTAGGGGTTCCGCAGATTTTTGAAGGTATGTTCCCGAGATCATAAAGCGCTTCGTGCAAAATGCGCCCCGGCGCGCAATTAAGGGGGCTGGTGGGGTGGGGGGTTTTCGAGACAAACATTCCCACGGATGTTGGCTGTAAAATTTGGGTTTTCCGGTGAAGAAGGTAAGGAAAATGGAGGCAGAAATGTGACTCATGACGTAACATGTGAAAAAAATTCCAATTAAGACCAAGGTTTATCTCTAACCCAGCCCACCAGCACTCGCGAATTTGTTCGCTAGTTTGGCTAATTTGCGTAATCTTCTTAACGCCATTAGATAGGACGTCAAAAAAATAATCGAAGAGTTTTAACAATAGCTCAAAATAAGATGATATAAAAATTATGGCAAAAACAATAACAGTTGAAGTTAAGAATGGGGTCAAAGAGCCAACAAAATCTGAAACCAGTCCCCCAAAAATAATTTTCAAGCCAAAAAATCAGCACTCAAAAATAGTAACATCCAGAGGCTACAAGCCTAGAAACTGAGCGTGCCAGTCTCACCCCTGCCGCTCGCGCTTTCTCTCGAGTTCTCTCAACCATCAAAAGAAAAAACACCCCAACCACAGTTCTATTCTCATCAGCTGTGTGATGACCGTGTGCGGAAATACCGTGCAATTGACCGTTGTCACCACCCACACCAAGCACACACCCACAAACCATAGACTTTTATTGCTCCGAAAAAAATGAGGCTCGTTTAAATACCCGTAAACATATAGGCAGAACACTAACAACTAATATAAATATAAAACTCTCTGCCCCTTATCCCCACATATTCTTATAGTTTTTGAAATATTCTTCAGTGTCGGCTTTGTTGCTCTGGATCGGCGTCACAGATATCGTATTCCTTCGCCCGGAAAATTTCCCGTGGCGGAATTTGATGAAGAACTTGGCCACAGATTGCCAACTAAACGATTGGTTAGAGCAAACTCCGCGCAAACTCACCAATCGCCCTCCGTTCTCACAATCACCGCGATATAGAAGAGTCTTTGGTAGAAGTCGAGCTGTAAATGCGCTTTGTTTTTGGTCTTTTGTCTTTCGGCTTACCCAATCTAACAATGTGTAGCAGAGGCCGATCGTTTCCCCTTCGAGATTGCCGAACGCGATCGCGGCGAGCACACCCAGCAGAAACAGCACGCACAGGAAATTGCTGGCGGTCAGCGGGAGGAAGAGTTTGGCCGAGGCGCGCGATTCCGCGATTTGGAATCTCTGAAAATTTTGTTTTATACCATTAATTTGTAGTGAAAACACCTTAGAAGAACTGTTTTTATTCTATATATTGGAGTTCATTTGTATGCCCGTACACTAGTAGGTCATTTATCGCACCAGGTGTTTCTTAACCGGTAGAGTACTGTTTTTTTTTCAAAACTGCATCGGCGCTGGGCCAAAATTTTTTCTACCCTTCCAAGAACTCTGTTTTTAGGAAACAACATGGATCTAATCATTATCATCAAAAAGAACAGCCTCAAAATCCATTAAGTTCCCGTTATCACTTTTATTCTACAGACCATACTGACCATCTTTCCGTTTCAAGGCTACATTCACATCACCCGCAATGATTTTTGAGCACTACCTGAGAAAGAGAAGCTCCCTCGTGTCGTGCCGACCAATCTTGCCGCGTTCTCCTCAGCACATAAGCCGTCATCTTAATTGAATATTGGCATTAAAGCTCAGCCACTTCAACCAGTTAGCCCCTGGGCACCGCCACGCGCTTTCAATTTGCCCAAACAACCAGCAAAGCGAGAAGTGTTTTTGGGTTAGATTCTGGCCGCTGACTAATTCCTTCCCCGTTCTAATTTGGGTCACGACTCCTTAGGGAAAATGGTTTGAAATTATTTAAAATACATTAAGTATATATTTTTCAAAAATTACCGGTATCGTTGAAGACTGCATCGTGAACATCCAGGCAAACGCAAAGGTATTGAAGAACTTGGCTGAAATCTTATGGGTTAAACAATTCAATCAAACTTACAACATTACAACAGACAAGGGGTTAACGGAAGAGACCGGTTAGAGATATAAATTTTTGGGCCTTCAGCACTTGAAAATGCCAACAAAGGTAATTAGAAAAGTAAAATCCAGCACCAGGTTAACTTTAACAAAAACAACAAAGTGATAGCTACGAGACAAACCAATTTCATTGCCTGAGATGCCTAGAGTAAGCGGTATTTGGTTTCAAGCGTGAAAACATACCTGCAAAGATGACGAGGCTAAGGACAACCGCAACGATGACTGCCTGGAAGTATTTGTATTAAGATTAAAGGTGTTAAAAACCGTGAGGAGACCAAAGAGAAGTTTGACGGCTATGGAGTTTAGGTGTTCATATCGATTTGTCGTCATTGCGCAGACAAATCTTTCGATGATAAAGGAGAAAAACGAGCCTCGGTACCAGTTGTAACCGGCTTGCATTGCGTAATAGCAATAACCACCCATCTAAATATTTCACATATTTTTTGTTGCCGTTTCTACAAATCGTATTCGATCTGTTAGGCTTACCTCGGCTGAATTCTCCCAGTTTACAGATATTAGCTGCACTATCCGAACCAGAAGCATCCAAATAACCGAAAGCGTCATTAAAGATACGTTAAATCTAGATATGAATTGTTATTGGAACTGAACCTCCCGGCCTACCTCATATTTCCATGCAACTTCTGTTTAAGCGCCAATTTAATTGATGTCGAAATAAGAATTGGCAGCACGATGGCATACACCGCGTACTCGAATAGCTCCCAGCCCATCGACTGCTCATATATCCTAAGGAAATAGTAGAAACAGGAATGGTACTTATGTGAGGTTCTGAATCTGAGGACATGATAACCCGGAACACAAAGATCATTGATGAGCAGAAATTAGGGCTGTGCTGATAATTGCTAGGGTTGGAACCGTCAATGAGTTCCGAACGGAAAAATGGACAGGGGGGGTTGTGTGGCTACAAAACAAAATGGGTGTGATGGCATGTATTCAATAGATGATAGGAGTTCGCTTCCCAAGCCCTTTAAATGCCGTAGTGGCAAATTAGACCCTACGCATTGAGTGGGCCCAAAAATGAATTCGGCATAATTTGCCCAGACCATTCTTCCTGTTTGTCAAGCCATCCTGGAAAATAATGGCCCCAAGATTGAACGGACGGCCGAAATTGCATTCGCGCGCGGTCGGGGCCAAATTCTGTGAAAAGCGAATTATCCCCTCAATGGCTGGGCCCCCAGGTTCTTGCAAATAGATTGTCGAACGGTACATAGAAATGGTAACCAAGGGCCCAACCCAAAACCACCCCAAAACGCAAAATGATCCGAGGTCGAGCTCCCACCAGCATTACGTGCACCACCTCTTCTTTCAATGGAAACCTGTGGGAAAGTTTCACTACAATACCAGGGGAATATCCGCATTAGCCGCGAGCGCCGTTCCCAGGAAGTGCTGTGAAGTTTGAGATATCCTTCCACCTCAACCCGAATTATCGAAACTTATCGAAACTATGCTATTTTTGGAGGTGAATGGGTGAGCGGAAGAACGTGTGGTAGCGGGTTGGGAAGGAACCAAAAACACTAGTGAACACCACGGAGTTGACAAGGGTATTTACTGGAACCGAAACCGCGAGTGGGGGTCTAATTTCCGCATGAGTCGGGCAAAATATTTGGGCAACAATGTCGAGGGAGTGTGGTTTAAAAGGGGATTTGCGGACAGTTTTGAGATGAAGTCAGAGCTAAAGTGCACACATCCGAGCAAAATGCATTCAATTCGCAATTTAGAACCGGCGTTCGGATTTTGGAGGTGTGAACGGAAACTTTAAGACAGAGATGACCGGCCGTTCAAAACTCTAAAGATCTTGACTACGCCAAAACTCCTGCCAATCGCCAAGAAATCAAGTTTGTGGCCATTTTTCTGAAAGGTTTGCTCAATTTAAGAAGATCCCTGGAGACGCAGCGCATCACTAACTAGATTTTGACGAAAATAAGAGTTCAGTGCACAGAGGTGGCAGGGAAGTGGGTGAAAGTTCCGGGGAGCTTTGAAATTCCAGGGGTCCGATTTTCAAATTTTCTGCTCGCCGTTTCACCTGTGCTTTGCCGAAAAAGAAAGTGCGCAACTGTGGAAGCTGCGGGGGGGGGCCTGGCGCGTAAGTTGAGGGAGTCTGGAGGTATCTTATTAGATGTGTAGTCTTCTGGTTTACCTCAAAGGATTAAAAACGCGTCTAATTAAGGACATTAGATGAAATAGCTTTTCAAAGTAATCCTACCTTATATAATTTGGTCGCGTATCTTTGTGTGTGTGTGTGTGTGTGTGGATGTCACCTTCGAGGCTCGATTTGAGGGCCTTTCCGTGTATAAAAGGCTCTAATTTTCCGTCACTTGGGGTAATCGACCCTCCTGTTTCGGATGGCGTTCTCAGAATTACGATAAAAGACAAGTTAACAAAGTTAAAGCCGGTTTTATTCATTTTTGGAGGTACCTGAGGGCTAATTTGCATAATGCGGAAAAATACAAATTTCCTCATTCTTGCGAATTGCACGCGCGCGTGTGGTCGGGGGGGTGGGGTCCGAAGGACACGAGCTATCGGCAAGTCGAATTTCTCATGCAAAGACAGGATTCCAGCGCCCAAGGCCCGCGAAGCGGGTTTTGGGCGCTGGTAATAGAATAAGTCTAAAGGTAGTCCAGCTTTTGTATGTGATCTGGTTTTGTTGTAGTCGCTCCAAACCGAACCGCTTCTAAATTTTTTAATTTATGGTCATACCCCGCTGACAGGCACCAGGCAATTACCGTAACTTTTCCGGGTCGACCTAGGGCTTAATTGGCCCTTTGGTCGCCTCCACATTATTCCTTTTGCAAAGGCCCATAAAACCTGATTCAACGGAGCTTTTCCGGTGCTCTGCCGGTTAGTGCTTTACATAAGGCTTCGGCCGGAACCGGGTTTTGGCCGGGATGAAAATGGCTTCCGGACCCCGGCCGTTGTTCCCCAGGCAACTAACTACCAATTGTGGGCACATACCACCTGTGTAGACCTTTAAGACCTGCCGTACACACGCATACCACAGCCACCCCGGCGACAATTCGGACATTTATTGGGCTAGACGCTTTTTTGCTATTATTGAATTAGAGTATTGACCCTGGGAAACGGCGACCTCTAAGAATCGACAAATTGCGGCGGGATACGTATGACGGCCAGACGGTGGAGAGAACATTACTTGGAGTTGTGATGAAATTTGAATTCTCACATGCTATCAAACGGGGATCATTGTCACGTAGGTTAACAATTCAAAAATTAATCAAATGTTAATTTAGAATTTGATCACCACAATTCCGGACAGCCATGGAGCGCCCAGGTAGACAAAGAATATCAAGATGATGCAGTGTGGATTATTTCGAGCAGTTTCCTTATTTTTACAATGCATTCGGGTAAGCGTGCATAAGAAATAGAATCAAACTCTAACAAAATCGATAAACAGTTAGCAAAATGAAAACCGCCGGCCGAATCAAAAACTTCAATCCTATATTTACATTCCGAACCATTTTACGTTTCAATCGGAGACCGAGATAGCACTAAATGAAGTACCTTTTTCGGAGGCTAATTGATTGCCCCAAGGAATTGGCGTAAATCAAGCGAGACTGATGTTTTGTGACCAAGAAACGTGACTAGGAAAAAAGATCGCCGAAAAAATTAATTTTTCTACCGGAAAAAGAATTGGTTTTAGGTTTTGGGCTCCTGGAATCGGGTAACGTGTCGGCGAAAGACGAGGTTAATATAATGGTGAAAAACGTGGTGGATGTTGTGTGCGGTGGATTGGCCTATTGGGCGGTAGGGTTTGGGTTGAGGTATCGGGCAGTTAAAAGTAAAAACTAAAGCGATAAATTACAGTTTTGGGAGTGGTGGTTGGTGGGACAATCCAATTATTGGCTTCGGCCAATTTTTCTATGACCCAGCAAAGTAGGTCCATTGAGGTTATGTGATTTTGCCTTGATTAGTTTGAATGCGCCAATAGATGATGAAGCGTGGGCTTATGCGGTGTTTTTGTTTCAAATGAGTTTAGCGACTACTGCCTCGACCATAGTATCCGGTAAACCGCTACCGTACGCAACAAAACTAAGGTATTTAGGAGCCGTTGCTGAGCGAGCAAAGCTGAAGTCCTATATTTTGCTGGGAATCTTAGTAACCCTAGCCCAAGCCCTACCAGCACATTGGGTTTGGGACAAACGCGGGTTCTTCAATATGCTTGGTGTTGTCGATTATGCTGGATGCTCTTGCGTAATACTCTATAATCACTATTAAGTCGACACAAAAATATTGGTTTTGGGAAAGTCTGTTTTGGTGTCTAGGAAAAAATGGGCTGTAAAATATCTGCTGCCAACTTCGGACAGCTTCAGCTAAAATCATTTGAATTCAAAGAACCAAAGAACTTTTTTCCACGACTTTCTAGTCATGCAACCATCCATTCCCACGGCCCTTAAGTAATGAACGGGGTTTCGGCATATTTTCAAGGTTTAGAATCACCTGGTTGGCGGGATCATTGGCTTGGTGGCTACAGTCTACCTGAAGCCAAGAAGAAACCGTTTTATTGAGGATTCAGTGCATCAGATGAGTAGCCCTGGGAATGCGTTACTTGGTGATTTCGAATCCATGTTTTTTATTGCTTTAGGGACCTTCCTACTGTGGTGGGGCTGGTTTGGGATTAATACCGGCTGCGTTTGGGGTGTTTCGGAGGGCAGGTGGAGATTAGGCGGGAGGTAAAACGCAAAAAAAACTTCTGAAATAAGGATCAGGGCTGCTGTCGCGTCGATAATGACCTCAATTGGAGGCGGTGCGATAGCTACGGTAATATCCTATATACACTCCGACAAGCTTCGAGTGCAATATTTGATCAATGGAGTGTTGTCATCATTGGTTTCAATCACAGGTGGCGAACACTAAGAAATTACGAATTAATAAATTTGAATTAAAGCATTCGCCCCCATAGCTCAACCTTGGCATGCAGTTATAGTCGGATCAATATCGGCCAGCCTTTCAGTAAGAAATAAGGAACTTAAACCTAACATTCCCATCCAGATTGCGATACTACCAGTGCTGGAAAGATTCCACGTTGATGACCCAGTCGGAGTTGTCCCAATCCATCTTGTTAGCTCGATTTGGGGTATGCTGGCAGTCGGCATCTTTGCAAAAAGAGATCATTATGTGGTAAGGTAGCTCCTTCAGTGAAAAACTATTCACAATAGGCTGAGGGCCTCCTATATGATGGTTTGCTTTATGGTGGTGGTGTCAAGTTGCTAGCGATCCAGACGTGCTGTGTTTTGGTTATTATTGGATATTGTACAGTTGCTGGTTACTTCATCTTAGCGGTAAAGTATGAATGAAACAATCTAAGAATCATCTAGTGCATTGAAAACAGCCCGTTGGGCCTCCGTGTATCAGATTATGAAGAAGAGCTTGGCGCCGATGCCACGGAACACGGACTTACCGGAGCTAATATCAGCCGTTATGTGGTTGAAAAGCCACTGAACGTTCGGTACTTTTTAGAGGTCAGTCTAGGAAAGCACAGGCGTTGGGAATTCAAAATGTACATAACCAAAAACCCTGAGAGGCCCGCAGTGCTTTCCTAGCATTTCTGTTTTTTATTTCTTCTATTTTCGGCTTCTCAAACCGCTTTTGTGCGCTTTACGGCCATGCATAATTCTTTTAGAACATTAAGTACCGTTACGAAAGCTGTCGCCAGATGGAAGACACAGACAAGACAGCAAAGCCGGGCTACTAGAATGATGAATCTGAAGAAGTGAGGAAACCCAGCACGTACGGTGTACCAATGTTTCTAGATTACATGAAAAACGTCTGGCCCTTGGATCACCAGCAAATTCCGACTCCAGAAGAACACCAAGACCTTCTGGTTCCTCACAAAGCCCAAATGCCCCTTCTACAAGTCAAGCACCCCCTACAATTGACGCCAAGGTCAAAGGCGCAGAATAAATTCTTTCCTCGTTTACAACCTGAACTATAATTTACAAACAAACCTCCCCAATAATTTCTCTTCCGGTGATATGACTCACCCAAATACCAACACCTACGGGGCACTGCTTATCAGGCATCTTTCGCGACGAAAAAGCCGATATAAGGCTAGCCACACTTACTCATAGCGCCCCGTACCTCGACCGACACTTGTTTGGCTTTTAGCTGTGCATTCAATTCGAATTTTCGAGGATGTCGCTTAGCCTTTGCTTAATAGGAATTGTTTTTGGCTCTTTGTTGGGTTCTGGCCACGCAAAGGGTCATTATTATGACGAATATAGCGATCGGGTATGGTCCTAAGCTTCAATTTCTATTTTTGATATACAGTTAGCTCGGAACATGGTCGTTGTAGCTGCTGGGGCATATGCGCAAGATCCTATGCAATGCCTGAACAAAGTATATCCAATGGATCAGTATAAACTTCGAAGCCACATGGTATGTTTTAAAATATACAAATTGCTGATATAAGCCCAGAATTCCCGATTTAAAATAAAAAATGGCATTTTCAGGTGACCGCATGTGACGGTGATAGTAATACTTGTGGAGTTTATACTGCCGTTAGCGCTAAGGATCAACGAATTATTGTCGCGTTTCGGGGAACAGTTGGAGGTAATTGCAATTCAAAATCTTTACACTTCAAAATTTCAGATAAGCAAATGAAGTTGGAGATGGTCGAATCGCTAAAGCCGAGCATAGACTGGTATAGTTACGGATTAATCGATCGCTACTTTTACAATGCCATTGACAAAATGTGGTAAGTAGGGCACCAAATGTTTCATTAATGCGGAAATGCGGGTGCGTTCAATTGCTATCAAGCAGCCGTCAGTTGACCTACGGCGCACTAATAGGAATCATTGCCGCGAACTTCGAATCTTCCAACCAATGCAAAAATATTCAGGCCCTATGTTGAAGGCGCTATCAACGAAACCTCATCCTCCCACTTCGAAGTATTTTTCACTGGCTATTCTCTTGGCGGGGCCTTGGCCTCTTTGGCAGCGATGAAAACGCACGCATTGGGGCTTCGTAAAGATCGCCAGGTGCTCTTAAAGCTCTTTATTATAATTTGAATTTAGATAAAACTGCTTACATTCGGGGAGCCCCGCGTCGGGAACGCGGTTTATGCGGCTAACGTCGATCGAGTGGTGAAGGATGTCTATCGAGTGGTGCACAAAGCAGATGTTGTGCCCCATTTGCCTCCTTGCAAGTAAGCTCTGAGCTCGAGGCTTTTATATAGTTTTTGCCAGGGATTCTCGTACCGACCGTCGTGCTTGTGATGCTGGGGACTTGCGCAGAATGTATCACCATGGGACCGAAGTTTGGTATAATAACGATATGGGACCCGGAGCAGATTATAAGGTATTTTAATGTTTATCAACCATTCCAAGAATGCCCGAAGTTGTGGATAGCAATTGTTAACTAATCTTCCCATATAGCTCTGCACTCGTTCGGATGAAGATGCAGATTGCTCAGATGGCTTGGGTAAATGGGAGGGCAAAGATCATCTCAACTATTTTGGTCACGACATTGGCGCATTCGGAGGTTCAGAATGCACTTCTGATTATAGAAAATCTGCCTCGGCATTTTACCTATCTATCTCCCTCATAATCCCTTGCATTTCCGCGCTTTTTATGCTTTATTAATAAAGTAGATAAATTATATCGTAATATAAATAGGCGCGACGTATTACAAACGCACACAAGTGACTGGACCGCGTATATTGAGCAATGTTCTCCCACTAATGGGCGGATATGACGAAATCGGTGGTAAAAAAAGAAGAGAGACATGGGAATAGTCAGTACATTGATAAATTAGCATAAATAAATAAATACATTATAATACTTATGATTTTGGATGGATCCTCCCTTTTGCCAAATCGCTGAAGAGGTCCGATGAGGGAGGAGGCTAAAATAGGTCAATTTTTCTATAGAAGTATCTATTAATTATACTATTTGCACTGACAGATGTGCGCTAGTGAAAGCCGACTAGTAACTGGATTACTACAGCCAGAATGCAGTGGATATCTTGTTAAGTATACAATTAGTGTCATGCTTTACCTATTTCTTCAAGTGGAACCGGGGCTAAATTTGGCATGATTGAGATTAGTGGGCGGGTTGACTCACGAATTCGAAGATTTTGAACAGGTTCAACAACGGGTTTTCAGTGGCAGTGTTCGTGGCAGTAGGGACGGCGTTTTGCTGGGTAGGGAATAGTGACATCCCTAGATTTCTGTATTTGAGATTACGTCGGACGTACCTTGGAGTGGTTGTTGCTGCTGCGCAGGCTGTGTAAAGACAGGAGTCTGGGGTGGTTGAACGGGTTGGTACTGAGGTTGGGTAGCAGGCTGTGGCACCTGCATTTGCACCGGAGTCTTACCCTAAGATTTGGATTTTATAAAGTTCTCGCCATCACTCGATCACTCACGTCAAACGTTCCGATAAACTCGTGGTTTTCCAGGGCTTTCACATAGCCACTATTATCGATAGTGACACCACGCTGAAAATCAACTATGGGATTAGTCTAACAAGCAGGCAGCTATGATATTATAAGTAATTTTCAATAGTCACTAACAATACGATAACTATTACAAAATACCCACACACGACAGTATAGCATTTACCTGGAAAAGAGGAGGTAGCAGCTGTCCAGGGTAGAGCTGGTAGTAAGGGTTTGTCGGCGCCTTTGCGTACGGATAGGCTTGTCGGTATTCTCGTTCTTGATCCTATGCCGAAAAGTTTATAATAGTAACCAATTAGCGTACCAGGAAATCGTCGTATTCCTCGACTTCCTGGAGGACATTGTCGAAGTAGGGATCCCGACCGAACGCCTTGGATTTCGGTCGATAGACGAAAGGTGGGAAGGTTGGGGGTGGCGGTGTTGGCGGAACTGGTGGGCTCGTGATAGGTGCTACTGGCTAAAACAGAGCGTATATTGGTCTTCCTGTATACAGTTATGATGGTTAGGAATTGTTTGGTGTTTTCTTTTTAGGCTTGATTAAAGCGCGTGGAAAGGGTGATTCGATATTAGACTTTGCCCTTTGCGTAAGACCCTTGTTTTAAAAAACGGAAACCAGATTATTTTAGTGTTTTGTAAGGGATAAATTATCATTAAATACAATAAAGGATTGAAAGTGCACCGTTCTGACAAACATCCGCGGTTGTTGTTGTGGGCTCTGGAGTAAAGCCTGGCGAGGGCGCGGGTTAAGCGATCGGCTCGGCTTCCTGCCGGCCTTCCTTCGTGCCTTCTTGTGTTTTTTGTTTCGGTTAAACTGGAATGATAAGAGTGCTTAATTAGTTCACACGGTGGATGGTTATTTTTGAAATTGTTTTACCTGGACGACTTGTGGGATTTCGCGCGACATGGCGGCTGGCTGAACCGATACCGGTTTCGCTAAAAAAACCTGGCTGATTGGTGGCTAAGAACTTACGCCTTGGTTGCACCCTGGTGATTGTGGTTCTAACTTGCGTCATTTCCTTCTTTTTGTTAGCGCCAAGCTTGAGAGTCGGATCATCATAATAGTCATCATTCTAAAGATATATTGGTAAAAATCACGATGGCTACCATATAGTCTTCAATATCATCTCTCCTCTTGGCGCTGCGTTTAGGCTGGTGAAGCCGAGCTCCATGGATCTAGAACCAGTTGCTCCAGTTGATGAATGTAGCTCTCACTAACCTTGTGTCCGGTCTTTTGCCCGAAAGGCACAAAGTTTCCATCATCATCGTAGTATCCCCTTTGTCTAAAGGAACCAAACTAGCCTCATCGATTTAAATTGTTTTTATGCTCGGTGGAAGACTTACTTTTCCTCCGGAATCGGCGGCAGCTCCGCGTTCGTGCTAACACCAAATGGTAAAAATCCAGCTGGTGGCTGCGTCGGCGGTGTAGGGCGAGCTGTTGGTCTTGGCGTTACCGGGATGACCTGCACCGGACGTGGTGACAGATCTTCTTTCACTGAAACTACGTTGTACTTGATGCCCAGAAAGATCGCGAACTCTCTTCGTCGGTTTTCGGGAGAGGTGGCAAGCCGGTGAGCTTGCTGCGACCATCAAGATCGGCCAAAGATCGAACTCGTCCGCTTTGGATGGCTTCCTAGGAGATTTGGGTACAGTGTCATGGGTTTAATTTCTTACGTTCAGCGGTCCCAACCCGGCGAGGTTGCCGCTGTTGACTAGCCTTCCATAATTATCAAGTTGTGAGAGGCCATATGGTTGTTGGGCAAGGGCAATTGGTAGGAGTATTGAAAGGGTTAGTAACCGCATCTAAAGATTGTGTTACAATTGCATGAACTGAAAGTTGGGTAGCTAGAACGGAAATGAAAAGCACAGTATATTTTAAAAGCTAATCCATTAAAGAATTTACAATATTTCAAAGAATATGCGTTTATAGAGGATGGAATGCTGTAGCTTTTTTGAACGGTCAGCGTATTTGTAGCCAACCCGAGGTTTCGTTGTGACCGTTCCTAAGCGTTACCCCCATAAACAGCGGCCTTAGAAATAAAGAAAAGCCTTTCCCGCCTTCCCAGCTGCCTAATCCGCGATTAGCCTTGAAGGCGAAGGTGGGGCATTCAGGGTGTTAGCAGCGAAAGGTGGCGAAAGGTGAAATGACAGGTTTTTTCCTGGAATGCCAAGGGGAAAGATTTCGAAGGGAATGGGCGTTGAGAATTATAGGAGGAGAAGCTGTTTGGAGGGGGAAAAGACAAAGGGAGCACTGACGAAGCGAAGCGAGGCGCACGGGGAGAAGCATGGCAGCAGCCTGGCCGGGACCCGTTTATGTGGTGGACGGGCTTGTGGTTGGGATCGTGGACAGGCCGGAAACTGGCCGTACATACAGTTAGATGCCAATCCACGAGGGTGAACGATCCGTTTCACTTGCCATTGCACATGCAACGTAGTAGTGGCTTTGTGGAGCGGATCAGTGGTGATGGTCGCTGATTAGCACGCCTGGAGGAGTAATTAGGATACGGCGAATCGGGTTTTTTCGTCTATTGAAGCAAACAAAAGAAGAGCCTTCGGATTTACGATTGAGGTGTCATTTAAATTGTAATTTAAATTTATTAGGTGTATAATAGTTCCTTAAAGCTAATTATGGAATCTAAATGGCACAGATATGCGGCGATGTAACCAAAGGAAAAATGTTATTAAGCGTCAAAGATGTTTCAAGTAGCCAGCAAAAAGCATGGGAGCGAGAAATACATAATTTTTTAAAACCCTATTTTGGAAATATTAAGTACCATAATTAATAAAATCAAGTAGACCACCGTTTTCGTAACCAACTCCTTTCGCGACAATTATTTGACGCGACAAATGGGTAGCGGCACCGAGGATGATGGCTAATTTAATGACTCGTTTCTGGTGTGCTCCCGGGGCGAGCAAGGAAGAAATGGCAGAAATGACGGAAAAAATGCTGATCCGGATAGGGGGTGGGGTGGATTGTGACAGTGCTGGTCTAGGTGGGTGATGCCGGTGGTGGTGGTGGCAGTGTGGAGTCGAGACCGGGTCTGCCAATGGGGGCTTCTCACACGATCAGCTCGCAATCACCCGGAATGGCTGAGAAGGGCGGACGGGGTAGGGAGGGTGGGGGGATGGATGGATGGATAGATCTGGAGGAGACGGATTGTTATCCACCCCCGAAAAGCTAAAGGCATGTTTCCGCGATTTTTTCGGAGGTCCGGAAAGTGATCAGATAGATTGGGAGCCATGCTTATGCATCTATTTACAAAATTGTGGCTTAACTTCTGGTTTTTTCTACGGTAGTAGGCTGTAGTATCGTGTAGCTTAAGCAAGATTTGACTTATATAGTCATAAGGAAATAATCGCCACGAAAAACATATAGCTGACTGTCCTTTGACCATCATATGATAAAGCTCCTCACGGAGAGCTGAACCGAAATTGGCTAACGACCGGAACAAATGAGGCTCGGTTGCATCAAGGCCGGTCTCCTTTAATTCGAATCTATTGCCAAGCTTTTTGCGCTTCCCGAAGTGCATGCTACGAAAAAAATGCAACTTTGAGCATAACTGCCTCAAATGACCGATAAAATAGGCAAGAAACATAAAATACGCGCGTATAAAATCAACATACCCCGATGAGATAAACGACCATAATTCATGCAAAATATGAATGACAAGGGTAACTCGTGACTGCATACAGAAGCACAAATCCACATATAGGAAAGGAAAACCCACAGAACTCCTTAAGTTCTGTTCACTGATGACCCAAAAACTTGCCTGGAAAACTTAAAAGCAAAGCCAAGGATAGCGCTAGCGACAGCCTTGTTTTTCACGGCAATGTTACGGGTGCTGAAAGCCTGATACCTTCCGTTAGAAAGCATGAGAGTAGAGAAAACCACAGAACCTGAAAACGGAAGTGGAAGCTTGAAATGAGAAGCTGAAGTATCGTAGATCGGAAGCGAACGGCTTGTGTGTCTGACTGCTCTCGGCAGTGGCTTGACTGGGTGGGACTGCTTTTTGACGAGAATTCGGCTTCTCGACCGCTTGGAACAACAGATCCCGCACCCGATTTGAGCCGAAGGATCGTAATGGCAAGTGGGAGGCGAGGCCATTCCTCTGAACCGATCTGCGAATTTGAAAAATTATGGTTGGCGGGTGGCTGCGTTGAACCCTCGTAAATAACGAAATTGAAGTATTCAAATGGCTACCGACATCCAATGAAAACGAAAGGACATTCCCTACTTGCCCTTGGGGGCGACCCAGGTACCAAGGGTAAAACCCCCATCTCGTTGCTATGCAAATGAATTGACGGGGAAAGTCGAAATGGCAAATGGATGTTCGGTCTTTCATGGGCGGAAAGAATGGGGGACATTGGCTTTTCAGAACGGGTACCGGGGATGGCAAAAAGTGGTGGGTGGGTATGTCTGGAGGGGGGATTCGAGGAGCCGACAATTGCCTCGATCGAGAGCCTCATTTTCACTTGACTCTCGGTGAAAGTTTTTGGCAGTCGGGATACTCATGTTAATTGGAGGAGACCGTGCCGGAAGGCGGAATGGTAGCGAGAGGTGGTGGTTTGAAAAAATGTAGTTTTGAGGAAATTGTTAAAAACCACGAATTAGGTGAAGATCCTTTGTGTCGTATTTCTTCTAATATAACCCTTGAAACGTTGTTTATATCAATCCAGTTCTATTAGCGGGCTGGCTTATAATATAGGTTTCTCAACAGCCCGCAATGTCGGCATTTTGCTGAAATTTGTTGCTAAATTGGATAGATTTTGTCGACCTGAACGGTTTTTAGCACCTGAAATGGTTTGGAACGAGCCAAAATACCCTGCTCGGCATTTACTAAACTTTGGTTTGCATTTTTTTATTGTTTTGCGTTTTCAACCACTCCGTAGATAGGTGAGTTATAAACTAGAAAGGAAATTTTGTAGAAGGACATATATTAGTGGAAATCCTCTATTTTTTTTCTTTACATAATTATGGGAGGTTATGATTTAGACCGCCTCAACATTGGAACTCCAACAGCTAAAAATTCGCAACGCGAATATAACCCTCCTCCCAAGGAATAGCATTCGTGCTAGGAGACAGGGCCGAGAATTATAGTTTTACAGAATCCGTTGCAAGTTCGTACATGGGCTGGCAACGGTGTAACGGCTAGACGACTAGGCGACTTTCTGCCATCTTGGAACAGCCCGTTCACAGATCGCTTGCCTGGATATGTGCCGCTTTATGGCTATCTATTCAGAAAATCTCCAACAATGCCCCCGCAACTTGTCGTCTTGTGGGAAACCCCTGTGATCCGATTCTCCTTTTCGCCAAAGGAAAGGTGTTTCAAACACAAGATATTGCAGCGTAAAATCGCCTGTATAAAAATCTGTATTTATCGCAATCAAGACGAAAATAATTGATCCCATATTCTACCAGTCGGTGCCAATGGAGCCCACATATACATTAAGGTTGGAGTTCGAACGGTGAGATGCCAGGTTTGATTTCTAAATTTAGAATTTAAAAATTTTTAAAGATAACTCACGATCAAAGGACTTTCGGCTAGGCATCTTGCAATCTCTCCCCACTTCTCTCGGCTGAATAGATTACGGTATTCAGACCGTTCACTAACGGAAAGAACATCACCTACAAAGCTTGATAAAGGTGCGAAAAAGGACTCACCGATATTTTGACACGATTTTAAAAGATCTCTTAACCGGCTGTCTTTTTTGATTAATTGCCGCCAGCGCCCTGGAATTTGACCATAAATTGAAACTCAAGTGGTTACCTAATTCTTGTTCATTTAATTTTCGTGGCCCAAAACCACGCATAGGCAGGACGGCATCAGCAAGTTGCTGTGTGAGATTTGCAGATGCATCTGAAGCTGCATAAGCCAATTTACGTAAATTTGGAGCTACCTCCATCCCTCGCGAAATCATCTTTCCTCGTTTCTACAGATTGGTATATCTCTGTTATTGAGCGGAATGACGAAATGCCTTCTTCAGGGAACAATCCAGCGGGGACTTCTCTCGATGAGACCTAACTCAAAGGGTTTTCAGGATATTAGTGTAGACCTGTACACCAGCTGTCGAAGCAGGTCGTTCTTGCCCATGATCCCTACCCTCTAACAATGTTTTTCTCCATTCTGAGTAGCTTTTAGGCTGGATCTAAAAATAATTTACTTAAGAAATAGTGGACGGACCTTCTGAAGTTCAGCAATTGACTGATCGATATGCTCAAAGCGGTCCCGGGAGATGTTCTTGCTCACTTCGGCCACATCAACAGCTTTTTCACTAAAGAGGCGTTGCACTTGTTCACATAGATAGATTCAAATTACTTGTATTCATTGTTGAGATGCTCCGTTTCAGTGATGTAATGTTCCACATAGCTCGAACCCTCCCCAAGATTTGCATAATCTTTAAGCATAGGTGCTGGTGGAGGGCTGCCATCTGGGAGCGGGCTTCTCGTCGATAGGAAATCACCGGAGGCATAGTGATGTTCTAAGCGCTAAGATTTCTTGTCTTTATGGAATCTTACCTTCATCAGCCACAAAAGCTAGATTGCTTCTCCTTGTCGATGCGTATCCGGCGTTTGGATTTAGGTTCATGCCATTTGTTGGGAGATAGTCGGCATGGGATTGGCTATCGGCTAAAGACGTGATACTAAATAGTCGAAGCCATCTTACAAGATCCTCTTCGATCAAAAGCGGTAATGGCTCCATCGTATCCGCCAAAGCTTCGTTTGTTCTTTTCAAAATGCTTTCTTGGGAGTACAGGTTGCTGCGATGAGGCTGGATGTGTAGAAGAAATTGCCGAATCTGCCGGGGAAACTGCAGAGCCACGTCTGGTACTGGAATCTTTTCATTAAAAGCTTTTCAATACCTCAATACCTATCGAGACCAGCATATTCACCCTGCGCATTGGTCGTTCGGCCTGTCCACCACATGCTGCCCAGCCCAACTTTCCCTACACCACTCACTAAATAAGAATAAAATTTAAAATCTAAAAATTACCAGGCGGCATTGAAACACGCATATTGTTGGTCTGCTGCTCCCCACGATGTCTTCGCTTCATGCAGAAATATAGGCAACACAGCAATATCAAGGCCAACAGCAAAAAGGCCAGTAGCGCAAACAATAAAATTTGAGACAATCGAGAGCCAGTTGATGTGGCGTTTTGCTACAATATCAATTTTTTTTTAGCTGGGATTAGCTCCTACCATGCCCGGTTGAAAACCAGCTTCCGCAAAATTTGCATTATTCGATGTGGCGCTATCTGGGATTCCGTTGCCAATCGGCCGAATATCCAAAGCATTTTTGATTCCGCCTACAAAAAAAATCAATAAATCTAAAATAAGTGTGCCTTGGGGATCTTCGCTTCCGGTAACGCTACGGAAGCCATCTTGTGAAAATTGGCCTATGAATGGGTTTGGGCGTTCGACGCCTTGAGTTCCTAGAAACGGTTTCCCATTTTTATGGTTAAACACCTATACCTTTAACAACAACAGCATTGTTTGAGCCGTAAGGGCCTGTATTATTGGTGAGACCACCGAAGGAAGAAGGAAGGCCTGGAGTCAGACCTCGTAATTTATAGAAACGTAAGAAATTACCCCCATTGGCCAATATTGAGGCTGACCCTCCATTTCTGGCGTTCTCTAGTAATTGGCGATTTATTGCGGCTAGTTGCTCTGCGGTTAGCTCTCTGGAAACGAATTGTTTTAAATTGCCATTAAAGGAAATAAGACTTTCTGAGACTTACCCGGTACCAGCGGTAGGATTGATGGGCATACCCACGGTTGATAGGCCTCCACCTGGCTGTTGACCAAATGCACCGATTCCCAGTGCGGCACTAAAGGTAGAAATAAACGAAAGTAATGATTCGGATATGTAGTAAAATAACGAATTAAACAACGCGAAACCAGAACTTACTTATCAATGGCAAAATTTGGCTGCACCATCGGAAGTGGGAGAGTGCCAACTTCAGGCAGACCGTAGACGCACCGGACCGTAAATGTCTCATCGTTAGCCAGGATCACAAACGGATTCTGCCCTATTCGCACCCGATTTTCGAAGACGCCAGGAGATGGCTAAATTCCAATTTTCCTATAGACCTTTACAAAATGTCATACCATCATAGTCCCGCATGGGTCATTGCGGATCGCTATCTCGATGACATACTGTAGCTCGCCATTCCCCTTTAATCGACAGTCATCCTTGCCTAAGCTTTCGTTGTTTTTTTAGGTAAAGCTCTCATACCGGTGACTCCCACAACGATCCAATCTGTAAAATTTCCTCCGGGGATTAGGTCTTTGTTTAGTGTGACGGCGACTGTGATTAGTTGCGGGTCGCATCGTGGTTGGACTAAAAATAGAAATTTGAATTTTTTTTTGGTTGATTCAAATACAATTTACCATTTTTTAAATTATTACGGTTCCAGTGATTTGCTTCGGATCGATTTACTAGCCACCTAGTGAAAATTACTTATACAGAGGCCTATCACGCAAATCCTATCCTATAAGCGAGAAAAGTATGTGTGTTTTCTGTGCAGACGATTTCTCAGCCGTCAGGCCGAATTTCCGGCTGATTTTTGGCATGGAGGTGGAGAAACACATTTGCCAGACACGCATTTTTTTGTTTTTCTCCATGCCAAAAATCAGCCGGAAATTCGGCCTGACGGCTGAGAAATCGTCTGCACAGAAAACACACATACTTTTCTCGCTTATAGGATAGGATTTTACAAGCAAAATAGTAAAAATCCTTAACAAAATGGGCGACGAGCCGTGGTGTTCGGGACATAACTCGATTCGCATTTGGAATTTCGGGCTGAAATTTGGACCAGTTATGTATTCGATAGTGGGGATCACGCGCATCTTATTATCTTTACAAATTTTTTGCAGGTTCAGACTCAAAAACTTAATTTTGTAAAGTGACCAGAAGGCTTCCCTCCCGGGGCATTGGGTCGGCTGTGCCTCCCCGCCCGCCTTTCCCCGGAACAGAAGAGGGCTTTCCCGCCGCCTGTTCCCATCTACCCCGTGGTGTAGTGGATTTACGCCCGGCCTACCACGTTTATAGCGGTGGGTTCGGATCCTGGGCAAATCCAACTTTTTGCTTTTTGGTAGTTTAGCAACTAAACATATTTCTAGGCTCTCGGTGTGCGAGGTTTAGGCCTGGCCCTCGCTCTAGCGCCGCAGGCCGAAGAAAAGGCCCTTGACCCAGGCTCTCGCGCCGCAGGCCCAATCCTGGAGAAAAACCAGTAACTAGCGCCGCAGGCTCAAAGGATCTAGCGGAACGCTGGCTGTAGCGCCGCAGGCCGAAGAATGGCGCCATTACTCAGGTGCTTGCGCCGCAGGCTGAAAGAAGAAGGTATTCAAATTCATGATTCCTGGACGGTGTCCAGTGGAAAATGGCCGCGAAGCGGTCTTTTTCTTCTTATGACCGAAATATCTTATGACCGAAATTCTATACACATAATCTTCATGATATTGAAAGCTTTGGCCGAGTTTTGTTTTTTTATGCTATTTTGGCATAATATTAGAGAACTTAACATTATTTTTCATGCCAAGTTTCCTTTTCATTTTCACTCTTTTTCCGGCCAGTTAAACTTGTGCGTTTTGGATCGATGAGTAAGGGAGGTGAGAGAGTATTGGGGGATGTTGTGTATGTATGTATGTGGATGATGGGTGTCCGTTTCGGTCCGTCTCCCCGGCTAATTACAGGCGGAGGCTTTTGTTGGTCCCCTCAGTCTGTCCTCCATACCGCCATATACAGTCCCTAATTTGCACCTCGCCCCTCCTCTCATACCGGGTGACCTCCTGATGCCCCCAGGACACACAACGAGGTCTGATGATGGCAAAATCAAAATAGGCACACGAAGTAGGTATTTAGCGCCGTTTTTGGCATTAAAATAAAATTAGAAACTCTTCAAAAAATTGCAGGTATCGAGAAAGCTAAAATCACAAAAAAGACTATGACAACCGCATTATGATTTGCATAGTTTTTTCAATTATGAAGTTATTAAAAAGTTCGATGATTATTTAGAAAATTAAAATTATGTCATAAGAAATATAGTTAAGTTTAACCTCACCATCAATAACATCGTGTTTGCAATTAGATTTTTAATTAATTGGAGGCTATTCAAAAAAATTGGGATATGTTTTGAACCTAACTACGTCAAATTACCTTTACCTAATTACCATAACTGCATTTTTTTTAAAAAATATCCTTACCCCTGATTTTCGGCGGCAATGCAAATTGACCGTAGGCTGGGGAGAATAGAAATAACAATAGGGGCACCATCATGAGCTTCATCTGCACTGGCGTGCTGGTGGAGTACTTCTCATTCCGGCTGGGATAATGTAAATCTGTAAACTGGGGATTACGGATTGGAACTCTTCTACGGTACGATATGAACAAAATAATGTAAATTCATGAATCTAAAGGGCAAAACAGCAAACATCGAGATAAGTTTGCAAATTAACCAATCAATATTTGGAACGAATTATAGATTGAGTGTTGCCAGTAAATAGTCGTACTCTTATGAAAACACCGTTAAGAAAATACACCGAGCACCATGAGTACAGAATGAGATCCAAGTGGATAGAGGGCAATGGGTAGGGGCACCCAGCTGAGGCCATTGTATTTGGGGGCGGCGATTACGGGTCGGAAGTGAGCTCGAGCCGTTCGGGATCGGACCTCCTCTACAGCACTGACTGGTCCCCGTCATGCAGCCCGCAGTTTAGCCCGCTCGCATATTCAAAACTATTCGAATGGTCATGCGACCAGTTTGGAAGGGTGAGAGCTCATTGGTTTGGGTAGAAAACTAGTCTGACGCTAAGCGATTGAGGGCAAAAAGTTGGAGGTCTTTATGGGAATCGGAATATGGAGGATTCTTCAGTAGGGTCGAGATAAAAGCATGAAAATAATCAAGCACCTAGTTGGAGTTAGAAAGTGAAAACTCGTAGTTCCGCTGATTTTTCGACTCCACTTAGTCCTTCCGATTAAACGCGCCACGCGCGAAAGCACATAAAGATCAAAATCTGCCACCTATACTCTTAGACAAAGCGATGTCCCGCGACAGCCCCTGGTAGTCCCGAGAATTACAAGCCAACGCCCTGCCCGCAGCAAATACAACGAATCTTCGTTCTCGAAGTGGGCTCTTGAAGCCACTTGCAGGTGTAGGAGAAGGGGAATCGGGTTGGCGGCTGACACGGATACCACCTCGACGGAAAGGGGGCAATTTCGGCAGCCTCGGGCGGGGAAACAACACTCTGACAGTATGTGCAGGAGGGGGGGGGGGCAGCAAGTTATATTGTGAACTGGTTGTCACAGAAGTGGTCGATAGGAGAGAGTGGTGGGGATTGATCTGGGTCGATGGAAAATGGGGTGTAAGTACTTCGGGGTAGCAATTGGAGTTGGCTAGCTGCCACGATGGATCCTCCTTCAAAATAACGGCTAGACAGCTTGAAAATTCTGGATTCCACGCAATTCCGGCCACGGAGCGCCATCTTTGAGCGGCGGTAACGAAGAAATGGAAAGCCCTCCGGAAAGCAGGGATGAAAATTGGCCAAAGTGACTGGATGGGCAGTGGATGGGGGGGGGGGGGGGGAGGACTCTAATAGCCCCAGAGTGACTGGTATGGGCTCTGCGCAGGCTCATATTTCGAAGCGAGGAGGCCACCGAAAAACTCGCGATCGCAGAGACACATGCATAGAGACATAGACTGTCGGTGCTGCCACCTGCGAACCCACAGTTTAACCTAGTTGGGGTGGGGATGGGTGTTCGTGCGCTATTTCCGGTGGAAAGGGGTGCTTTTCTCGAGAAAACGCATGGGGTCGAGGGGAGGGAAAATGCGTTATGGAAAACTAGTGGTCGACTGAAGCTTGAATTACTAACCGTATAACCCAAGTACCATCAAAAATATGACGCATGGCTCAAACTTGATGATCGTGGAGTAGCGGGGGACCGTATTTGTGCGCCAACCTACCCAAAAATCAGGTTCCACCCCACCAAACAGGGCATAAAACGGATATCCCGCCCTGCGGCCACCGCTATGTCACCACCGTGCCCCCCAAAATACAGTCCAAGTAACGAGCAACCGGCTCCAATTTTTACTACTTACAACTACGGCGTTTCCGCGGGCAAACAAGCAAATACCATGAAAGCGTAGGTGATGGTGTTGGCATTTCGGTGTATTCTTTAACTGTCATGATCAGCTCTAATATATTTCATGCACGTATAAAAACGCATATGACAATCGCGATATCACATGTGTGTACAAACATAGTAGGAATCAATGAAAAACAAACGTCAACATGAAAACGGACCCATAAAGCGGAACTGTGAAAGGGAGGGTGGATGGTTAGCATGGGCGTACATTCATTTTTTCTAAAACTAGCTTCACATACTTGCCTTGAATTTATTTTTGGCATTATAGACATTCAGTTTACCTAAAAAAAAACAGTCTTAGGAAAAATGAACAAACATCGTCAGGCTGGAAGGGTGATGGGGTAAGTAGTTTCTTGGGGGAAATATAAAGCTTAAAACTAAACGAAAATGTTTAGACAGTCAATAGTCGCTTGCCAAGCGGATTCTCAATCCAGGGGTACGCGAGTGGACAGGAGCCACACACCCGGAAGGAATGTGGGGTGCCCCCCTGTAGGGATGAGGCTGAATAGGTGCACACGGATGGACTCTGAAAGGAATAGTCTTATGTCTCCATTATATGGGACAGGCAATGAACCCGAACTTATTGACACGAATGGTCAACTTCTGGTTATTACGGCTCTAACCCTGGGTCCAGGCCAGTAACAAACCCGAAATTTCGGGGGCGGCGGCAAAATTTTTTTGCTAAATCGACCAAAAATGTAACGCCGTAGGCAAAATTTTTGAAAAAACGGGTCTTACAACACTAAAAATCGTGTTAAAAACAGCCAAAAACAACATTTTTTTTGGAAAAATCAAATCATAAGGGTCCCCTCCCCGCCCCCTTTACGGGCCTGCCTGGGTCATACAGATTTCTAGATCAAATCTAAATCTTTGCCTCACCTCGCATGGCTGCACATGATCGTTCAATAAAAATTGACACTGCCAGGGAGCAAATCTTTCGATTTCGGCCACCTTTGTCGGTTTCTTCATCCATTCTATCGCCTGTGAAGCGGTGACCACGTAGACGTCAGTGCGGTTTAGCACCTAAAAGCCCCTCCCTGCCTTAAGCTCCAGAAACCCTACGTCATTCAAGAAATCAGAAAGCGCGTTGACAGCGCCATTATCAGGCAAAATCGTCAAGAAATCTGTGTCAGCCGTAATTACGAACGGGGCTCGGTTGCCTATATACTGCTTTAGCAATAATCTTGTAATTTTTACCTTTGTAATGTTTTAAAAAGTTTCGTTTCAACATATTCGCCACGCCATCTCGACTGTCAAATGGCTAGAAAACGGTAATATAGCGCTTCTCGGACATTCCTTACCCGTATCGCCGACCTAGCCATCGCGGCATATTTTCCATTTGTAGAGATGAGCTGGTGGATCGGGATTTCCCATAGACCCCTAGGTTATTGTTTAATAGATATTAATGAAAATGGATACTTAAAGGGCTTCGTAGGACAGTTCTGTTCCTCGCAATCCCATGCCATCTTGTGATCCAAGGTCTGCGGCCAATAGGGACCACCGCGTAGTGGAATGGAGTTGTCATAGGTGAAGCCAGCCTTTTGCATCATCGTGAATTGGTTATCTCCTAGGTGTATTGGTCTACAAGCAATCGCATAAATCCCAAACCTCCAATCAACAACTGTGGTGCACGGATTCCCTTGATCGAGTCTTGCTCAACGTAGCTGAACTCCTTCAGCGATTCCCTCAGACCGCCCATTTCATGGCGCCACCTTTGCTCGGTAGCTGTAGTAAGGGTCTCATGGCTAAAACCAGCATTAGGAGTAGAGAAAATCAAGGTTACGTGATAGAATTGACGCCAATCTCGTTGTCTCTCGAGTACAGCCATTGTGTTTGGTCGTAGTTGTTCCATTGGTGGGAGATGAAGAACGTTCCTGCGTTTTGACACTTAAAGGTCATTTGTTAAGGTACCTTTAATAGCGCATCCGTTCGGATTTCGGATCCGGCCATCCAGTAAACTTTTGTAAATGTTGATCGTACGGTCAGTTACTGGATCGTCGAAGGTCAGGATAATAATTTGAGGTGTTTCTTTTTGGCTTAGGTTTCCAGGAATAGTCGAGCCAGTTCTAAGGAGCTTATAGTAGGAATTAAAAGTTAAAATACCGCGAGCAGAAACAATCCGGCAATTTGCAAGAACCATCTGTTGGACAATCAGTCAGAACTTCCTTAGTTGGAGTGGGAGGTCGAAGCCTCAAGTCTAAATTACCAAGATGCTAAAGCCCAGGCGCCTTTTCTGATACCATCCTCTATTTTGTTAGTATCAACACTCCTCTTCCCCACAGTCTTGCAAGGCTTTTGAAATTCCGTTATCCCAATCGGGCATTTGCAGATATTATTGATGCATTGTGCTCCGTGATCGCATTCAACGCCTTCCATGCATAGTTCGCCAGGCCGTGCTAAAATGTTAGTTGGTAGTGAGATGCGTGCATTAAGGTTCGAAAACCTCTGCTATCTGCCATGCAAACACCATTTGTTAGTGTAAGACCACTCTTGCATGCGCACAAATTTTGCACGCATTCCGAGCCGTTTGCACAACGTGCTGATGGGTAGTCGCAGGGTTTGCCCGGCGCTACTAAAAAAAATTCAACTCTTCTTGCTTCTTTATACCAAATTACCGTCATTATAAAGTACGCAAACTCCACGTTCATCTTCTCGCATAAAGAAAGGACATTCGCACAGTTTAGAAGCACCACAGACTCGAGGACTCTTGCATTCCTTGTATGTCGAACACGAAGCTTAAAGATAATCATTAGATCGATCGTTGTTAACTTACTCTTTGTCGATAACGCTTCTGAATTCGGCGCAAATTGGAGAAGTGGTGGTTCTCCATCTGTTCGAGAACAGTATGGTTCCATAGTTGTTTCTGTGCCAAGAGGGCAGACACAGTATCCTTGATCACAGATCGAATCTCCCATACAAGGCGGACCGCCTACCGTACACCGCGAGCCAGGTAGAGCTGGAATAAAGACATCTCGAGTTCTTTCTGAATCGTACCTTCACCGGTATCAGCTTCAAATGGAGAAACGCAATGACCAGTAGAGTTTGTCATTCTGTCACCAACACAGACGCATCGATTCAAAAAGCATTGCGAATTCTTTTGACATTGCGGGGTATTTGCGCAAAAGCTTCCTAAAAAGAGATTTAGAACGGATTTCCTTCCTACCTGGATATACTGGAGAGCGCTTCGAGCCGCTGCTCATTACAGAAGCGCATTTTCCATCGATCAATGTTGTGCCCCTTGGGCAAATACAGGTCTAAAATTACTGTTAAATTCCAGAGATACGAATTTGATGGACCTTGGAAACACAGTGCATTCCTCCGGAACATTCAGTATCTTTTGAGCATTCCTTTTTCTTCGCCATTCTTTGAAGGGTCAATGGAGCCGTCGCTTGCTCACAAGAGAGCCCATCGATACTGAAAATTAGGCTATTACCTGATTCTCATTAACACATACCTTGGGTTATATCCTGGAGGGCAGGCACAAATTCCCAGGACGCAGACAGATCCGCCACCACAAGGCGCGGTGTTATTGCAGCGGTCTCCAGGCATTGCTAAAGTCAATTTTTTCCACAAGGTATTTAAGATTTGCAAAGAAAATCCTATTATCGATAGGTATACATAAAATCAACTTACAAGAAAACCTACGCGTTCCACAAGCCCCGCAAGAACTGCCACCATTATTCACGCAGCTATTTCCAACCTAAAAATGATACTCATTGAGCACTATCGATACCTTACCTGAATATAGCCAACCGGACACGTGCAAAGCCCTCTTGTGGAGCAAATACTGCTGTAGCCGCAACGTTGATTGCAATTTGCATCGGTATTACAGCGTGGCTCACATTGGCTCCCCAGCGATACTATATATTGGATGAAAAATCCTCATAAAAATCCTACGTTGATATACATTGTCCGGAACTATAGTAATCGAAATGTAAGGATCCTGATTGGCCGGTACGCATTGTTGTCCAGCAGGGAAAAAACCGAATGGACATCGACATACAGTACCATCACATCGAGAACCGCCTTGGCATATTTGGCCTAGACACTATAAGTTATAGAAACTTGAACCGCATACCGTTTCCACAAGACTGTCCCGGATGCGCGTAATTATCATTAGCCATACAGTTTCCATTGCTGTACTGATATCCATTGTTGCATTGACAGGTCCCTGAGTTGCATGCCGAATTTTGGACGCACACCGAATTCTGCTGGCATGGCTGGTTGGCTTGGATGAAGGGCTGGCAGTTTGGTTGGCTCGACGAAGAATAGTAATAGCCGTTATTGCATGAGCATTGCCCTTAAATTTTTAATTAAAAGCTTAAGTTTTAATTATATTCCTACCTTGGTTACAGTATGAATTCTCTGCACACGGGGGATTTAGACCGCAATTTTCTTGTGGGCTGGCGACAAGCGCTACCACCCGGATGCATTGCTGGCTTGTTTGATCGTAGGTGAAGCCCGGCTGGCAGCTGATGGTTCGTACAATAGGGTTGCATTGCGCTAAACAATAACATCCATAATTTGAGAACCCCATCAATAAAGCTACCTGTTTGACACTGCGACAAGCAAGCCGTCCCATCAGCCGAAGAATAAAAGCCAGGCAAACATTTGCAATTTCCATTTTCACAGACAGAATTTGGCGGGCAGCCCAATCCGCACTGACTCGGATTTTGGTAGGAGGGAACGCACTGACCAATTGCTGGAGAGTAACCGGAATTGCAGTTGCAGTATCCTGAATTTTTTTGAACCATCTAGCTTCGCCGCTTACCGTTGGAACACTGGGAATTAGCAACGCAAATGCTTTGCTGGCCACACGCTTGATTGGCTTGCACGATTTCGGCGCAGTATGCTCCATTGTTGGAAGGCGCATATCCTTGATTGCAGGCGCATTGTCCTGAATTGAAATTTACATCATAAGAAGAAACTAGCCTACCCAGCAAGCATTGACTATTTGAGCCGCACGGTAAATTGCTGCTACAGAATTCCCCAGGGTTTGCAGCTTGTACACAAGAAGGTGTAGCTAGTCCTTGTGTCATGGTATAGCCCGAGTTACAAGTGCAGATACCTGATAAATAATAAATTAGCAACCTAGCTTTTAATTACTATTTTGACAAGCTGAGTTCGACTGGCAGGTAGAGCTGTAATCGCATTGTTGCCCCGGATAGGCGTATCGGAGGCAAAAATTGTTTGAAGACATTTGGTAGCCGTTATTACATTGACATTGATCTGACAGGATCTTAGTTGTAAGCTTTTCTGTTTCATACCTCTGACACATTGCGAATTACTTGGACAGCTTTGGCAATTGCTCACACTAGCTTGAAGCACATTACTGCACTGGCCGTTGAGATTTACCTAAAAATCCGCATATATTCTGGCATCGTTTCATGTCAAGTTTACCTGGGTCGATTGACATCTACAAATATTATTCGTGCAGTATGAATTCCCGGTACAAGTGGTGATGCCGGTTTGACACATTTCCCCGGGAGAAGCATCACTGTCGATTGCGACGCACCTTTAAAATTGGCAAAATTGGGTTAAGCTCATATACTTACATTCCATTCCTAATTTGTTCACCACCCGGGCAAATACAGAAACTGTTGATGCAAATTGAATTTCCAAGACAACGGGTCGAACCGTCGACGCACGCAGCACCGGGGGATGCTAAGCGATAGGATTGTACTTCGATATCTTATGATTCTTACCGTACTGTACATTGGTCCCGGTATTGGAATTTGTCGTGCAGATTCCATTGATAAAGCTTTGCCCATACGGACATACACAAATCCCATTGCCACAGTAGGAGCCACCCGGGCAAATGGAAGGATTTTGGATGCAGCTGGTGGCTATGTTTTCTAAATTTTAATGTTATAGTAGTTAAGATCATATCCATTACGTCTGGCAATTTTCTTCTTTATGCATTGTCCATCAACATCGTTAAAACCAGTAGGGCACGAGCAGGTTCCTTCAATGCAGAGTGAACCGTTTAGACACAGCTCTCCATTCGAACAGCTTTGCCCTGATTTGGCTAAAAATGTTATGTCAATTGTGTCGCCTCGTTTACTACGTTTTTCAAAGCAAACCTACCAGTAACTTGGAAACAAAATGGCCCTTCCGGAACCATGGCCGCCGGACATTTACACACCTAATTCGGCATTTTCCTTTTTAAATCGGGATCTTACGTGATTAACACAAACAGCACCCCCATCACACACATCATTTTGCGAACAATGATCACCAGGTAGAGAGATCGAACTCGATACTAAACCTTGGTAGTTCAATACTTTCACTCCACTCTTACCTGCATTTTTATCGATGCAAACATTGCCGCTTTGAAAATGGCTTGGCGGACAGCGACAAAATGTATCGAGGCATAGCGACGGGTTGATACAGTCAACATCCCCTGAGCAGCTCTCCCCAGGCAGATGCTTTGTTATAAGCGGATCCTGGCGTTTCATCCGTTTTGTTGGCTGCTGGTTGTTAGCGGCATTTGCATGCACATGCGGTGAATCTTGATCTTGGGCATGCAATTGGAAGCGATTGTTAGCTAGCTCGTCTAAAGGTGCGAGGCATAAAGTGAGGTTTTAGCTTAGGCTTGGTTACCACTGATTGGAGGTCGGCATTTGTTGTCTTTAGTGAGGATGAGGCCTTCGTTGCACGCGCATATGCCATCTACACATGTTGAGTCTCCTCTGCATTGTTCACCATCAGCGCAGCTCATTCCAGGGTCGACTAAAAGAATTTTGATAGAAAAGAAATATCCTCAGCCTTTATAAACTTTTATTTTTAATTACCGAATACGATCGACAAACAGAAGCCGAATCGGCTGAGCGCCATCCCAGACGGGCAAACACAACGTCCGCGCACACATTCAGCTCCAGACGGACATTGGTTTGACGCGATACAACGACGTGCTACAAATTACAATAATGAATTACAACCATGCCACGCCCAGACCTTCAACAGGTGCTATGCACCTCTGTTCTATTAGAACCAAATCAGGACGGCATTGACATGTATTAAGAACACACGTTGAGCCGTTGGAACAGAAAACGTGCATATCGTCACACCATTGGCCAGGGTACACAACTAAATTAACATAGGATTGAAATCAGGAGGCGAGTGTACTTTTGATTTCGGGCTCAACTGAGGTGGATACAGATTTGGAAGTACTAGATGATAAGGTAGTAGGAGAGGTCGTAGTTGTAGTAGACGCAGGTCTAATCGTAGCTACTGTAACTACGGGGCTCATCGTTGTTGGAATAGTGGTTTGGGTCTGCGTCGTTGGTGTCGGTTTCACGGCGCTTTCCGGTCTCCCCTTTCCAAAAATATTCTCCAGAACACTGATGATCTTCTTTTCTTCTTCTATTGCCTTCAGCGCAGATTCCTTTGGGCTTTCTACATTTTCTTCCGTGGGGATTGAATTTGAAGTGATCGGTTTGTACGTCGCGGAAACGAGGGTAGAACCGTGCTTTTCTTTTTGAAGCTCACGAAGTTGGGCGACTAAAATACTGACGTTTAGCATGGAATTTAGATTAGACCTGTTTCAAAAGTTTCACAATAAGACTGATAGAGTGTAAATCCTTGTGGACAGAAACAGATTCCTTGCACGCATTTGCTGTTTCCGGTGCAAATTTCGCCATTTCGGCAAGAAGAAAGTGGCTTCACTAAAACAGAAATATCCGAAAACTTCGAGTAAAGCCGTACCCATTTTTTGATGTTTGCAGTTCCCGTCAATTTCGGTAAATCCGGAAGGGCATCTACAGAACCCGTGTAAACAGATTGATCCTCGCATGCAATTCGTGTCTTTAGTGCACGGCCAGCCAGGATAGGCCTTCGGAGGTACTGTTTGTATCGTCGCGTTACTATCGACTGGGAATGATGGTAAGGTTGTCGTTTCTAAAACCAGCTTTAATCAGGATTTGCCTAATTCTAAAACCTGGCGGAATTTCACGATTCTTTGGTGTGATTGAAGTGACGAATTGTGAGGTTGTGATCTCTATAGGCGCTGGTGTCGTAGTGGGCGGCCCTCTGAATTGTTAGTTGGAATACTTTTTCTATCAAATACCGTAATATGCACTGCGTTCCACCAAATATTCTGTAGCCCGGGATACAGATGCATTGGCCTTGTTCGCAGACTGAATTTGCGATAGCACATTGTGATGTGGAAGTGCAATCGCGATGGAGGAGTGCAGCTAAACAAAACTAATTAGATTACTGTTCGATATTCATACGTCTTGGTAGATCCGGAGCTGGCTCGCATTTTCTCTGCCTGTTCATAACCATTCCAGCCGGACAAGCGCAGATCCGGTATCGACAGACGCTTCCGCTACCATACTTTTTGCAATCTTCATAGAGTTTTTGTATAGATTTATATCACCCACCATCATTACTGTAACAGCGATAGCGGTGGAAAGTGGTTGGTCGTACTCCAGATGTAGTTTTTGTAAGCATTTCTTCCTCGGGTTCAGCGGTAGTAGTGGTAGGTACGATCTTTCGTGCAGGGCTGACTGAACAAAAAACAACTAAACCATGCAACACAAAAACATAAGAACATTCTGGTCAAACAGAAATTAATATAAGCAAAATGCGTTAATTTGAATCCTACTCTCAACGGAGATCGGGACGCATTTTCCTTGGCTTGCGAATTGGCGGTTGGGGCAGCGGCAAATTCTGTGTTTTCGATCGCAGGTTGACCCACCAGTGCAGACTTCATTTTTAGCGCACGAAGCCTCCGGGCCAACTAGAAAACGTGACTCTTTGTATCCATCATTTTAATATTTTGCTACCTCTAATAATATCTTGACACTTGTTTCCATAAATTCGCTGGTCAGATCCGCAGACACACATATCTCCAATGCATTGAGCCCCTCCTGAGCAGATGACGTTGCGACCGCATTCTTGGCCAGGGAGAGCTAAAACAATCCCATTTGCTCAATCTGGACGCAAAATAAACTGAAGCCCAGGGACCCGAAACGAAAATATTCATGCTACAATATCTCGATCTCGACGTTCAGCTTTTTTGAGCGCCCTAAACAGTCTCTTGCATATACAGTAGCGTGCAAAAAGAAGGCAACACCCAGGCGGCTCCTGTAACTCGGCTGCCTCGTTATATTTTGCGCCAAACGAAATGTTTCCTAGTGTTTTCGACGCTGTAAAATGCGATGAAGAGAATCCCAAGCCGCGAAAATGACGTTTAGTAGCTTAAATATCGAATTTAAAATAGCTCCAAAAAAACTACTTTTCTAAAGGTATTTTTCCGTTTCAAATACATCACCATCGTGTTCAGCATGATTGATTTACCCAAAGTCAATGTTTCTGGTTTCTTAGGACGTCTTCAGTCGGCTAGGAAGCTGCGCTTAATACCGCAATCAGTCTGAAGGGGACGACTGCACTACCTTTCCCCCAGACGAGCCCACTTCTTGACCCGTTTCGCGCAAGGAAAACGCGGCCGCCCGGCTGAGCCAAGTCAAATCTCATCACAAACGACTTTGGGTAAATCGACCATGCTGAACACGATGGTGATGTTCTTGAAACGGAAAAATGCCTTTAGAAAAAGCTAATTTAAATTTGATATTGAAGCTACTAGACGCCATTTTTGCGGCTTGGGACCCTGCCCATCGAATTCTACAGCAAAACGAAAACAAGAGAAAACATTTCGTTATGCGTATATATACGTTTCAAATATAACGAGACAGCCGGGTTGCAAGAGCCACCTGGGTGTTGCCTTCTTTTTGCACGCTACTGTAGGTCATCTTTCCTACCTTTTATTTTTCTTAAATAGCATGTTCTTACCGGTGGTTGCATCCACACATTTGTCATCAACGACAGTCTGGCCCGTCTGACAGACACAGACATTGTTCTGGCAGGTGGAAAACCCGGTGCAGATATCTTCCTTTGAGCAGGTGTATGTTGGTCTCACTATAAAAAATTATGAACATAAGGAGTTCAATCCTACCCATCCGCCTAGGCTCACAACGTTGGTGGCGGACAATTTGACCGACCGGGCACATACAAAAATTATCCTTGCAGGCGGAATTTGCGAGGCAATTGTCGCCAGGGCGGCAACTTTCTCCGGGTGCAACTAAGAAAAATAAAACATTAAAAAGAAAGCTTCTACAATACCATTCCTCGGCGTATCGCATCGATGTCCTCTCAAGACTAGAGGATGCATGCAAACACACTGTCCATCTCGGCAAGCCGATCGACCTACACAGTTTTCAGCTGCAGAACAACGAGTGCCAGGCAATGCTAAAGAATTTCCATTAGTTTGGAAGCTTTCCAAACCTTGCTTGACACGGGTACACTTTCCATTCAACGGTACCATATTCTCAGCGCATTGACAGGTACCCCGGACGCAATAAGACTGTCCACCGCATCTAAAGACTTGGTTACCGTAAGGCTCTTTTGAATTACCTAGCCGCTAGTGACATACAACTCTCCCCTGGGAAAACGAATGAAAAAGCTGTGCAAACCTAAAATAGATTTTTCAAATTCAATTAATTAAAATTTTACATCCTCAATCGAAGCCATCCCCCTTGGACATGTGCATTTCTTCGTGGTCTGGTCGCATTCAGAATTTCCGGTGCAGCGTTCACCATTTCCACACAGCGCTCCTGGCTTTGCTAGACGGGACATATTAGATAAAAAGACTTGTACTTACAATCAGGTCGGTAGATACATTGTTTATTGATGTTGACTCTACCATTAGTGCATTGGCACCGGCCATCGACACATTCTAAACAGCGAATTCATTTCTATTAAAAAAAGTTACCAGAGCCGCCAACACAGACTTCACCATTTCCGCAAGGATATCCAGGATGGGAGCGAAGCCGATTTTCACATCGGCCGCCTGAATTTGAATGATAAAGATCAAGCTTAATATAGGCCTCGTAGGCTCACCAATAATGATTTGCAGTGGATTCGTACACTCGCAGACCAAGCTTCGGTCATTACATTGCGACCCGCCAGTACACTCCTCTCCACGAGCACAAGATTCTCCAGGGTTGACTAAACCACAATGTAACTAGCGCAACGTTATTCCACCTGTACTATGCTCCACACATTGATTATGATGCGGAATCGTCCCGAGTGGACAGACGCAGAGCCCCGAGACGCACACCGAACCTCCAGCACATGTCACACCCACCCGAACACAGGCCGAACCGATATCCACTAGAGTTCAGGGGCAAATTGAAGAAAACAGATACTAAGGCGGATTTGACAGATCATGCAAAATAAAGACATGCAACACCCAGACACACTCGTACCACTCTTAGGGATGGTGGTGTTAGTAAGGGAGTTAGTGCTGATCTGGCGCATCATTTCCTTGTTGGCGATGGCAAGCGGCTCCTTTCGCCTCGGGATTTCGACGACGACCTTGTTGGTGAAAGGCTTGGGAACGGCCTGTGGTGATCTTGGTTTGTATTGATCTCGAAGTTTGGAGGTGATGATGCATTCGCCGGTCGGCGTTTGACCGATTTCGCAGACACATCTAAAAAGCATGAAATTTTAATATTCGTAATGTCTCTATGCTTGGCTATGGACGATCATTATATTAACAAACCTAAGACTAAGCGGATTTTTAACCCCTTACTTGTTTTCGAAGCACACTTTCCCTAGCGGGCAGTCAGTACTGATTTTACAATCTGATTGAGGAGGCTTGTGGCGTCTTGTGGCAATTTCTTGAAGGGATACGCATTTGTTTCCAATGGCGATAGCTCCTCCTGGAAACAGTCGAGTAAAACCTTCGTCAGTAGAATGAGTTACCAGGACATACACATTGATTTCTTGTTGTCTCACAAAAAGATCCACCAGGGCATTGACCGGTGCTGTTGCAGTTTCCAAGGGAATCTAAAGTATCGGATTCTCTCGTGATTTATTGTGTGTCTATATCTGAATGCATAATCGATTTAGGTCTGTTTGGAGGTATATAACTTACTAGATGTAGTAACACAATATCCTTGGAAATTGATAGTTCCGATCGGGCAGACGCAAATTCCTTGCTGACAGTTTGAACCACCAGTGCACACTTCCCCACTGAAACCAGTTTTTAATTGTATTCTTCCATAACTTTCCCTAGGGGTATTAGTATATTTTTGCTTACGCGGAACAGGTTTGACCCGGCTGAACAGAGGCGATGGCTGTGCAAACACCTTGTATCGCTCGACTTCCGGTAGGGCATGAACAAATCTAGGTGCGGCGGCTAAACAGCTACGTGTGAGTACTTACAGCTCCAATGCACAGACTGCCGCCGACGCAGGTTTCGTCGTTGGCACAGGAGGAGCCGACAGAAGCGGTGGGGGCGGCTCGGCATTCCCCGTTTTGGATGGTCATTCCGAATGGGCATTTGCACATTCCATCGATACAGACGGCTAATCCGTGGCCTGAAAACGATAAGAATAGGTACTAAATATCGTGATCTACATGTTGAAGCTGATCCGCATGGAGACCCAGGACTCGCCGCAGCAATCGGGATACATTGCGCATTCTGGATCGTCGTCCCAAAAGGACAAGTACAGGCCCCATTAATGCATGATGATTGTCCCAGACAGCGTTCCATCCCGGATGGGCAGGGTCCGCCAGGGTTTACTAGAAAGATATAAGCTGATACATTATCGCCTACCAGCCGGTGGAAGTGTGCAGATCTCATCGACGACAACTTGACTGGCCGGGCATTGGCAGACATTACTCACACACGACGAGCCACCACCACACGACACAGATGGGTTGCAGGGGGAATTCGGGGGGACTGGTAAGTTGTTGTTTTTGGTTAGAAGGGTCGAATGTTATCGTGCAAAAAGGTTGGAATCGATGATACCTGCAATTGGGGTGACACATTGTCCATTGAGGACGCTTTGGCCGAGTGGGCAAGAACAGTTTCCGGAGACGCAGAAGGAACCACCGGTGCATTGTTCCCCGTTTAAACAGGAGGCTAATGGCGGGGCTTGGACTGCAAAAAGAATATAACTTTTGCTTAATCTATCCTTACCCGGCATACAAGCGCCACCACTTGGCACCATAGCCAACGGACAGACGCAAACTCCATTCTGGCATGAAGCTCCGCCAGTACATTGAGCATTCACCAGGCAAGATTGGCCGGGGGTGGCTTGGTTCAAACATTCGCCTTGGAACTCGATTTGAGTTGGGGTACAACCTGAAAATAAAAGTAACCAACTTTTCCACGGGTATGTCATACCTGGCGAGCAAACACCCTTCGAGTTAACCCTATATCCTTGGGGGCACACTTCGGTACATTGATTTCCAGAGAACACCTAAAAGCTAGATAATTCCGAGTTTCGTTTTTCATTCTACCTGCCCATTTGAGCACGTGCATCGGTTCCGGTCACAAATCATTCCCGGGTGGATGGCGTGGCATTGAGAGGAATATAGACACTGATCGCCCGGTTGGACGGCTGTTGAAGCATGCAAATGTCAAGGGTTAACTTTTCTTACTTGGTAGGCATTGACCAGTAACTCCAGAATACGTCATTCCAGATGAGCAATTTCTGCCGCAAGTACCATCGATGGCAATCGGGAAATCGGGTGGGCAGGAGCAGGTCTAGAATTTGTGTATGCATTTACTAATTCATTACCTGTAAGAAGCAGGTTGCGTCGGGGTAGGCACCCTGGCACTGCAGATTGTGAGAGCATCCTTTGCCGCCAGGAGGAATTACTGTAAACAAATGAAAAATTATAATTTATTCCGTTTCGATACCTTCTTTGCAAGCGCCAAGCTCACTAATCCAGATAAAGCCTCGTTGTGGGCATTGACTGTCCACAAAAGTGCATCCGGGACCGGATTGTTGCATGCCGTAAACGCATTCGCATCTAAAATGGCGTTGGCTTCCATCTTGTCGCTATTCCATACTTTAGCTTCAAACAGAAAGCTCCTGGTTCGTTGGCCGAGCATTGCTGCGAGTACTGGCACGGCTCTCCGGGTTGTTGGCCTGAAATTTGCATAAATGATTGAAATTCAACCTTACTTGTCATACAAGCGCCAGCCTCAGCCACATAAATCTGACCCGAAGAACAAGTACTCGATGACATGGCTGAAAAACTATGATTCGGCCGAAGCGGTGATGTTTTGTTACCGATTCCTCCGGAAACACAGGTAGATCCGGCATTCAAGGCGCCGGAAATACATTTACATACGCCGTCGCAGTAAGACATCGGATAGCCAGCACAATCAGAGTCGACAGCGCACAACCCATCTGAAATTTCATGACAGAAATTAATAATCTAAAATACCAGGAGCCACTCCGTATTTGTTGTTGCTTGGTTGTTGTAGTCTTCGAAAGAAATTTCTTTGCCCCTCACTGTCCACATTTTGCTGCTGGGTTGGCCTTCTTCTCAAACTACGGTTTGGGGATCTTTGATAAGTGCTAAAATACGGTAGTAAGACTCCGACAAAACAGGCCTACCCGTAGTTCAACTGCCCAGGATAATTGTTCGTGCTCAACTGCGGATCAGCCATTATCATATTCGCCAGGGCATTTGCTAAAAGGAGCCATAGTTGCGGAGACATTTTTGAAGTGATTGTGAGTGTGACTCATGGCAACCCATTACAACCGTTGAACCCCACGACCGTCATGTGTCCCAAAGGTGGGGCGACAAAAAGGGGCGGCCGGGGAGGCCCAGATGATTGAGTGGTAACAATGGAATTTGGACACAAAGTCTGCGTTTGGGGAATTAAAGGGGTTGTGAAGGCTTACGTGTTAGACAAGTTTGTTGTTGTGCGATCATTCCGTCCGGGCATTGGCAGGATTTCATTTTGTCGCACAGGGCTCCGGGGAATCCTTTGTTGCATTGTCGACTGTCATCGCAACCCGATTGGCCAGGGTAAACGGCTGAAAAGCTATCATGAGTTTATGCTCCTAGATTACTGCCAATTTCCGAGAAATCCCTCTACCCTACAGCCGTACTTGGAAGTCCTCATAAATTCAGACAAGCTGTTTGCACACTTCCTCAGTTCCCTCCCGATCCCTGAAGGTACCGGGTGCCACGTGCCAGGAGTAGCAACACTCATCACCGCTCCTCCCTTCCGATCCCTAGAGCCTCATCTCTGTTGGTCCTGGCCCTTGTGGCGGGGCCCTTTTAGGGGAAGGAAGGAACCTGAAGGCCCAACACACTGCACGGCTGAGTATCGGCCACAACAGATAAACACCAGAACGTTGGGTCTTCCCCTAGTGGGTTGATGCTAATTCGGGAGATCAACGTTGGGGGGGGGGGGGGTGGGATTTAAGGAGAAACGGAAAACAAGAATCTAGTAATATATCTTGATGTTTGCATTAAAAAACTATAACGTTGCGTATAACTTACTTGGCTTGCATTGAGTCCCAACATCGACATGTGTTGACAAACACATACAAATTCCGAACGACGAACAAAATTCGCCCTTCCCTCGACATTCCGCTCCACTTCGGCAATTCTGGCCAACCGTTGACCCTAAGGAAATAGCTGTGATTAGTTTTTATTTAGTTTCTCCTATAATTTTTGGATATAGCGTTTAGTCTCCCCCTATACAAATTCGAATTTTAACCATGCATTCTGTCAAAACGCCCTCCGGGAACCGAGCCTCCGGTCATCCGGGTCAAGCTGTATAAACATGACGGCCGGCCCGGAAGGCAGAACCAGACAATGACCTCCCCCCCGTTTCGAAATTCGACAACAAAAGAACTATGTACAAAAAACATGCCATAAAACTCACCTTCCTCATTTGGGATGCAGGTGCCATTGGCGGCATGGTATCTGTGGAATTGTTTGCACAGGCAAACGCCTTCGATACATTCTAAATTTGAATATGTAGTAGTACACAGATTCCCACAATTAATTAAAAAATGTAGTTACCCTAACTCACCTGAATTCGCGACAGTACACGACGTATGATCCGGATCCGGTATACAGGGTTGTCCAACCGTTCCTAGTGGTCCGCTACTTTTCACACCTATTTTGACGAGTCCGTTTATTTGTAAGGGAGGTTCAATTACCTAATATATACACATAAATCGTAGCTACAAATAAATTAGATCGAGGCAGCATAGCTGCTACTATCCTTCGTTTCCCCACGATGGGAAAAGGTCGAGTTCGTTCTAAAAAATCAAATCAAAATTATAGATAATTCATAGTACTACATAAAATATACACAACAAAAATGGTACTGTTATATAATAGGGTTTAAATTATTACAATCTGCAAAGTTTGGTTAGTGAACGCAGAGCAAGAGAGAGCGAGAAAATGATGCTTTAGCACTTCAGAAGCATAAACCGCCAAATTTATAAGGGCAAACGTCAAAATCTGGTATCAAATTATGGCATAAAGAGCTTCACGCCTTTTTTCAACGATTTGGAACAAAATCGACACCCAAACAGGTTTAGTATCAATTCCAAGCGGAATGATGAGAGGTAGAATAGACCCCCCGCGGGGCTTAACGATGAGCCTGGGTCCCTAAAGGGACAGTCGGAAGGGGAGGAGGGACTGTTGTGCGGCTGGAAAGAGGAATGGAACGGACTGTGATGAGGGTCGAGGCTGGCTGGCTGGCTGCGGGCCCTCCCTCTCATAAGCCTCCTTATTTGGACACCTAGCACAACACACCACGATGATGCGCCAACGGACGCACAGTCAGGGGGAAATGAAACTCGTTCCTTGTATTATTGCGGGACAAGTGGCGCAAAAAAAATCGGTATTATGCAATGTATACACATGTACTCACAAGCCCTGTAAACATTTTATTCAAAAACAAATTCTCTATCCGGAACGATTCTTTCTAGCGACCGCCCTTCCACAAAATTCACGGATCCGTTCGCAAGCGTCCAAAATCGCAGCTTCAGGCAGAAGCAGCAAAGCCCGGAAGTGGCCATCGAGTCCCAGCAGACTCCCTGGCATCACGGTCACTGTAATTTTGAGCTACCTTTAAAAATAGATATGCCTTACCAGCTTCCGCTTCCAACAATTTGCACATAAATTCGATATCCGCTCCAAAAACCGCCTGATCAAGCTTGGCGCAATAATAAATCGCACCACTCGGATGAATAGGCTTAATTCCCGGTATATTCTAAAATTATAGTTGGCATCTAAATATTTTCTTTTCTCAATTACCTTCAAATTTTCGGTAAATAATTCCGCATTTCGCTTGAGGGTTGCGCGCAAATCCGTAAAGTAATGCTTAGGTGTATTTTTTAGAATGTCAGGGATTGCTGCCTAAATTTTTTATGTATTTTATAGGAATATCTCTTACTTGCACGACAGAGCATGGCCCAATCGTTTTGAGCGTTAATTGTCGCATGCCAAACCAAGCCTCGGCAAGGCAGTTCTTATAATCATCAAGAATTAACCAGCCACACCTCCATCCAGGTACCAGATAGGCCTTGGATAGGGCATCCACAGTAATGATAGGAACCTGAACGTATTCTCACAATTAAAAAAATAGTTTTTACCTTTGGTTCCAACTCGGCCAAAGGATAGAACTCGGCTCCAAAAGTCAATTTGCCGTAGATTTCGTCACTTACGATTGGTAGCCGGTGTTTACGAGCGATTCTGAGCAGCTAAAAATTACTTTTATAACCTCTGAATAAATAAAGTTACGTCTTCCAAATGCTCCTTAGGATACACGGTCCCTAGTGGATTATGCGGATTGGTCACAAAAATCGCTTTCGTCTTCGGATTTATCTGCTTTTCCAGATCCACCAGGTCAATTAGTCCGTCTTCAACGTTGAGCTTGTAAGATTGGAACTAAAAAAATCAGAATCTATATTATAGTCATTTAAACTTACCTTGACTTCATAGGCCAATGCATAGGTCTCATACACTTTATAGCAAGCCTTCGGGAATAAAACATTCTCTCCAGGTTCAGCAAGGCCCTAAATTATGGGTTGGTGGTGATTTCAGAAAAAAAAATTAGCGTACCTGGATTATAAGTTCTAGCCCGTGTCCACCGCCAATGGTCATGATCACATTTTCGGCGGTCAATTTCCGCGTGGGAGAGGAATAATGCTCTGCGATGGCTTCCCGGGCTGGGATGCCACCACTCCAGAGGAGATATCCATCGTTTTCTTGGGTTTGCTAGAGGTATCGGAACTTTAAAAGCGTATAGGAGGTACTTACCACAGCCCGTATAAGGGCTTCCGCCGCATAGCGACAACGTGGGGTTCCGGGGTTGGCTGTAGGGTCCCCGGCGCCCATCAAGATTCGGCTTTTGGTGGGGTTTGGGGTGATTGCCTATATTTAATCTGGACATAGGGCATCTAAGCAATGACTACATTTCGCATCTGCTCAAATTTACTCCAGGGTTGGTAAAGAAGATCGGCAGCATGACTGGATTTATAGGTTGGCCAGCTAGGTGTTGTTTTATTAAGAAAAAAAGGCACGACAAGCCTACCTTTCAGTCGAATCCGTCGAGTTTGCTGACATTTTTGAGAATCTTCGCTTGTGAAATAAAGTATCTATCCAACCACTGGCTTTGATAAGCTTTTTGCCCCCTTCTCGGGATACCCTGGGAACCCATGGCTTCTCAGCGAAATCTGTCAATGAATCTCCCCCATCACCTGATACTCAGCGAACGACCGCGACCTCGACATTTTCATCAATTTTCATCATTGACAGCGCAGCCATGCGTACTTGCACATAAAACAAAACATTTATCCAAACATTAAAAAGATAAGGCAACAATCATATGCATATTTGAGAAGACTAGTCAAGCCCGGAGATCTATGGGAAATGCTTTGGAAGGGGGGATTATGGCGCTATAAATGGTCATTCAATACTAAAAGACACCGCATATTGGTTTGAGCCTTTGATATCAACAATATGGAATCATTATGGCAAAAAATAACGGTAATACATAACGAATCATTGAGTTCCATTCATCACTTGTTCCAGGGATACTTTTTTAGCTTTCGTCTCCTTGGCTTCAGCGGATTTCTTTTTCGTTTTCTTTGGTGATGCTGGCTTTCCAATCTCCTAGTAAAAGGGCAGGATTTAGAAGTGGTATTTGGGTTTTACTTTTTTCGGTGGTTTGAGCACTTGAACGGGGATGGCATCGCCTGCTTCATTTCTGCCCATATCATCGCTTTCGCGGCGGGACTCGGGCCCACGGCTCGACCTTGATAGGGAGCGTCGAACCCGTTCCACCAATTTTGAGCCCATGTTCTAAAAATGCTCTAGGTATAGGAATTTAATAAGAGTGTACCTTAAATGGGTTTCGTCCGCCTCTTGGCAAGGTTCCATAAGGGCTATGTTGATGATCTTCGATTTGGCTGAGGCTTTGGTTGTGCTTCAGGGGAGCTGGTTGTTTAGAGGACGACTGTAAAATATATCATAATTTTTATTATTAGTAGAATCAATATTGTTATTTTATTCGCATATTTTAAAACCCCCACCGGTTTCCCATTAGGGCCATTTGTGGTCTCAACTGAACGAGATTTTCTGATGCCAAAGAACCCCTTCTTGGTCTCAGCTCCTGGTGGTTGCTTCATATCGATAGAATCGAATGCCTAGATATTGATTATATTTTTTTTAATTCAGCCCCCACCCTAGCCATCAATCTCACTGAAGGTTGACCACCACGGGCCAGTTCTTCACGTCGCACTTGGTAGAGGATGTTCGTACCTAAAATATTATATTTAATAAGATCAAACCATGGACGGAAATCTACATAGATAGGTACGGTACAGTTGCTAGTCAACGGCAAAAACGGCGTTAACCCCAGAAAAAACCACAAGCTATTTACCGGGTTTCGACGATTCCGCGGACTCTGAAAATCAAGCCTGATACTAACTAAATGACAGTAGAGAAGGTTCTTTGGGTGAGAGGCCTTTCGGAGGAGGGAAAGCTACTACGTACCAGTGCTCGTTTTGCGTTCTGAGTCTGGGATGTCATCGTCGAGTTGTTCGGCTCGATCGAAAGAGGTTGATCTTGGGAATGCCTTTGGGACATAGTGGATCCGACCGTCTTTATCATATTCCACACCGATGTTCTTGTCTGTAGAGGGAGAGATTGCAAAATTACCTTGAGTGACAAAGTGGGGTTAGTGGAAATAAGTCGGAAAATGAAAAAATTGTTAGAAAGCATTAATATTTTGCGAAGAGTTTTGATTGATTACAATAACGACGTTTTCCAAAAAACTGTATAGGTACGGACATCGCTACCTAATCATGCCAGCTAACTAATTGAAAACTGATTTTACAACCACCCATGCCGCCTAAATCTCTTCCCTCAATACCTTTAGACGATTCAGCAAGTGTAGAACGTCCCCCAGGTGAGAGATGGGTGCTGATCTCGGCCGGTGTGACGTCTAAAGAAGAATAGGGTGCCTGGTTGGCATGCATGAAACGAAAATAGAAAGAGACAACAGAATTACAGAATAGCGAGTTGCAGAGAGGTATTCATAACGTCTGTAATTAGAGTTAGCTTACTTAGGATGAAGTTTGGTGGCGGGTCAGGATAGTTTCCATGGCGCTTTTGAGGGGATCTGGAGTGGTTATCGACGAGCCGATCGAACGCCGAGTTCATGGCCGTGTTCTCGACACTAAATTTCGGCATTAAATCAGTATTCCGTACAGTTAGAAAATTTTATTTGATAGTAACACTCCAAAACTAACTTGAAAATAAAAATTAAAAGCCAGGCTGATGCTTTTTGGGCTCTCAGTTTAGTACATTTTTACTACTACTACTAGCACTATATGTTAAGCTACCATGCACGTGCTAGAGATAGATGGGGTAGGGTATAAGAAGTAAGCAATTATGAAACGAAAACCTGAAGGATCGCTTTGGGAACACGTTTACGCCACCACCAGACAACGATGAACTGCCGCCAGTTGACCATCTAGGTGTTAGGTGAGTGTCGAATAGAAAATAGAATCGAGCCGGGGAAGGGGAAGAATGTGGACATGCCAATAGCAAAATCAAATTTAAAATTCCACCCTAAATTAATCCAACTGACTTCACGGTGCCCCTGACTGGTATGCTGGTGGCAGAACGGATGGAGAAGCTGCTTTGGGAGACGTTATCGTATTCCGGACCGGCCTCACTAAAAAAATGATAAGAATGATGGGCTAGTCACTTTGCATATCAAAATAAAGACACTAATAATTTTTATCTGTAGATTCTTAAAGCTAGCATACCTTATTGAAGCCTCTCCACCACGATAACCAGAAATTGAAGGCTGCGTTGATGGGCATCTATCGTCACTATGCGTTTTTGACATTCAAGACCTGTATTTAATAACCAACCCATTAAAACAATTTTGACTGTCTTCATCCCGAATCGCTACCATTTGCGAGATAATATATTTGATTGAATCCGGGTGGTCGAGCTCGAGTCTACCAGCGCGACGAAGCGGGTCTGTGACGTATTGAAGCTAGAAGAATATCGATTAGCACAAACTTGAGCTTGTGAATGACCTGATCAATAATAGAAGAAAGCCTGTATTTTCTGGTCAACTTCTGAAGCTCCGACAAATGAACGGCTTGCTGCAAGCGTTCGGCTTCGGCTTCTAGCATCTCTCGCTGTGTGGTCTGGTTATCCTTGTTTTGCTGCAGGTTTCGCTGCTCGATTTCAAGGACTCGGATGGTTTCTTTCAACTGAAATAATGGTCAGGATGGTTTCAATGAGTCTTACGTCCTTGATGACCCTGCTCATCTCGCCCTGCCGGCCGTTTGATTCTTTGGTAAGTTCTCGAATCCTCTCATTCAACCTCTCCACCTCCTTGGAATAGAATCTGGAATAAAAATGGCATTTGCATACCATTTTTCACTCACTGTTCATATTCTTGGTATTGGATATGGACCCTCTCGGCATTCTTCTGCTCTTGCTGGCTAATCTTCTCATTCTTGCCCTAAAAAGAACATTTATAGCGATAGATTTTAACCAACCTTCGATCTCTCAATATTCCAAAGAATTTGATCAGCTTTTCTTGCTTCTTTCGTCAATCTGAGATCCGTATTGACCCTCTCGAGCTCGGCCTCCACGTCAGCCAGGCGCTTTTGCTAAACTCATCTTCTTTAATAGGAACCAGGATCGCCTTACAATCTCCTTATTTCTGTTCTTGGCGTCATTAAATTCTTTGTCGATCCTCTCGGTGAGCTTCTTCTCTTCGAGCAACTTCCTCTCAAAGCTGTTCATCGATTCTTTGTGGCCATCACGTTCTCGTCGAGCCAAAACCAACTAAATTCCCGAAATTGGTTTTCATATCAAATTTTTTACCTGGGTATGTAAGGATTTGTTGGTGTCTTCCATGATTCTCATACGGCTAGAGAACTTTTGTTGCAGAGCGTCCATTTCGACGGTGCGGATCTAAAAAAAGCTGTACCCTAATTTTTCAAGTATTATCATACCTTTTCCGTCTGCCTAGCCTTATGCTGGAATGTTTCCTTATCCCTATTCCAGCCTGTCTTGGTCTTTTCCAGCTCGTTCTTCAAATCAACGTTTGCCATTTTTAGATCTTCAATAAGAGCAGACTGGTCGGCGATCTAAAAATTGGATAGAAGATGCGTTGATTAGCCCACCTTCTTTTCGAGCAGAGCGATTTCCTTTCGAAGATCGATCAAGTGGATCTTATCGCTTTCGCGCCTGGCAAGTTTTGCCGCGTCGGAATCTTCCTAAAATTTGTGCGTTCCGAAAATACTGATTACAATACCTTTCCACTTGATCCAGCTGATTTCGGTTCCTCATGAATGCTACCCTCTCCATTTCGAACGGCCTACAAAAAGTTACATCTACAAATTGTGCGAATTCACCTGCAATTGCTTTTTCAGCAACACGTGTTCTCGCTCCAGGGCAGCCTTTTCGTTTCTCCAACCTTGCTCCTTCTTTTTCAAGTCTTCCGTGATTTTTTCTAAAATGCTGGATACATTTGGAAATTTAAAACTTACTCAATTCAAACTCTGCGTCCTCCCCAATCTTCTTCAGGGCCACAATCTCATTTTTCGCCCTCTGACGCTCGGTATTCATTTTCTCCCTCTCTAACTCGAAGATGGACTCCAGTTTGTTGTGCTTGATCTCGTACTCTTTCACCGACTTCTTTTCAGTTTCGTGGCCCTAAAAATAATCTGATATCAAATTTTTTATGTATGCCTGAAGCTCCTTCTTTCTGTCCTCCAAATCTCGCTGCATTTTCTTCACTTTCTCGCCGAGTTCTTCCATTGCTTTGTTCTTTTCGATGAGGGTCGATGATTTGACATCAAGAAGTTGAGTTTGTTCATCTACTGTTCGTTTTGCATCCGCGAGGCGGACATTCAGGGATTTAATCTAAAGCTGATTCAGAAATTCCTGTACTGGATTCACCTCATTTTCAAAGATTTGGCGCTGCTTTTCGATTTCAATCGTCCATCTATCTTCCGTCTGGAGCACTTGTTCCGTCAAATCCTTGTTTTTCTTTTTGTAGAAGTTTATCTCCTCTTGCTGCTCCTCGACGTATTTCTCATTCTCCTTGCATCGGCCACACTCGGCTTTCGGTGTTGACGAAGCTTCCCGGGCTGGGGATCGTCGAAGATAGTTCGGATTCGAAAGCTAGATGGCAATTAAAGATAGGAATCCCACTTTCTACCTTGCTGTTATCCAATAATTTATGTACACTCTTCAGCTCGCCCATCAAATTGGCCAGCTCGGCAATAATAGTAGCAGAAGAATCCTTGGAAAGTGAGCGCCTTCTCTCATCCTAAATTCGCTATGCAAATTTTGTTATTAGGTGTATTACCTTTTGCGCATTTTCAAGCTTTTCGATTTGCTTGCAAATTCTGGAAGTTTGAGCCTCAACCGATGCCAAAACTTCGCAACATTGTTCTATCTAGAATTATTGATTTTAATATAAATTATCAATTTTGGAGCTACCTCATCAATAGTGGGCGCTTTGTTTTGTAGCGTTTCAATGGTTTGTTTGGCCACTAATTCGCTGATTTGATTTTCAAGGGAATCCACACGTTTCTTCATCTCTTCCTGTAAAGATTTGTTTAAATTTTATTAGATTTTAATACTCACCGAATACTTATCCCCAGCTCGTACGCATTTCTGATGCATTACATTGCAGCGCTCGTTAGCCATAGTAAGACGATTATTGAGAAGTTCAACTCTAGTGGCCATAGCAATTAATCGTTGATCGTCACTCTTGAGCAATATTTGCTTGAGCTCCATCACTTCAGCCTCCAATTTTTTGCTTTTATCTTTTTCATCCCGTAATTCAGCTTGTGTTGGTTGAGGTATGGAGGGGCTAGACGTCAATTTCGATCCCTCTTCTTTCTTCAACTGCATATTGAGCTCGAGGTTTTTCCTCTCTAGGTCCCCAATCGTCGCCAGCATATTGGACATGTCTCTCTCGATTTCTGGGGTGATGGCCGTTTGGAATTGGGCGAGCTGAAAAATACATGAATTTGGATTCCATGCAAATTTTCTTACCTCCGAGCTGCCAGAGGGGACTTCTAGCCCTTGAGTGCGCTTTGCATAGCCGAGCTCCAACTCGACAATTCTAAAAAAGTGTACGTTAACTCCAGACAGCCTTCCATGCCAAAAAAACTGAAGGGCCAGCTATTCACACAAAAGATCCGCTTTTCAATCCCCAGCCAAAAAAAATAGTAACTTTACAACGAAAGGGATACTATTCAGCCAAGCTTACAAGTCGCTGGCCAGCTTTGGCGCCTTGGTGTTGCTGCTATAAAAAGGATCGATTAAATGATTACTTTTTCGTGAGCATGTCGTTGGTACGCTCTAGTCTCTCGACTTTCGAGGTCAGGGATTGGACCTCGTGCTCCGCCAGCTCGAGCTGGATCTGGGCGTTGCCCTCGCTGGAATGGGGTAACGGATGTACGATGAATCGACAGGGGTTTGGGTTTTTGTGGGCTTACAGAAATGGTAGGAAGACATTTAGTGGTAGATTTAGGGTTGTGATATATATTTGCATGCGATGGAAATATATTTGAGTGGCTAAAATATATTCAACATTTAGCATGCATCGTGAAGAGCGATCTCAGAGTGTAGTTATTGCTTTTGTGGTATTTTGGCAATATCGGGGGGGGTGAGGGGACCAAATTTTCTTATAAGTCTATGGATATGGCTATGTTAAATTCCATGTGTTTTTCAAAAAAAACTTAGCTGTTTTTAAAGTGAAAAACCTGTTAAAAGAAAGGGAAAATTCCTAAAAACTAGAATTTAGGCTTATTTCACTTACCACGGTATGGACTATGGACAGGTATGGACTTACCACCATTAGGGGCAGGGCCGTAACAAACCCAAATTTCGGGGGCGACCCCAAAAATTTTTCACTAATATGACCAAAACTACAGCGCCGCAGGCAAAATTTTTGAAAACATAGGGTTTATAACACTAAAACTAGTGTTAAAAATAGACAAAAACAGCGCCGCAGGCAAAAAATTTTTTCGAAAAATTAAATCATAAGGGTCCCCCTTATGAACTTTCGGCCTTCGGCCGATTTCGGGGGGGGGGCGGCTCGCCCCCCTCGCCCCCCTCTTACGGGCCTGATTAGGGGTATGTACTATACCTCATTAGATGCGTAATGGCCTTGGTATGACAGCACTCCCATCAGATTTTCCAAAATTAGCTGTTTTCAACATTAAAATTAAGTTTTAGTTGAAAAATCGAGAACCCTCCTTGTTAGGAAAATATGGCATACGCCGGAAATTGCGGTAGCCTATATAATGGCAGAGCGGGACCATCTTTCAGTTTGGTCATCGAAAATCGCGAGAATATGCAAAGTGGAAAGAATATCATTGGATCAGACGGGGCCCGGGGTTGAAAAGACGCGAAGCGGCTTTTCAACCCTGGTTTTTTGTTAATTGCAAGGGTTAAGACTGTTAACTTGACTTAAGAGGTGTGCCAAAAGATACACAGGAAAAGAAAACAGGTAGTGTGTATTAACAGAAAGCCGGAAAGCGTCGAAGCATTTTGTAGAAGCGCGCGAGCAGCAAACTCCAGAATTTAGGACAGGCCACCAGAGACAGAGGGGACGAACTTGACACAGCACACGCGCCCAACAGGACGACGAAGCCGACGACGCTTCCTGAGCCTCTGACCTGGCCGAGCGGACCATCGGCGGTCGCTTCGAGCTCATTTTCTGCAGCTTCTTTAGCAGGCCTTCATTCTCGTTTTCGACGTCCTATTCAAGTGAGGGTATTCGTATTTGGGGGATCAAACCTGTAGCCGAAGTTGGGTGCGTTTTAGGTCTTCTTCCGTAAACTTCAATTGCTCTCGGAGATCAATTTCACGCTCCAGCGCATCCCGCAATTCCTAGAAATCAATTATCCTCTGTTTGCATCTTTGACACACCTTATTTGTATCACCAGTATGTCCCGGCGGTAAGGTCGGAGCTGCAGCTGCCAACTCAGCCGATAGCCGTTTCTAAAGCTCATTTACCACCCGAATCCATCAGCCCACCACGGCGTTATCTGCTCGATTCCGGTTCTCACGCCACTTGTTCTGCGTCTGAAGCTCGCGGACCTAACAAGACCAGAAATAGGACAACCAAAAACAGGATACCTTTTCCTTCATATAGAACACTTCATCCTCCAGTTTATAGCGTTTATCTTCGCTTTGTTCAAGCTCGGTATGCAGCCGGACCGAGACTTCCTTAGCGATTCGGAGGTCAGATTCGAGCTCGCGGATCCTTGCATTTTCGCTGGGCGTTTTCCCGTAATCCCCTTCGGTCGAATATGCCTAAATTTTTGTTCCAGAGACGATTTAAAATATATCACCTTCAATTTCGACTCAAATTGCCCCCTTTCAGTTTCGGCGACATCCTTTTGACGCTCGCTCTTCCGGAGTTTAAATTGAAGGACACGACAATTTTTAGCATTTTGCTCGAGTTCCCTCTGGAGCTCACGGAATTCTTCAATCTCTTCTTCCCGATATTGGTCCTAAACAAAAATTCCAGGATTTTAGAGGGAACGCACCTGCATCTCTTCAATTTCATTTTGCAAATCCCGAACTTCCGCTTTTAGCTGCTCGTTTTCTTCCATTAACTCGTCGCAGAGGCCTTCCGTTGTTTTAATCTTTTCCGAAAGTTTTGAATCGACATTTGGGCCGGATTCCTTTATAAACTATAGTTTTGGACGAATTCCTTTGCTACCTGTAGTTCCCGCAATTCACATTTTAGAACGGTATTCTCATCTCTGTAGTCTTGAATACAAGCTTCTGCTTCATTTAAGCGTTCTTCCAGCATTTGGACTAACGTTTGGTCATTCTCAGCGCCAACCTAATCATATCCATAATAAAATTTATTTGAAATATTGAATTACCTTAGCATTTTGCCTTAACGTCCACCTCTCACGTTCGTCCTTTAATTTCTTGTTCTCCTCCTTCAACCTTGCCATTTCTTCTTTCGTGGTTAAGGATAATGAATTCTAAATGTGAAAATTATTTTAATGCGGCAATTAAATTACCATATCCTCCGTCGGAGTTGGGCACCGATTATCTTCATCAGCGGAGCCGCTGACAGCCGTTACCATGCTTCTCGTATCCCCATTGCTTACACTATCCAATGATTTGGCCGAGGACATTCCCTGAAATGAGGATGGTCGATGTGAAAGTTATTTGTTGGTCATCTTAATGGCCATAGCGCTCACCTTTGAAGTGGCCGACATATAGGAAGATACCGATAGTATTTCTGAAGGGTCATCGGTGACGGTGGAGGCTAAATATATAATTGTTTTATGCTGGTTTTTTCGATACCCCTCATTCTTAATTACCCACGTATTTCATCCCTGACCTTTTGTGATATTTTAATTTGCATCCTTAGTACGAATTACCCCCGGGCTTTGACGCCTCAAAGCTCAAATAAGCTAAATAATGCGAGTCTGGAAAGTCGCAGAAAAGCTGCATGTGCCAACTTGCATCATCTTAAAAATAATAAAATAAGGTATAACACGTAATTCTCGTAACAGTTTGGTAAATCTGCAGTAATTTACAACCTCCAATATCCCTTACTAACTAATTTCCGGACCATAGAAATCTTCCCACTTGCGGTTGCGCTAGAACCCGGGTTTTTTTTTAATGCAAAGTTAGCCCATCGAATGAAACCAACTATTTTTTATCTAGTAGGATAATGTATCAAATACTCGAATTACGCACAAAAGCTTCTGGCCGTAGCCGATGGATCATCTGGGAGCGCATTCCCATCTTCCAGCTCCACCGCCGGTCCGCACCAAACCTTGAGGTTGACTAGCGAAAGCGATGAAAACATCTTCCCTCCATCCGGCCACCCCCACCACGAAAAGCTGTGAAAATGGCACATTAAAAGCCGCAGGGAGGAGGGGACGTGAATCGGAAAAAGAGTGGCCGAGTTTTTGGGCGGCCAGGGAAATTTAGAATTCATGTTGTCAAGCGATGAAAGATGAAAAGGGTGAGGGTGGTGGGGGAGCAGTATTTAGGCGACTCCAAGTTTAGGTATTGGAGAATAGAAAATTGCTATTGGCGGCCCAATTTGTAGTAACTTTAAAAATACTTTAAAATGGACTCCTTATCCAAAATTATTATAGAAATAATAATAATATATTGTTTGGGTTAAAAAGCTCTTTGTTCGGGAATTTTGGGTACTATCAGGTTGGAAGGTAAGTCCTGTCGCCGAGATTTTGGAAGGCTGGCTAAATTCGTAGATAGCTCCATTCTGCACATGCGATATGTCATTTTGTACAGGGTGTCCAAAAAAATTGTTCCGGACTTTGGGCTCGAATAACTTTTGATAGAAAAATATTTCACCGTGCGTTACCATGCCAGAATGCTTAAAAGTGTCTGGAACTCCGATTTAGATCAACTTGATTTTTTCGATTTTTGGCGACGTATCAATACAAATGACACCCGAAAACTGTGCGTTCGGGGAAGTTTAATTTGTATTTTTCTCAGCCGCCTGTGGTGGGGAGTTTCTAATTTTTGCTGCGTAAATTCTTGTAGGCATTAGATAGATACATGCAAAATTTAGGATTTTTCTAAGCTCTGGTTGAAAAGTTATAGCCGACTGAAGTTTAGTATGGAGAAATTTCGTAAATTTCGAGTATTAAAAAAACCTATGGCGAAAATCCCAAACTAAGTCGTTGTGGATTGCCGACAGACGCTATACTATCACATAAAAATATTAAAGAATTTTTTGAGATCGGTGATTTTTCGAGTTTTTCAACGACATGGATTTTTTCGAAGTGACAAAACTGAACTTTGAAAAAATATTTCTAAAGTTCCGAACAGAACCTAGGTGCTTTCTTTACTTGGTTGTGTAGGACTAGGGTCCATCTATCATGCAGACAATTACTAGCTACCGTACCCCTTTGGAAGATTGCCTTTTAGCGCCGCCAAAACGGTTGGTTCGTGCTATTTCGCAGATCTTTGCGCCAGTCGATAAAATTCAATTGCGCGGCTAGAATTCTTGTCAAAATTTTATTTTATTCTACTTAATGGGCGCCTTCTAAGATTCTATTTACAAATTTATTGGGCCATCCGATCTTTCAAAAGAAATTCATGAAAAGCCCAAATATACCCGAATTTGAGGCGACGTAAAAAAATTCTCGAGGCTTGAGTAGCCCCGACTTTTCTGGCATAGACCAAGCTTGAATAATCAAATAGAACCCATGCAAATACAAAACCTTTTCATGGCAAACGAATTTAGAAGAGCGCCTCAAAGTCGGCTTTTCAAAAACGTTAATTTCGGGTTTTAAACAAAAATTAACCATTAACTTCAGTCAGATCATTCCAGAATTCCGTTCTCATGCACTGTTGGATGCGTGCTTTAATTGTATCCACCAAACCTCGGTGCTTTTTTCATTTTCAAAAATTCGATGTTTGGCCCGGGCCCCCGGGTCCAAAATCGGGCCCCGATGATGGTTTTCCTCTTTCCTTTATAACTTTGTCATTTACCACAGAAACTAAGCCATTTTTCGCCTGCTTCCTTATAATTACTCAGAGAACATTCTAGAATAGAAAAATCTGCATTTTATGGCATTTTTTTCTTGGCATGCTAAAACGCGCTCCAGGCGGGTTACGGTAGAAAACAGAAAATCGCCGTTTTCTCGTTCTTTTCACCATAAAAACGTTTTGATCTTTCGGGAAAACAAATAATAGTAGTTTTTGGTCCCATGCATCAAAATATTTAGAAATTTCCGTGGCTAAATTCAAAAATAAGTTTTTTGCATATTTTGGGAAGGTGTGTGGCTAGAACTTCGCGAACTTTGGCCCATAGGTGACCCTTACTGGTGTTTACCAATGATAAAATTTTAAGCGAAATCGCAGCTTACGATAAAAAGAAAAACGCCAAAAACAAAAAACTACAGTATCCCTCTGGGGCACGTTTTAGCAAGCAATATTAAAATACCGTAGAATCAGCTAAAATTTGGTGTTGTGCTAAAGATTATCATTTGGAGACACCATCTGCAAAAGATCAGCCATGGGCAGCGTATTTGAAGCGAGTTGCGAATTAAAAGGCAAAAAGTTGCAAAATAGTGAAATTTGTTTTGCTTGTAAAAAACGAACTAGAGCTTCAAAAATTCTAAGATTTGGGGATTAACTTTCTATAAATATCGGCTATTTTTAGGCCAAAATTCAGAATTTTCCCACCGCCCGTTCAAGAACGCACAATTTTCGGTCGTAACCAGCGTCAATAGTACAGTTGTGTACTCCAAAATCGAAAAAATCAAGTTGATCTAAATCGGAGTTCCAGACACTTTTAAGCATTCTGGCATGGTAACGCACGGTGAAATATTCTTCTATCAAAAGTTATTCGAGCCCAAAGTCCGGAACAATTTTTTTGGACACCCTGTAGCTCTCGGCCTGAATGGTTCCGGGAGGAAGGTCGGGAGGAGGGCAGAGATAACTTGCAAAAACACCTTCGAGTAATTTTTGAAAATTCTTCTTGGGCCTGTATCTCGGCCGTTCTTGATTTTGAGGGCCCAGAACCCTCCTCACGGAACCATTCAGGCCGAGAGCTACAAAATGACATATCGCATGTGCAGAATGGAGCTATCTACGAATTTAGCCAGCCTTCCAAAATCTCGGCGACAGGACTTACCTTCCAACCTGATATATATAATGGCACAAAACGGGAGAAACGAAAGGATATGAACTTTTCAGCCCTCTATAATTACCAAGATGTTTCAAAGGGCCCGACCCGCTCCGCTCTGCTCCACCCGAACCAAAATTCGCTCGTTTTCTAATTGAGCCGGCGGGGAGGATAAGAGAATGGTGGACGTCACAAATGGGGGCTCGCAGGGATGGACCCTGTGTTGAGAAGACGTTCTATTTTGCTCTCTGCATCTCCGGCATAAAGGATGCAGGGGGGGCAATTTTAGGCACAAGCACTTTCCTTTTTTAGAAACGCGCGTGGGTGTAGGGGTGAGAATCTGGATGGGTAGCTAATGATGACCCCAAGCAGATGGAACTAAGGAAAAAAGAAGCTACAGGGTGCGTCAAAAAAAAGAGTGAAGTTTGCACCAAAATATCTCGCTTATAGTAGAGAATCGAAGGTCCGTTACCATGCCAGAATGCTTAAATATGCTGGGTATGAAGATTTAACACAACTTGATTTTTTCGATTTTTGAGTACGCAACTGTACTATTGACGCTGGTTACGACCGAAAATTGTGCGTTCTTGAACGGGTGGTGGGAAAATTCTGATTTTTGGCCTATAAATAGTTGACATTTGTAGAAAAATAATAGCAGTCTTAGAATTTTTGAAGGTTTAGTTCTTTTTTTTACAGGCAAAACAAATTTCCCTATTTTGCTTATTTGTACTTTTTAATTCGCAACTCGCTTCAAATAAGCTGCCCTTGGCTGATCTTTTGCAAGTGGTGTCGTCGAATGATAATCTTCAGCACAACACCAAATTTTACCTGATTCTATGGTATTTTAATATTGCTTGCTAAAACGTGCCCCAGAGGGATACTGTAGTTTTTGTTTTTCGCGTTTTTCTTTTTATTGTAAGCTGCGATTTCGCTTAAAATTTTACCATTGGTAAACATCAGTAAGGGTCACCTATTGGCCAAAGATCGTGGAGTTCTAGCCATATATCTTCCCAAAATATGCAAAAAACTTATTTTTGAAATTAGCCACGGAAATTTATAAATATTTTGATGCATCGGACTGAAAACTACTATTATTTGTTTTCCTGAAAGATCGAAACGTTTCTATGGTGAAAAGAACGAGAAAACGACTATTTACTGTTTTCTACCGTAACCCGCCTGGAGCACGTTTTAGCATGCCAAGACAAAATGCCATAAAATGCCAATTTTTCTATTCTAGAATGTTCTCTGAGTAATTATAAGAACGCAGGCAAAAAATTACTGGTTATCTGTGGTAAATGACAGAGTTATAAGGGAAAGTCGAAAACCCTCCTCGGGCCCCGATTTTGGACCCGACACCCTGGCCCGAAAATCGAATTTTTGAAAATGAAAAAGGCACCAGGGTTTGGTGGATACAATTAAAGCACACATCGTACTGTGTATGAGAGCAGAATTCTGGAATGACCTGGCTGAAGTTAATGGTTAATTTTGATTTAAAACCCGAAAATAACCTTTTTTGAAAAGCCGACTTTGGGGAGCTCCTCTAAATTCGTTTGCCATGGAAAGGTTTTGTATTTGCATGGGTTCTAGTTGACCACCCAAGCTGAGTTTATGCCAAAAAAGTCGAGGCTACTAGAGCCTCGAGAATTTTTTTACGTCGCCTCAAAGTCGGGTATATTTGCACTTTTCATGAATTTCTTTTGAGAGATCGGATCGCCCAATAAATTTGTAGATATAATCTTAAAATGCGCCAGTTAAGAAGCATCAAATAAAATTATGACAGTAATTTTAGCCGCGCAAATGAATTTTCTAGACTGACACCAAGGTCTGCGACATAGCACGAACCAACCGTTTTGGAGGCGCTAAAAAGCAACCTTCCAAAGGGGTACGGTAGCTAGAAATTGTTTACATGATAGATGGACGCCAATCCTACATAACTAAGCAAAGCAAACACCGAAATTCTAGCTGCAATTTTAGAAATATTTTTCCAAAGTTCAGTTTCGTGACCTCGAAAGAATCCATGACCAGGGGGTCGTCGAAAAACTCAAAAATCCGCGAATCTGAAAAAATGTTTTGATATTTTTGCGGGATTGTATAGAGCCTATAGACATGCTAAAACAGCTTTTTATGAGGTTTCCACCATAGGTTTTTGTAATAATCGAAATTTAAGAAATTTCTCCATATTAAATTTTAGCACGCTATAACTTGCCAACCTGACCTTCAAAAATTGCAAAATTCCGGATGTGCGTAGGGGCAGTCCTTAGGTACCTACACTGTAAAAATTGGAACTGTTCGACCACCAGCAGGACTAAAAAATGCAAACGAAGTTTTGCCGGAACGCACAGTTTTCGGGTGTCATTTGTATTGATACGTCGCCAAAAATCGAAAAAATCAAGTTGTGTTAAATCTTCATACCCAGCATATTTAAGCATTCTGGCATGGTAACGGACCTTCGATTCTCTACTATAAGCGAGATATTTTGGTGCAAACTTCACTCTTTTTTTTTGACGCACCCTGTATCAAATGATGAATTGCGAATTTTCAGGTAAATACGAAACTTTCATACGAACAAACGCGATGACAAAAACTTCGAGATGCAAGCCACCTAAAATAGCAGAATATAGAAAGAAGAAGACAGAATATAATATAATCAGAAGACTCTCTCTTCTCGATTTTTTTGAAGTTTGAAAAGTTTTTAAATTAGCGGACGAGGATACTTTCGTTCGATAAAAACAGCAACTGGCTTAATAAACTTATACAATGGCCCTTACTTAACTTCTAAACCTTTCTAGAATTTAAAAATGCGGGAATTAGCATGCGCTAATACTGGTCAAGAAATCAAAAGCTAAGCAATCTCAAATGAATTAATAAGAACAAAAAAGTTTAAAGGAGCGAAGCTTTTCAGGGCGTTTGAGGGTTTTTAAAAAATGCATGGAATTAGCATACATCATTGGGTAAGAAATTCAAGTAGGCATGGCAAAGTAAAGAAATCACCACAAAAATAAGCGTGCTTTAGAACTTCACCCCCAGGTAACCGCCGGGTCCGAGTGGGTCCAAAAAGTTGAAGGAGGAGCCGCCTGCCAGAATGCGCGAGCCGTCCGAAATAAGCGGAAAACGGGAGGAGAGGCGGAGCAGCAGTAGATTGAGAGGCCAAACTGGCATGCCCGAGGGCGCTAACCACATTTGAACGCACGAACGGACGGAGCCAGCCCTGGGCCCTGGATGTGCTCGGTTTTCGAGGAGGACCGCTTGAAAGTGGAGCACGAGGAGGAGGAGGAGGAGAAGGAGGGGCGACCCACCACCACCCTCAACCCGTTCACCATTCTCCCCATCCCATATGCAATGAAAAATGATGGCTGCCGTTTTTGGAGGGGGTGGTCCAAGAAACACCCTCGTTCACCCTCGCTTGAAACGGGGAGTATTTAATTTTGTAAATCTCTGGAAGTAGTGTGAAATTCGAAGACGAAAATTTATATACACTATTTTCACACTTTATCCCCCTTGCTAAAACCGTGGTGTACCGGGAATCTGCGAAAAAATTGTCCAAACGTAGCGAGCGAGCAAATTGTTAGCAAAATATGTCTGATACATGATGTTGATGTTCATCGACTATTAGCTTCATTACTTAGATTCCCCGCCAGGCCCTAAAAGCCAAATCAAGCCACTTAAATGTTTCCTACACGATACTGATCCCAACCCCCGGTCTAATGAAGGCCATCTCCCATCCCGCGCCACCCCAAATTTGGCTTATTCTACTATCCGGAACCAAAAAGCGTCGGTGCGGAAAAGTCCATTTCCTGCTATGTTGGAGTATGGCTCTGCCGTAAAAAGTCAAAGGGCCGAGAGGCTGACAGGGGCCAAAGGGCCCTTTTCGGCTCCATTGACCCCCAGAGTGGAGCTGGGAGGCAGGTGTCTCCAAAAGAGTCCCCGCAACCATTAAGAATCTATTTAAAGTTTTGAACTGACCATCTTGCTCTGGGGCGCCATTATCAGCGGCGTTCCGTTCTTTCCACGACTTCCGGCGCTCCTTTTTTATTAAAGTAGGTGGAGGTGGTTCTTCGTGTTTGGACTAAAAAAGGATAATAATAAGAAGTGTGTTTAGGCAAGGTTTACCTTCAACCGGAAGCACTTTTTACAGCGATCTTTCAAATAGTTTTGTGGCTCGAAGCCGCCGCAAACCTCGCTCATCTCGTCAGGGATCGAGGATTTGCGATGGTTTATAAAGGGAGCGTGGGGCGAGGCCCGAACGGCCACCGGGGTCTAAAAAATTGGAATTATTTGCGCTTGCTTTTAATATTGATTGTAATCATATAGCTTACCGATGGCCCAAGGCTATCTGGAGAATGGTTGATGAGATTGAGGGCAGGTTCGGGCAATTCGAGAGGTTCTTGTGTTGGAACGTCTGGCCCTCGGCGCCACGAGCTTGTGTAACCGCTGCGTACTCCTAAAGTTGCTGAGATTTGAGGCGTTCGAACCATGATTATATGTTGTATTTGGAAGGGATAGATTCGAAGGTGTTAATAAATGATTGGAAATATTCAGGCGACCGACCTAGGTTACTTAAACATTTTAAATCATCTTTTTTGGCCCGTCTAAACCATAACATAGTCTTCAATTTTTTCAGTTCTTTAGGATCCCTATGACTAAAAATGCACAATTATCTCCATCAGGGGAATGCAAATTTATTCGTCACTAACGAGGTCTAGCTAAGAGTAGTGACGAAATTTGCAGAAGAAAGTCCATTTTGATGGCGAAAGCAGCTGTTTTAAAAATCAAATTTATTTACAGACATTTAGATACCATTACGCACCTAATAACACATTGTAGATACCTTAACATTGTTCCGTATCGAGTGATATTTAAATATTTTGCCGGAAGTTGCATGAAATTGCTTAAAGGGAACACCCTTTCTTGGTTATATTGGGACCAGTGGCAAAAGCCCGCTTCGCGGCCCTTTTCCACTGGACCCCGTCCAGGAACGATGAATTGGAATACTTTTTTTTTTTAGCCTACGGCGCAAGGACCTGAGTCAAGGAGCCATTATTTGGCCTGCGGCGCCAGAGCCTGGGCCAAGGACCTTTTCGTTGGCCTGCAGCGCTAGGGCGAGAGCCAGGCCTAAACCTCGCGCTAGAACCTTTTTGCCTGCAGCGCTAGTTACTGCTTTTTCTCCCGGATTTGGGCTGCGGCGCAAGAGCCTAGATCAACGACCCATCGTTAGCCTGCGGCGCAAACGCCTGGGCCAAGGACCTTCTCTTTAGCCTGCGGCGCTAGAGCGAGAGAGAGCCAGGCTTAAACCTCGCACACCGAGAGCCTAGAAATATGTTTTGTTGCTGAACTACCAAAAAGCAAAAAATTAAATTCTCCCAGGATCCGAACTAATGACCATGCGCATGGTAGACCGGGCGCAAATCCACTACACTATGGGACAGATGGGAACCGGCAGCGGGAAAGCCCTCTTCTGTTCTGGGGAAAGGGGGCGGGGGAAGGCAAAGAAAAGGGCGACCCAATGATCCCGGAGGGGGGCCTACTGGTCACTTTACAAAATTCGGTTTTCGACCCTGAATCAGCTGAAAATTTGCAAAGATAATAAGCGGCGCGTGATCCCCACCATCGATTACATAAGTGGTCCAAATTTCGGCCCGAAATTCCATCTGTGCTTCGAGTTATGGCCCGGACACCACGGCTCTTGGCCCACTTTATTAAGGACTTTTTAGAAAAATGCTCATAAAAACTTTATTTTAGAAAATCTGACAAAACGCAGAATTATATATCGGGAGAATTCAATTTTCAATCTACCCTCCAAAAATTAGCGCCCAATTCCATTTAGATTGCGAGATATCCTCTGTACAAACCTTTTTTTGGCCACAATGTTAAGGGTTTTACACTATTTTTCTTGTAAAATCGCTAAATGAAAGATATTGGAAAAACAAAAAAATGCCTATAAAGAGGATGTGTTTTTTCACCTCCATGCCAAAAATCAACCGGATATTCGGCCTGACGGCCGAGAAATCGTCATTACAGAAAACAAACATACTTTTCTCGCTTATAGGATAGGATATTCAAAAGATATTTTTAAACTTTGTACATTTAAGCAAATAAAATAAATAAGTCATCCAAATACTAACACAATTGAAAGAAAAGCGATCCCTCCAAACAGTGGGATCTGCGCGACTGACTGCGGATTTAGAAACTGTGTGCGTGGTGTGTGGCTGGGCACAGTGGCGAGGGCAAATAGTCAGCTTCGAGTCAAACAGTCTTCCCTTCCCTCCTAGAAGCACATCCCCCCCCTCTGGATGCCCTTCTTTTTCTCTTCCACCCCTCCAATACTCCTTGAGACCTCTTTTTTTGGGGATGGGGGGGACCCTCGTCTGCAACACCAACAGGGACATCCCTGCTTTTCCACCTGGGACCAAGGGGACGGAGAGAGGGCAAAAACATATGGTGTAGCCGGCTGAAGTGAGGGAACGGTCAAGGGGGGCTTCTCGCAAACAAAACGTCTGCCTATATCGATGATGGGGTTATTAGTTTTAGGGGGATAAATGGGGGGTAGCAGATGTTGGAAAAGTTTGGATAAAATACCAGTTATTTTGAAAAATTGGCCCAAGTGGAAAGGCAGCGCTAATGCATTTACTCTGATACCTAATTCCCCTGGCAAGGGCCGTTAAATTATGATTCAAATAAAAATGTAGGCGAACCTGTTTTGATAATATTAAACTTGGTTAAAGTATAAAAATTAAAAAAATGCTGTTGTAAAAACCGAAGTGGAAATAAAGTTGGGAAACCAGCGAACTTGGTCCATTCCATTGATTTTACCTCCTGGTTTCCGATGTTTTGATTGCTTCAAAATATAAAACACGACTAATCGAGTCTGCTTAGAAAGTGATTAAAATCGAACCCTAGATGATTGGGAGAAATATAATGAATTAGTTGCTCAATCCAGCGACATAACCGGGGGCAAAGCTAAAAGAGTTTGAATTTTAACATGAGCAGCTATTCACCGGAACTACGCTCTCCTCTTAACGCAACAAATGGCCAATAGCCAGTCGGAAGGAAGGGCGGCCAGCAACTGTTCAGAAAAAATTGCGATAGATCGTGCCCGGACGAACTTTCAGTTTATCAAGATGGATGGTGGGATTGGCGAAGAGAAGGGCCCGTTTACTATTCGTTGAACATGTGATCCCCCTTCCCTCCCTCTCCACATCTGGATCCAACTAGGCGTTATGTGCGTTCCTGCTTCTGTTCGGGAATCGGCATGGGCCCACGCGGCGAGGGTTGTAAGTTTCGGGTATGGAGTGTGGGTGGCATCTGGTTGCTGAGATGGGGACACGTAGGGTGTGAGAGGGTTGAGCCGGTTATAAACGGGCTGATTATTACAAAACACACGTGCCGTGGGTTTGATTTTGCGGTTTTATACCGAGGAGGTTTTAAGGTTGATTCGTGATTTATCGTGGATTTTTAGGAGGTGATTATGCAGCTACGGACAAAAAAATGGGCATAAGGAAAAAAGCTTAGAACCTTTAGCGGAAGTTTTCGTCGTAAATTTATAGATTTTTTCATCTTTGACTTGCCACTAAAATATGGGCGCGAATTAATATCGAGGTTAGCTAAAAAAAATCAAATTTTGCATGATAAAAATTGCTAACTATGGCTAGTTTTTATTATGTCTAAAATCCTTAATACGTTTTATAGCTCGCCTTTTTATCATTAATGCGCAAGGTAGGGTGCGTAAACCCCGTAGAAAAGCTCTGGCTGAGCCCCAAAATCCACGATTTAAGCAAGACCGTGCAGTGATGAAAATTTCTTAAAATATAACCTCCAAGAACGCACTTGTACAACCAAACCAACGCATAGAGCAACTTTCGGATAGTATTCAGAGCCGGGGATTCGGTCGTCGAAATCGAAAGGCAGTCGAAGGGATGGCGGGACGTTCAGAATAGCAGTGACATCTTGTAGAGATGTCTGCACGGCTTCTGGAGGGCACTTCAGCAGAAGGAGAAGGGGACGTGGGGAGGGGTCGAGGGTAGATTGAATGAATGAGTTTCCGGGCTATTGGAGGAGTGGCTTCAGTAGCACAAACAGTCCCCTATCATGGCACACATGATTTGCTTGGTGGGACTGGGTAATCTGCTTATTGGGGGTCTGGAGGGAACGGGAGTACGATGCCATCCGTCCAAACACAAGAACCTCTGATCACTACTTGAGGGCCAACATCAAGGGCACGTGCGAGTAGGGAGTTGTGCAAACATGTTGCCGGGAATAGATAGGGTCGGGTTTTTCTTTCATGGTTTTTGGGAATTAGTGAGATCGGGGGAGATTTGAGGGTGGTGATTTTTGATGAAGCTTGAGGGGTGATGGCCAAAGGACGAAGAACAGATGGAGTTATTTTATGGTATTATCAAGTGATATTTAGTTCAGTGGACAAGGGAAAAATTGTTGCTTAAAAACGATTGAATTGTCGAATTATGAGCCCGGTTCTTGACTTTGAACAAGAAAGGTCTCAAGTAAAGGCAACGACCGGGCTCTTTTATATAACTCAGATATCTTGAGGTAGAAATAAATTTTTGCGACATTTCGCTGAATAGTTTCAAATAACTTAGCTGAAAATCGCAGATTCCTACCGAGTAACCAAATATAAAATTCAGAACCGACCACCCATTCGATGGCCCATTAAACCCCAACCGGAAGCCTAATCAATAAGTGTTCTTGCCGATGGACAAAGCGATGAGAAGAAGAGTAAAAGGATGGGTCTCTGAGCCCCCCGGATGGGACCCTCAGGTGGAACAGTGGACCCACCACAACCCCGTCCAAGGACGCGGACACCCAGCTAGTTGTAATGTTCACTCGACGCATAGAGAGGAGCCCCTTCTCCTCTCTATTTCTCTGAACCGGCCGAGATGGACATTGAGAATGGAGAGGGTTCCCTTAGCCTATGGCGCGAACTCGGATCGCCTTTCTCCGCTCATTAACAGCTTTTGTGGAAAGTGGAAGTGTTGAAAAAAGTTTAGAGCCCCTTTTTACTAAGGTTCTATGCTATAAAAAAGTTTTGCTGTTAAATACCAATTTCGGATATGGACCACCAAAAAGCAGACGTAACAACACAAAAAAAAGTAGCCGGATGTCGGTCACGGGGGATTCTGGATTAGAAATCGTGAAACCTGAGGCGGGCTACTTTTAGGCGGCCACCCAGTGCAAGTGCTCAAAGAAATAGAAGTGCGAGGATATGCCCCCAGCCCACCATTCCCATAGATAATGGTGACGTGGTTGTGAAGTTTTTCCTCATTACAGCCATCGACAAGCACAATCACTCTCTTGTTTATCCCCTTCTCCTACAAGCTCTGTCTGTCGGCCACACTCCACTCCTCCCAACAACCAAACGGCTGGTTGGCTTGCGGCCAAGTACCTGGTGGCTGAGGAGCAAATTTGCCAACCAGGAACTTTTGGCAGGTCGTAAATTATGTAAAAACAGCCGATACTAAAA